TGCTGCATAATTCCTTCTAAGGTTAAGGATGGACATAGTTAACTACTTAGCAGTACATCGATGTTTCAGTCTTTTACTATAGTCCAGCACCTGTCCATACCAGACCTTGATGGATCAAAGACAGGTGGACTGCAACTGTATACAGTGGGGTGCGGTGGCAGATGGAACACCGGTCAATCCGTGCGTGAGTATGACATCCCGCCGTTAACCTCAATAACTCATGCATGCATTACTCTCATTGCTTGAAACTTCGTATACCTATACATTAGCATCTGAATGAGGCATTGACCGAAAGAGAAACTCACCGGATCAATAGTTTGTGCTCCCACCGTTGTTCCTTCTGACATCCTTCAACCGCTTCATCATGCTATCAATACTGTTATCTAAGACCTCCTGTGGCATCTCCTTCCAAAGCTTTTGAGCAACTTCAAAGAGTTGTTTATCGTTTGTTGCACGTTTAGGTAGCTTCCAGATCTGTTTACGCAAGTAGGCCCAGCAGTTTTCGATAGGATTAAGGTCAGGGGAATAAGGAGGGTGATCCACATACTTGAAACGTCATTTCTTCCCTTGGTCACAATTTTCCCCACAAGTATGGACTCTCACATTATCCTCCACAAACCTAGCACCTCCATATGCCCTCCATCTATTGTTGAGTTGAGTCCAAGCTTCTTTGAGAGGCCCCATAGTCACCTGATCTCGATGGATCGCAGCTGTTACGCCACCGCTCTTTCCTTCTGTCACAGGGTTGTTTCTCCGTTAACTTGCTAGGACCGACGCCCAATAACTTCGTGGGCTTCGACCTTTAACTACCTCGTTGTTTGAAATATGAAATAGGTGACAATAACTTCTGGGTGTAATAACTTTGTACTTTTCTAACTTCTATCACTAAGACAACAACCAGAGATTGTCAAAGATCTCTGGGAACTTCGGCCCTTAAGTACTTCATCCTTCCCTAACTTCTTCAACGCAGAACTTTGTTCAACCCGAAGTCCTGAGCTTCGTACCTCGCGAACTTCGTCCCCGACGAAGTTCGTGCCTCCCTAACTTCATATCTCGCTAACTTCGCATCTCCCTAACTTCGTATCTCCCTAACTTCCTACATGACTAACTTCTCCCTCGACAAAGTTAGCCTCCTAATACCCTCGTGGGTGATGAAGTTCATGAGAACTGGATCGTTGATGGCGAACTGATGTCCAAAGGAACCTCGTTGATGGGGAAAGATGATGTCATGCGGTGCCACGTGACACCTTCACTATTTGTTGTGTCTAACTTTACCAATTCTGTCCTTCCTCCATGCCAAATTCCGGCCCAAATCATACAGGACCCCCATCCACCCATGAATTTTGGTGCCAAGCACTCATCCAAGTATTCCTCCCCAGCCATTCGTGTCACGTATGACCTGGTAGTCCAATTGAGCTTCAAGCACGCTTCATCAACAAATATCGTTGGCGTGTGTTTTTGCATAGGAAAGACGGAGACGTTTGGCACAATTGTCAAGGAATGGTTTTTTGCGAGCTACACATCGTTTGAAGCCCATACGCTTCATATAGACTCAAAGAGTAGTGAGTGAAATCTTGATTTCTTCAGCCCCAAGAAGGGTGACAAGTTCTCGAGGTGATTTACGACAATTCTGAAGGATAACAGCTTTGATTTGACGAAGGGTGGGTTCATTGACTCGTGAAGAGGGTCCAGGCCGAACAGTGGAAGAGGTATTGCGGGTTTGGGGGTACAGGGTCACAAGACGTGAGACGATGCTGACAGAACATCCATGGGCAGTGGGGACTTGTTGATATGTGTTACGGGGTAACAACGAATCGAGAGACCTCCATCAAGTTTGACGGATTAGGAAAGAGAACGGCGAGAGTTGGAGGCAGTGCTGCAGTAGGTAGGGACGGGTTTTCCCTTTTTCGAGATTTCCCCACTGGGTTTGTGTCACGAGACCAACTAACCAGCATTGGGACGATATAACAGTGCCCTTCAGAGGCAGCGGTCTAAACCACTGTGCTAAAAGGCCTATTAACCGGCGGTTACTGCATACCGCCGGTCGCTGGTTAAATACCCAACCCATACTATCACTATCACTATCAAACTACGGGTAGGATCCTGGGTTCGACTCCCAGGGTGGGCTGGGTCGTGCTCAGTCCCTACTTGGAAAACCTCCCTCTCGGAGAAAGTTTTCGGCCTATCGTGCCCATCCCTGTTGGGGCCCCAGATGGGGCTGAAAGGGAAGGCATAATGTCACGAAGTGACAAGACAGTTTGATAGTGATAGTAATAGGATGGGTTGGGTATTTAACCAGCAACCGGCGGTATGCAGTAACCGCCGGTTAATAGGCCTTTTAGCGCAGTGGTTTAGACCACTGTCTCTGAAGGGCACTGTTATATCGTCCCAATGCTGGTTAGTTGGTCTCGTGACAGATTAACCGGCGGTTACGGGTAGGATCCTGGGTTCGACTCCCAGGGTGGGCTGGGTCAAATTCAGTCCCTACTTGGAAAACCTCCCTCTTGGAGAAAGTTTTCGGCCTATCGTACTCTTCCCTGTTGGGGCCCCAGATGGGGCTGAAAGGGAAGGCATAATGTCACGAAGTGACAAGTTAGTTTGATAGTGATAGTGATAGTATGGGTTGGGTATTTAACCAGCGACCGGCGGTATGCAGTAACCGCCGGTTAATAGGCCTTTTAGCACAGTGGTTTAGACCGCTGCCTCTGAAGGGCACTGTTATATCGTCCCAATGCTGGTTAGTTGGTCTCGTGACAGATTTCTTCTCCGTCCTCTCGTGACAGTTTGCTCAAAAGCGGTTTTTCACCTGTCCGAGTATGTACATAGACGCATGCAGTAGGAAAAGAGGAGGACGCGGATACCTGTAGACATTATATAGTACAATCAGCAAAGTACCAACTTTGCTGATTCTTCAATATCATTCTTTGGCTACATTGATTGCAGAGGAGACACGATCCATTAGCACCAGAGCCCCTAGATTTCCACGAGACATCCATCGAGTTCGACCCAACCTGCGACCTAGCCATCGTGTTTCCAGTACCGTTACAAGTTGAAGAATCAGCCTTACGCACCTTGGGTCGAATTGGAGAGTACTGTAAGCTCACCAGAGGGAAAGCGCGGAAAATGATACCAGAAAGAGAGGAGTTGGAACAAGGGCTGGTCCCAGAGGAAGAAATACCAACAAGTCCTTCGAGAAGTACCATTTCACATGACCTCCCTTCTACCACCACTACCCCAGACCCGCTGAATGAATTATCGCAGCAGTTGTCACAATTATTAGCCATTATGACAATGCAACAAAAGGAACAAAATGCATTAAGGGAAGAACTGGCTACGATGAAAGCTGACCGACAGAACCAACAGCTACTCACCTCGAAAGGGGCAAGTTCGATCAAAATCGAAGAAAACAAGCCGTGTTTGGAGCCAAAACTTACCAACAACGAACGAACAGGAAGAACCAGGTGTGCGGATCCACCTACCTTCAGTGGAGAACGAGGGGAATTGGACAACTTCCTTGCAGCATGCCACATGAACTTCGAATTCAAAGGGGCAGAGTACGCCACCGATCACAGAAAGATCCTGTTCATGTACGGGTATCTTTGAGGCACCCCTCAAATGCTTCTAACCCCGGCCATAACCAATCCAAGTATATGGAATTCGACCGAATGGCTAGAGAGCTACGACAAATTCATCCAGCATTTACGAACTCAATTTGGAGACAGTAACATGGCAGGTACGGCTATGAGGAAATTGCAAGAGTTAAGACAGACTGATACAGCCGCCGAGTATTTTGCCAACTTCGAACTTTGGTCAACACGCCTTGGAAAGGTACCAGATGCAATGAAAATTGCCTCAGCCATACAGGGCCTGAAGGAAGAGCTACTGAAAGTGGTAGTGGTAAATAACACCGACCCTCGAACCAAATCGGACTGGATCTATTTCAAACAAACAGCATGTGATAGGGACTGAGGAGAACCAACGGATGGCTGAAACGATGATTGCAGCGAATCGATGGGCTGCTAGACACAAACATGAGACGACCTGGCTTCCCCCTCGATCGAATTCGATGCGATTGGATACTAGTTCGCCCAACCCGGTAGAACGCCACTCACAATCGACTGGTAGAGGACCCTTGCCCGGTGGAAAACCAGGGATGATGAATTATGGTCTACCAAATGACCCTCCGGTAACTTGGACAGAGGACGGAGGACGTCTCAGCGAGAACGAAATGACTTGGAGGAGGGAGAACCGACGTTGTCTCAAATGTAGAAGTCCAGAACATTACGCCAACAACTGTCCAAATGGAGGAAATACGAGAAACAACATTAGGGGATCCCCAAACCCGCATAGCTCACCGATTCCTAGTGGATCGAACTCGATCCCAACTGGATCCAAAGGGCCATTAGTTCGAGGAATGGCGGTGACCTTTGAAGAAGAGGGAAACGAATACCTGGCCTAAGTGATGCGACCACTTGCGGCCAGGATCTAACAGAATCGCACAAAATTCAACTACCAATAGATCTCAGTAATGACTCGGCTATAATATACATAAAAATACAGACAGAAGAAGATACCCTACGATTTGGAATGTTAATTGATACCGGAGCTACCGGAAGATACGTACAGCCGGCCTGTCCATTATACCATTTATTCCCAAAGAGACAGTATCAGGAACCACGGAAGATCAGGTTCCTCAATGAAACAACCGCGACGTTAGTGACCGAGTATGTAGAAGCTGAATTGGATTTAGGAGAAGGACTCAAGATTGCGACTCGATTGGATGTGATGGCATACGAAGGCCCCGAGGTACTGGTGGGATTGGACTTCTTGAAACAGTTTTGGGCAAGGATCGATTGTGGAAAGGGATTGATCGAGTTCGACGGAATCGGACAGGATAACTGTCACGAAGTGACAAGACAGTTTGATAGTGATAGTGATAGGATGGGTTGGGTATTTAACCAGCGACCGGCGGTATGCAGTAACCGCCGGTTAATAGGCCTTTTAGCACAGTGGTTTAGACCGCTGCCTCTGAAGGGCACTGTTATATCGTCCCAATGCTGGTTAGTTGGTCTCGTGACAATAACGGTTGGAAGTATCCAAGATTGGAGGAAGGATTGGTAAGAGGAACGGCGTTGGAAAAAGGCGAAGATGAAATGAGCGAAGAAGAGTTACGACAGGTCATACCGACACAATGGCACAGATACCTGGAGTTATTTAAAGTGGAACGGGCCAGAAAACTACCACCAAGAAGGGAATGTGATCACGAGATCGAATTGACCCTCGGAGCAGAGCTAAAACCAGGTCCAATCTACCAACTGGATGAACATTGGGACGCATTCCTAAAGCAATGGATCAATGACGGTTTGGCCAGCGGCCATTTACGAAGAAGTAAATCACCTTATGGATCTCCTGTATTCCTGGTTCCCAAAAAGGGAGTGATTCCCTATCGAGTGGTAACGGATTATCGGGCGCTTAACAAGGTAACCGTTAAGGATTCATACCCAATGCCACTCATCTCGACACTACTCGATCGACTTCAATAAGGAAGGATCTTCACTAAACTCGATTTGAAAGGGGCTTACCAGTTAGTCAGAATAAAAGAAGGAGATGAACATAAAGCTGCCTTACGAACAAGATACGGCAGTTTCGAGAGCACAGTCCTAAGGGATGGGTTGTGTAATGCACCAGCCACCTTTCAGAACTTTCTACAAGACATGTTTCACGATCTACTTGACAAAGGGGTAGTAGTCTATATCGACGACATCACGGTATACTCCGACACGATTGAAAACCATCAGATAATTGTCCAAAGGGTGTTAGATCGGCTACTTGAAAACAATTTGGTCGTCAGTCCGAGGAAATGCGAATGGAGTTCAAATGAAGTGAAGTTCCTGGGGTACGTAATAGGACACGAACGGATCGAAATGGATCAAGAAAAGGTGAAAGCCATTCTAGAATGGGGAGGACCCATGACAGTCCGGGATACTCAAGTGTTCTTGGGCTTTGCGAATTTCTATCGAAGGTTTATCAAGGGGTTTTCGCATATTGTGGGACCTCTCACACGATTGACCAGGAAGGATCAAACTTGGAACTGGACACAAGAATGCCCAAAAAGCTTTTGACGATCTAAAGAAAATATTCACCACGGCACCAGTACTTCGACATTTTGATAGAACCCGACCGACTTGGATCGAAACCGATGGCTCCGACTGCGCGATAGGTGGGATAGCGTCTCAAAGATTCCCTCACCCATCAATAAAGGGAACCGCCGAACTTCACCCAGTTGCGTACTGGTCTCGAGCAATGACACCCTGTGAACTAAACTACACGGTAGGAGAGAAAGAATTACTAGCCATCGTGGACTGCTTGGTTGCTGGAGGCCCTACCTGGCCAACAGTAGTGATGTTATAAAAGTCATTACAGATCACAAGAACCTAGAATACTTCCAAAGCAAACGATAACTAAATCGAAGGCAGATGAGATGGTTGGAAATATTGGGAGACTTCAACATAGAGATCACTTACCGACCAGGTAGCAAAAATGGGGGAGCAGATGCTCTGACTAGACGAGGAGATTATCATCGGGGAAGAGGGAGTAGCAAGGACCCAGACCTAAACAATGGCAACTGGCTACAATTGCTACCGACACACGAACAAATTGGATCGAATTCAATGGACTCAGAACACAAAGGACCAAGACACATAGTAAGAGGAGCAATCCGGGAAGACTCATTATTCGGACTCATCAAGAACAGACTGAAAGACTCAGAAGATATAGCAAACATACGACAACTAGGACTACAAATGACATAGACACATAGCACACAGAGCACACAGAACACACAGGACACACAGAAGACACAGGCTAGCAACGAGACACCAATAGTATCATGGACACAAAGCGGATTACTCTTGTACAAAAACAGAGTAGTCATACCAGAAGGACAGGCAAGTTTAGAAGTAATGAAAGCAAGACACGATTCGATACTAGTGGGTCATCCAGGAAGAGACAAAACTATCACCATGGTCAAAGAGGACTATTACTGGCCACATTTGGACGAATATATTGCGAAATACGTAAAAGGATGTGAGATCTGTAACCGACATAAGACTCATCGACATCAGCCGTATGGACATCTAGTCTCTTTACCAGTACCCACACTCCCGTGGACAGATATCTCTATGGATATGGTGGGACCCCTACCGAAATCGGCCGAGTTCGACGCGATACTAGTGATAGTCGATCGACTAACCAAGATGGCTAGGTTTATTCCATGCACAACTGGACTAACAGCGAACAAAGTGGCCGACATCTACATCAAGGAGATCTTTTCAAAACATGGAGTACCTCGAACAATTGTATCAGATAGGGGAACTCAGTTTACAGCGGAAATTTGGAAGGAAATATGTCAGTTCTTAGGAATAAAGAACTTATATTCGACTGCGTATCACCCTCAAACAGATGGACAAACTGAGCGAGTAAATCAACAGATGGAAATCCTGCTCGGAATGTATGTAAACTACAACATGGACAATTGGGATCAACTTCTACCAATTGCTGAGTTCGCTTATAACTGTTCGCCACATAGTAGCCACGGTCTGTGTCCATTTGAAGCCTGTTACGGCTATGTGCCACACTACGACATCCATTCGCACGATATTCGATCAAAGTCAAACAAGTTGGAGAAGAAATGGAGAGATATGGGAGAATTACATGCGGCTGTTCGAGAACAGGTCAGGATGGCTAATGAGATTAGTGGGGAATACTACAACAGGAGGCACAAGAGCATTCCAGAAGAGTTCAGAGAGGAAGAACAGGTCCTACTAAGTACGAAGTATCTTACGACGGAGCGACCCAGTCGAAAATTAGAAGCAAAATACATTGGCCCGTTTAAAATCATAAGGAAGGTTGGGAAAAATGCTTTCGAGTTGGATCTACCTCCATCGATGAAAGTGCACAATGTCTTCAATGTCACACTACTGGAACCATATCCTAAGGACATGATACCAGGTCGACAGATACGACCCCCACCACCTGTAGTAATTAACGGCCAGGAAGAATTCCATGTGGAAGCAATTGTGGACAGCAGAATTCGACGAGGGAAGGAAGAATTCAAGGTAAAATGGTTAGGATACACAGGAAATGCGGCCTATGACTGGGAACCACGAGAAAATGTAGAAGAGTTGGCCGTTTTCGGTGAATTTTTGGAGAAGAGGAAAAGGGACCCCAAAAGAAAGTGAGAATTCGATCAAGATCAACAAAACTTGGTCAGGGATAAATGCATATACAGGAGAAATAGCTACATTTGGGGGATATAAACACACTAATCAAAAGGAAGCGTTAGAATCGGCTCGGGGACGACGGGCCGAAGCAGGAATACGAATGACATTGCGGGGAAGAGGAGTATGGGGAGAAGAGGATGGACCGGCGACTGGTTGAGAGGAACTCAATCCTGTAGGATCACCAGTAGAAGTGAGATGATCCAGAGTTTCATCGGCGGTAGGAGGAGCATAGCTGGCGGAAATAAGATGGAGAGATTTGTAAAGATCCAGATGTTGAGAGGGGAGAGGAAGGAGAAGGGAGGTAAAGAGATGGATGTAACCCGAAAGTTGGGTCAGACAGGCGGATTGATCATGGGCAGGAAGGGCTCGATAACGGACCGAAGCTGCACAGAGTTTGTGTTCCAGGACAAAGGTAACCTTAGAAGTGACCGTTCTTGCTCCCACGACGATACCCTATACATCAACATCGACCAAGTTCGAAGGAAATAGACGGGTACCTCACGAAATTTGGACTCGGGATTGTTGGTTTTCACCGAACATTTTGAAGTACCCTTAGCAGAACATTCGCCACACACACCACCGACTGAATTGCATCAACATCGAACGAGTCGCAACAAGAACTTACGAGGGCCAATACAACCAACACGAAAGTCTTCACCACCATCGAGACGGCGTTGACAATCGGTACAGAGCTCACCCTCTAGTCGAACAACGGCGCCATTCTTGTTGCGGAGGCGCCAACCTTGGGCCAAACGATCGAGCTAATGATTAGAATCGATGAAACTTGAAAGAATTCGAGGCTTACAGCGTTCCTAAACCACTTTACAGTGGGCTTGATGGTGTTGGTCTCGCGGAATCGATCGAGAGCTTCGTCCTTCAACGCAAGGCGAACAGAGGAGAAGGTCATGCTGGACCAAAGGGTAGCTAACAAGTCAGAAGCGAACAGAAGTCGGTGGAATTCTCACCGATCTCGGAGTCTTTTCGATCCTGGAGCAACTTAACCAATTCATCATTGGCCGGAATCTTGCGAGGGGCGTGAAAAATGATTTCGAGTTCAGCGGGAACCTCGACAAGTCCCTCTGAATAGTCAGAAGGTGGCACAAGGGACTTATTACCAGGAGAATTTTGGTTCTCAACGATGGTGCCGTGTTCGGATTCGACGGATTTGGCGGGAGATGGGTTCTCACCACCAGATGGTCCAGCACCCCCTTCGAAGTCGATATATTGCTCGATGACCTGGTCATCAAGGGACGATGGTGGTTCGCGAGAAGGACCGGATTGATACTTCTCCTTAATGGTGTCGAAAGCTCGTTGAGATGCATCAACCAATGGGGGTTGAGAGGAAACGGGCACTTGGGAAGTAATTCTCATTCTTTTCGTTTGACGCATGAGAAGTTCGGGGTCGACGTCGGGTAAGGTTGCCAAGGTAGAAGCTCGAGTTTGACGGGAGGAGGTGGCAGGAGACAACTAGTCTCGTCAGCCAGTGAGAAATAGGAGGATATACATCGAATTCGAAAGGAATTGCTTACAGTACGCTTAGCCATGCTCACAGACAGGTGAGAGTTGGAAGGATGCTCTAAGATATGAGTAAGATATGGATGGATAATGATAGATAAGTAAAAAGAACGACAAACAAGAGATAAAGAGAGAATGAGGAGGAAAGAAGAAAAGAAGACGGGGAGGTAACTTGGTCAGTAATCTCTCGATCACATTGGAGGTCCGTGCGGGTGACGCGTTTCATGGCAACCGTCACACTAGCGTGGGTATGATGTCAGGGCGCACCAAAGGTGTCTGAGAACAATCCATGTGCATCACCTGGTTACAGGGTTCAGGATCCTCGGCGAGGATCCTTGAGACAGGGGGGGAAACTTGTTACGGGGTAACAACGAATCGAGAGACCTCCATCGAGTTCGACGGATTAGGAAAGAGAACGGCGAGAGTTGGAGGCAGTGCTGCAGTAGGTAGGGACGGGTTTTCCCTTTTTTGAGATTTCCCCACTGGGTTTGCTCAAAAGCGGTTTTTCACCTGTCCGAGTATGTACATAGACGCATGCAGTAGGAAAAGAGGAGGACGCGGATACCTGTAGACATTATATAGTACAATCAGCAAAGTACCAACTCTGCTGATTCTTCAATATCATTCTTTGGCTACATCGATTGCAGAGGAGACACGATCCATTAGCACCAGAGCCCCTAGATTTCCACGAGACATCCATCGAGTTCGACCCAACCTGCGACCTAGCCATCGTGTTTCAGTACCGTTACAATATGGGGTTGTCATGGCTTTCTGAGCTATCCTGGCGCGGGAAATGGGGGAATAGCACTGGCCTGGCATAGTGAGATCGATAGGCAAAGAAAAAAACATATCCGAGCCCATTATCACGTCCCTGCATGTAATGAAAGAGGTAAACATGTAGACGTGTCAAGTGATTGATGAGACGCCATCAAGGTACAAAAGTTTTCCATCTGCCACCACACCCCACTGTAGTTAGCTTGGACAACGACAATTAGTATGTTGTCCGTAGACTTGTGATATGCTTGGACGACAAAGTGACTTGCGAAGGATCCGGGCAGGTCGAGATGACGATAAAGTTGTATGTGATGGTGAGGGATGTATCGGATGTGAGTAGTATGTCAAGAGGTCTTTTGTGAGTGGCAAATGATATTTTGATCCTTGGAGAAAAGAAACTACAAAGTAGACAGGTCCAGTATTTATACTTTTTGAGGGGAATCTCATGTACATCCAATGTCGCTTTTCCTCTTCTCCCCTTGTGTCTCCTCGTTGTCACGAGACCAACTAACCAGCATTGGGACGATATAACAGTGCCCTTCAGAGGCAGTGGTCTAAACCACTGTGCTAAAAGGCCTATTAACCGGCGGTTACTGCAAACCGCCGGTCGCTGGTTAAATACCCAACCCATCCTATCACTATCACTATCAAACTGTCTTGTCACTTCGTGACACTCGTCTCCCCTTGTGTCTCCTTGTCCCTCCTCAGGGTCATGGGTCACAACACTGTGTTAGCCGGGTCGTGACAACTACTGACAACAATCAAGGATCGCTGAAGAACTGAAGAACTTCAGCGATCTTCCCAGCTAATATTATCTACTCCTCCTAGACTTTCACCCAACCCTCTTGCGCTTTGATGTACTTCAACGCACTTCGTCCAACTTCCCCAAGTCCCCGGCCATACTTCTCCCCCCTTCGACTAACTCCGCCTAACATTGCCACACTTCTGTTCCCATTGTCCCTACTTAGCCTAACTCCGTCTAACTTCGCCGTACTTCTGCTCCCATTGTGTTACGATCCAGTCATAACCCAGACCGCATATAGATAGTTGTGTATATAGAAGTGACAGGCAGGTACATAGTATTGTATTACAAACTGTACTGCAGACTTGTCACGGCCGTCGAATAACTTCTTCCTAATAGACCGACGGTCGACGAACCTCGGCTAACTTCATGCTTCTAACTTGATGTCTCACCCAACCAGGAGGGCACAGACGTCAAAAGGAATGTAACTACGACGTACTTTGACGTAGTTACTCTATCTAAAAGGGGTTTTTACTGATGGCGATGCATCTCAATCTATATTGTAGCTATTTCTATCAATCTTTCACTACAGACAACAATCAAGGATCGCTGAAGAACTTCAGTGATCTTCTCAGCTAATATTATCTCCTCCTCCTAGACGTTCACCCAACCCTCTTGCGCTTTGACGTACTTCAACGCACTTTGTCCAACTTCCCCGAGTCCCCGGCCATACTTCCTCCCCTTTCGACTAACTCCGCCCAACATCGCCGCACTTCTGCTCCCATTGTCCTCACCTACCCTAACTCCGTCTAACTTTGCCGTACTTCGGATCCCCATTGTCCCTACTTAGCCTAACTCCGTCTAACTTTGCCGTACTTCTGCTCCCATCGTCCCTAGATCCCCCTAACTCCGTCTAACTTCGCCGCACTTCGCCATCCTTATGCTCCAGACCCCTGTATACCTTATTCTCCCGTTGTACTTTGCCGTAGTTGGTCTCAGATGTCCTAGATTACATGTCGGGTGAAGAGGTTAAGACGTAATAGGAGTTTTGATGGTCAAAGGAGGGTCATTGATGGTGGGATATTCGAGGTGTCACGATGTAGTTCGTGACAGTAACAACGATTCGAGACAACTCCATCGAATTCGAGGGATTAGGATAGAGTAAAGCGGGATTTGGAGGCAGTGCTCCTTTAGGTAGGGACAGGTTTTCCCCTTTTGAGATTTTCCCACTGGGTTTGCTCAAAAGCGGTTTTTCACCTGTCCGATTATGTACATAGACGCTTGCAGCGGGAAGAGGAAGAGGACAAGGACAAGGATACCTGTAGACAGTATATAGTACAATCAGCAAAGTACCAACTTTGCTGATTCCTCAATATCATTCTTTGGCTACATCGATTGCAGAGGAGACAGGATCCACCACATAGCATCAGAGACACATAGACTTCCGCAAGACTTCCATCGAGTTCGACCCGACCTGCGACTCAGTCGTCGTGTTTCCAGTACCGTTAGAGGAACCCGTCTAGAGGTACCCGTGATCCTGACACTACTCCGTAATTTCCCTGGACTCTCGGACCTTTGCTTTGCCAGCTGATGTACTTAGAAAGGAAACAGATGTATGATTGTCAACAAAAGTGTGTGAAAAGCATGAATACTTCACGGGTCAAGCCAGGGCCTCGGAGATGGCAGCGAGTGCTGTGTCGGCTTATCAAAGGCGGAGTTGTTGATTGAGTGATGTACAGTACAAGTACTGTAGATGTCCATGCATACAACAATATCATATCTTCACCTTGTCCTCAAACAGTCGCTGTGTTGTCCTACTATCATGCCTCACATGTGTCTCCCTTGACGTATCTGCCATGTATAGCAATATATCTTGAACATCAACAAGTGTAGTGATGTACTATATACGTACTGTACTGTAAGAGATTTAAATAGAAAAGATGCACGGAATCATTGATAGCGATATCACTGTCATGACCACGTGCATCGAAGTTGCTAGTTCGGGTAATATCCAATCACCTCCATTACCCGCCACCGATAAACACTACCAGCCACCCTTATCTACATTACATTCTCATTCCATGTACATAAGGTAGTGCATAGTTTAGAACAACTTCGACGAATGTATCTTGTCTGTCTCAACATACAAGTCCTCATATACATTTGCCAAACTTATCTTTCACTCCTCGAACTACTTGCTTCGATCCTCGTATCCTCTTGCAACTAGTTCAAGTCCCTACAAGTAGCTTATCACCCTCGACGCAGATCCTTCGGCCTTCGGTCTGGTCTTGACAATCACCCTTGTCAGGTTCTTTCAAGTTCTCGTCAACCTTCTGTCACCTCGATGTTGATGTTCTTCGCACTACTCGTAACCTTCTTTGATCGTACCTTTGTACCTGTCCGATGATGTCACCAAAGATCCTTGTTGTCAAGACGAACGTTTGGTTCGTGTCTTTGAGGTTTGCAGGGTGAGAAATTCCGCCCGAATCGGACGCTCGATGCACCGCTTAGGGGGTCATACGTACCAAGTCTTTGTCATACCTAAGTCAAGGGAAGGTAGAAAGCTATGCTATACTTCCTTCTCTTCTCAGACCACCTTTCATGAGAGGCTCCACTCTCAAAATCTTGCAGCCCCAAGACTTCATCACCTTCCTACCTTCAGTGATTACAAAAGGGGCCCTTCAATGTCTTTCTAACAGTGAAACCACACCACTGTTCTCTCCCATCTCAAATCTTGACGCACAGGGATATGTCTGCTGAGTTCTTCTGGGGACCAGTCAGCCAAGTGAAAAGTCAGAAAGAAGAATTTATCAGCAACATCCGCACCATGATACCTGGATTGGCGGGCATGCTGGATCCCAACACACTCAAGGCGGGTCATGATACATACCCTTCTAGGTTGGAGATTACCCGGGTTCCCCACGTTGAAAACTTGTATAGAGTCTGGATATCCGATCTTAAATGGGTAAGTCCAAGATGTTGAATCACATTTAAGCGTTGTTGCTGCTGAAATCAAACAGGAGGTAGAGGAGGGGAAGGAAGATGTGGGAGAGCTTTCCGTGACTCTTGATGATACCCAAAAACAGGCTGAGAGAATCACTCATGCTCGCTACTTGAATCAAGATGTGACAGCAATGCAAACCACAAAGTTGATTTACAGGCAAGGGACTCTTCAGGACTGATGAGATTAATGGCCGCTTTCGACGCCATCGAACGTTGCCCAACGGTTCCATGTCGATTTGGTTACGTTGAGTTCCAACCAGGAACATTGGCTTACTATACGCGGGTACAGGAGAATGCGGATAGCCGTCAGACCATGGAGGATTGGAGAGCATGGGTGGATGGACTTTGACTTCTGAATAGCTTGGTTACTTTGGCAAGAGCAAAGAATCATCAGTCATCTACAAAGTCTGTATGTATATGTACATTTCCAGATCGACCGAACTTGGTTGTGGGTGATGCCCAGATGGATGTCTGTAGAGTCTCATCACGACGCTGGTCCCCCTTCCCAATTCCTGAGTTCCCCGCCTCACCAAAGATGTGGTGATCTATGAATGATTATGCTGAGATCACTGGTGACTGTATGCCAAAACGTGGCATATGGTGATTTCCGACGCAAGACCTGTGATGCTTTCTCTCAGGCCCAAGTGGTCCTATTCCGTATGGTAGTCATTGAGGCCTCCTTCCTCGTGTCAAAATGTGGGATACATTATACCATTGGGTTTGTACGGTAAAGATGAGTTTTAGTCGAGGTTCCTGATGGAGGGTAAAGTTCACACTGAGAGATGGACATTGATTCATGCCACAGGATGATGTGGTATACATACAGATGAATCAAGATGAACAGCTACATTGGAAGCCCAACATCTCTCGTGACCCCAAACCACATAACCTTGCTTCTTCGCCAGTAGGATAGGGAGCAAAGGGGTTCAAAGCCATCTGAGGTACAATCAGCACCCTTATCATATCTACTCCTCTGATCGTTTCTTGCCTATCATATTCCGTCTGGATAAGACAAGTACACAGGCAGAACAAATGGGCAACATCCCTATGGTATTGGCGGGGATGGTCAAGACAAAAAAATCTTAGGGAAAGAGACTGAAGGAGGGAAGAAAGAATGAAGAGGGTGAGGTAAAGAAGGTGGTGGAAGAAAAGGAGGTGGAGGAATGAGAGGCGGAGGAGGAGGGGATAGAAGACACTCACATTGACGCACCTTCGAAAGAGCTTCCCGGGACTTATTCTCCTCTCCTTCCGCACAATTCTCCATGACGCCGATTACCTCTTCTAATACCCATTGGCGAAGGACGAACCTAGGATTTGTCTGATCCATCACCATCCGCCGTTTGACAATCCATCCTTCTTCCTCAACCTTCTGCTTCACACCTTCCAGTCGAACGTCCCCCCCTACATTAGTTGCAGGTGATGTATGTTTTTGCCAAGCATGTCTTTCTGCTGGATCGACGATACGTTTACCGTATTCTAATAACCAAGGGACGAAAGCTTTACTTGCTTCTCCAACGGAAGAAAGAGTAGAGGTAGGTAGACATGTCTCGAGTTGAGAAAGAAAAACATCCATATCAATATCTGAGGTCTGCTCGACGGTTCTCGAATTTACAGAAGTGTCTTCGGGCGTTGAGAGACCAGAGGCAGCGGACGATACGACCGGTTTAGATGACGAAGGAAGAGGAGAGAAAGAAGATAGAAGACGGAATGTAGCGTGAAAATCTAATGAATGTGTATGTAAAAGTGTCAAGAAGTCAGATATCAGTCGATCATCTGTATTTTTTTCGCTTAGAAGTCCGAATCTCTGTCATCTATCAGCTTGTTCCACATCAGATCAGTGAGAGCCAATGGGCAAGTGAGATCAACACTTACTGTCCTCCAGCCTTTCCTTTCCGCCTCTCCTTCAATCGACAGAAACTCCTTTTCCCATCCTTCCATAACTTCCAATCCCTTGTCGGTCCATTCCGCTACATCATCCTCACTCGCATAGATGCTAAATGCGGGGGAAGGTAGACCACGGAGGAGTTCGTACCCTATCAGAGGAGCGACAGAGGAGACCAATTTATCGATTGCGAACATTACCCGGGAAGTTTGATTTCGATACGAGTAAAGACCGGTTGGATCCGAATGGTCTGTCGTCAATACTGGTAATCCCACACTGTAAGTGATCGAGGTGGCGCAGCCCCCTGATTTCCTAAAGCAGTCACGAATGAGATTCAGCTTTATGGAGTGATGTGGTAGGATCACAAGGTGATGTATTCTGGTGAGTGTATCATGGGCGAAGACTCACTACATATGTGCGAGGGATCGTATACATCCATAAAAGCATAAGGACCAAAATCTATCGTCAAGCCGAGAATTGAAATATTGTCTGTATTCAACACCCCATGCATCCATCCGTAAACCTGAACGTCAGTCTTTTCACTATTTCTTGCTGACACTGGTGTTGTATTCCAGCCTGTCAGCGAGGGGGATCAGAGAAGCAGGCAAGCTCATATGAACGTAACTGGATGTCGTATGTCAACCAAACAGGTCGGGAAAGACTTCCAAGATGTCAGGGACAAAAAACGGATGCAAGGGTTCAAATCCATTCGGACCTACCTGCCAAAGAGCAACCATCTCTGCATTCCTTCTCCCCACTTCTCTGACCCAATCACCTATACTCCCCTCCCATCCGATCAAATTCATACACCAAAACGTCAAGTCCCTCAAACTCTCCAGATTCCCTTGTCCACCCAAAGCATCCTTCTCTGGTGAATCATTGGCGATCTCAGAGGTTTGCCAATTTCCACCGAAGAAGAATTGCGTTTGACGTGCTTCCGGACCGGGGTTGAGAGCTTGAAAATGACCGATACGTATGAATGATGGGGCTACGCGGGCGAGGAGAGAAGGAGGTTCGGGACCGTTTTCCCGGAATACGGGAAGGGATGGGTGGGTGAGAAGAGCGAGAGAACGAGTTGTGGGTATACCTAGAGCAGCGAGGGCTGAATATAAGCCATTGGTCAAGATGCTGTCCCTCCACTGCCTGTCCATCGTCATGGCGGCTATGCGGAAGGTCCCGAATCTGCAGATCAAGGATGGATAGGATGTTTTGTGGCTTGTGAATGTTCCAGTGGGCCATGAGGAAGGCCTTAAAAGATTTCTGGAATTGCGCGAAGCAGAGACGGAGGACAGATGGAATGACTCACCCTCGCATCCCAAAAACTCCCTGACTCCACTCCTTAAAACAGCCAACCCATCCGCCGTCCGACTAAAGGGTGTTCTTCCCGCCCCTTTCAACTGAATCTCTTGTCTGCCTCCCTCCTGGCTGGTAGTCTCCAGAATAGAGATCGCCCGCCCGTCTCCCAATTGTCCAGCCCAAGAACCGAATTGATGTCCGCAATAACGGGTGGAGAAGGGACCGTAGTTTGACGACATGAGGACTTTACGTCCTGACAAGACGTCGACGAATGAATCTCGTGCTTCGTTTCCTGATCCGGTTGACCCTACATCCCTTCCATCTTCGTCAGGATGATTCTTCGAGTTTAAAGGAGCAGCACAGAGTTCCACGGCGTCCCCTGAATCCAGATGAGGGAGAGAGTCCCTCAAAGTGGCCGGCGATACACCCAAGAGAACTGGAGAGAGTCGAAGTCTTCTTTCCGATGACATCAAGCTCAGCTCTGTCGATTGTCCTAGATCTGTTCGACCACTTGTCCCAGCTTCCAGGTCCTTGTCAATGGCCAAAGTTGTTCGATCCTCAGAGCTCGAATAAGTGGACGGACCAGCATCATCTATCGGATCCCATCGTTTCAAAACATCCTCCAATTCTATTTCCCTCCCGTCCAGTCCTGCTTCTATTTCGTCGGCCTCAGCTTTGGATATACGTGGTGGCCAACAAGCCCACAGGGGATTCACCCTTGCCCACACCCCCGAGGTGGCAGGAGGGAATGTCTGCGATCTTCGCTGCGCCGAAGGATTGTCTGGAAGTGGGAGTTGAGGGAGAGCATACTGAAGGGTGGTAGCAGGGAGTGGAAGACGATGTATAGGTAGCTTTTGAGACATGCTCCGTGCTCTCCTCAAAGTCATAGGGGGAGGTGAAGAGAGTGAGAACGGGATTAGTAAAGTGATTAGTAAACTGATTAGTATTCAGATTAGGATTGTGGATAGTAATGCCTTGGCTGCGCGGTGCCCCGGATTGGATTCGCCGCTGTATCCGACCGAACGCAGCAGGGCATCGCCTCTCTATCACTACTGTGTTCACGTTACTACCAACACTCTATCATTGTATATGTCTCCTTAACGACCTGGCGACGTAGGCATATACGATTCGTTACTTCACTGCACGACACAGAGACCCTGGGCTTGGCGCACTTGGGGTTTGACTTGGTGATTGGCCAACGAAAGGCATAATACTGTCGACATCAACGGATCCTTTGTCCATCACCCCTCTACCCGTCTGCAACATCGAAGCGAGAACACGACAAAGCAGCTTACTCGTTTCCCCCCTTTCTCGACTTCTCGAACCGCCCTTGAGTACTCGAGTGATGAATATTGGTCGACCACCAATAGCGGGCAGGTCTCGGTTGGGGAATCATCGATATGTACTCAAGCTGAGATGGACAGGTATGCGAACATTAGTGCAGCTCTTGGCTGTGCTCTTGCTCAGTAATCTCATCTTGGCGGTTCATGGTGAGTTAATCATTATCATCCTATTCGACCTGCTCTTCCACCACTGTGTGAGAGTTGTTTGATATCCAAAGCTTACTCTCAGCTCGGTCACCTCATCCACCACCATTAAAGCGAATCCATCATCTCTCCTCTCGTTCGATAGAGATTCTTCCCCGCCTCAATCACCTCTCACCTCGAGGCAACTACCATCCTCCACCTCATTTTTCAACTTTACTACATTCCGACACCTTATTTTTGACCCTCTCCATCCCGTCCGATTCTTTGCACGAGACCACTCTCCTCCTCCGCCCATCGGAATATCTCCTTCATGCCGACGCTAAGATCACCTTTCCCTCTGGTACGGTTCAGAAATCCTTTGCTCTTCGTGCGGAGGACTATCGGTTGTATACCGGAGAGGTCATTGACCCTAGATGGGTCGCACGGGTGAGACAGACCCAAACTGTTGGGATGGGGCTGGACCCTAGAGCGATCATTGGCACGGCGCAGATCATGGTGCATCACCCTGGCGGACTTCCTGGAGACATCAGAGGAAATATGGAAGATGGAGGTCAAGCTGTCTTCGAAGGAATGTTCACTGTTCATGGGGAAGTATGGCAGGTCATGACATTGAAAAACTACCAAAGAGTCAAAACGATACATGATGTTCATGCGGAGGTTATAGGAGATTTAGTTGTGTTTCGGAATTCGGACAGGGATCATTCTGTTTCAAGTGGAAGCTCATGCGCTCATGATCACATGATGTTCAATTCACTTCCCTCACATCCCATCTGGACCGGACAGTCCAACAGTGTCAACAGCTCTACCTCATCTTCCCCGTACCATTCTATATCCGATACCTCACTGTACGACCACAAGACATCTCAACATTCCCCCTCCGACAACGACGATGTGAGACGGGAGTTGGGTAGAAGAGATGATACAGGCGGTATGACAGCTTCCTCCAATTATATCAACTCCATAAATTCCACCGTCGGATGTCCTTCCACTACCCAAATCGTTTATATGGGCGTTGCCCTGGACTGCAACTACATCGCCGCTTATTCTTCTCCGGACGCAGCACGTACTCAAGCGTTAAACGATTGGAACATGGTATCAGCATTGTATAAATCAACCTTCAACATCTCACTGGGGATCGTCGAGTTGGTGGTTCAAAACGCGACGTGTCCTGATACACCTCAATCTGATGCCGAGTGGAACATCGGATGCGGTGCTAATATCACTTTGGACGATAGGTTGAGTCAGTTCAGTCAATGGAGGGGTAATAGGGGGGAAGATGGAGTAGGGTTGTGGCATTTGTTGAGTGCGTGTCCGACGGATAGTGAAGTTGGTGTGGCTTGGTTGGGAACTTTATGTCAGAGCACGGCTCAGAATCAGGGAGGAAGTTGGGTCAGTGGGACTGGTATATCGACGGCTAGTACGACAGAGTGGAGCTTGATTTCTCATGAGATCGGACATAGGTTAGTGTCACCCCTTATGACAACTTTCCTCTACAATGACCTGACAAACTTCCTTTCCATCATCAACCTTCATCTGTCTGGGAAGATGTCATGTATGACGCAGGCGAACGCTGACATGAAAAGCTTCGGCGCAATTCACGATTGCACTTCCGGTTGTTCCCTTTCTGGCAAATGCTGTCCTCTCTCTCAATCCTCATGTGACGCTTCAGGTCGATTCATAATGAATCCCACTACATCTTCCATCGAACAAACATTTTCCGCTTGTACACTTGGTAACATATGTTCCGGTCTCGGTGAAAATCTCGTTTCATCAACTTGTATAACTTCCCCAGGATCTCGAACAATCATATCACTCCAACAGTGCGGTAATGGTATAGTTGAAGAAGGTGAAGAATGTGATCCAGGATCAAACGCCACTTCTCCATGTTGTGATGCTTCAACTTGTAAATTCACTTCTGGATCAGTATGTGATCCATCAAATTCAGCTTGTTGTACCAGTACATGTGGTTATGCTTCGGCAGGAACGGTATGTAGAGCAGCTTTGGATGAGAAATGTGATACGGCGGAAATGTGTACGGGAAATAATGCTACTTGTCCGACGGATGTGACTGAACCAGATGGGAAAGGATGTGGTGATGGAGGATTAGCTTGTGCTAGTGGAAGATGTACAAGTTTAAGTTTACAATGTCAACAAGCTGGAGAAGGGATGAACTTGACGACTGCTTGTGGACAGAGGGATGATAAGAGTTGTGTTGTTTCTTGTAAAGATCCAACGACGAGGTGAGTTTTCCTCCTCATTTTCAAAACCCCCTTATTCATTCATATACCCCTAACGACGTGTGTATCTATTGTTGTGCGATTGGTACGAGGTTTGGTGAACTCTTTTTTGTTTTCCCCCCTCAACGTCTACGGGTTTCACCACCGTTCTTCTCCTATGCGGAGGGCTGAAAACATTCTTACCATTGATGATACTATGAATTAGCGTTGATACCAGAAATCAATGCGTTGTGTTACAAACATCATTGATCGACGGATCTCCATGTGGGTACGGAGGTCATTGTTATAATCAGACTTGTCGTTCGGGATCATGGGAGAATACGTTGGATGCGATGTACACACAAAATCTACAGATTTCTATTCCTGTCACCATCGTTGGGGGATTGTTGGTGAGTTTTCAGCTTCTTTTCCTCTCGTTTTGTCACTGAACACCCTTCTCTCGGAGCGTCTCCTCTGCTCGACTGTTGTCCCTCTATCTCATCTACCTGATCAGCTTTTTATCTGATCGATCTTTACCCGACTACTTCGTTTACCTGCCATTCTGCATCCGACTACCTTCTCAATGACTCCCACAATTTATAATCAAGGGTCCCCGGCTGCTCAGACAGAAACACTCGAAGGATAAGAGGTACTTACACCTCTAGATTCTCACCATCATCGTTGCTTTTATACGATGCGTCTACAGATCCTGCACCCGTCGACCTCGTTACAGACATCCTCGTGAAACACAAAGAGACATGTCCCAATTACCCCCACCGCCAGTGAACCGACATTCCGATTCATTGAATTCATCAGATGCTATAACTCAAACAAATCTCATCGAGCGAGATCCTAGTCCGAATCCCCCTGTTCAAGCTGGTAATGTCGAAAATCAGAGAGGAACCGTTCTTCGATCAGATGGAGGAATGTATGTTGAACCATATGGGTCAGAGAACATGGCGGGTTATGGAGCTGGAGGTGGAAATCCTGGATATGGGTATAGCGGACAAGGAGGTTATCCTTCTCAAGGATGGCAAGGAGAATATCCACAAAGAGGACAAGTAGGTCATGTTGGACAAGGAGGATATGATCAAGGACAAAATCAAAGTTGGGTAGATGCGAGATTGTACAACGGTCCGGATTACGGTGTTAACCAAGCATATGGTAGATAAATGTTGATTTCAATGTTGAGATGTAGCATCTTTTGAAACTTTTCCCTTATTCCTCATATGTGCATTCTACTTGTACGTGAAAGCCATTCATCATAGTATGGACTGAAAGTTGTTGAGGAAGTATCGCAATTCCATCTCAAGTGATATAACGAGAAACTCCCCTTCGTTGTTTCTTCAATGTAAAGGTCTCACAATCTCACAATCTCACAATCTTACGGGCTTACCGGGAACTGAGATGAAGATTCCGGAGGAAGGATTCCGCTCCTTTAATATTCAACCCCTTCCCCTTCCAAGGGTGTTCAAAGGAAAATCGTTTTGAGACCCAAGTTCCTTTCTCTTTTTTAAGACAATGAAAATGATACAAGATAGTGAATGTATCGTACATAATCTCTGCCCGGATTTCAAATATTCCTCTCTTTTTTCAACCACCTTCTTTCCGATTGACATTATACTGAAAGCCCTTGCCCGATAGTTCAAAATCCTGGAGGATATACATTCATCCTGATCAATTGGTAAGTGAAGCTTAGAAGTTTCAGTCGTGCGACGATAACACCACCAATCAGCTTGACGTGTAGAAGAAATCTAGACAAGATGTTAGACGTCATGACTACTCTCGTAGGAGTCGAATCGGCTTATTTATTGTATACTTCTTATACAGGTGTAGGGATGTTCAGTGAGATTGTAAGATATGATACTAGATGGATATATGGGGAAATGATAAGGTTGAGTAGTAGTGGAAAGTGTTTATTTGGGAATCAAGAAGTTTTATGTTCAGAAACTAGAGGTGTTTTAAGTGGTGCAGTGTGAGTTTTTCTACGATTCACCTTCCATTCTCTTTTATCCCGTTTTCCTACTTCTCTGACCATATTCCGTACTTTCTTTCAATCTCCGTAGCTCCCTACAGCTCTGATCATCTTGTAGTAACTATTCTGGATAAAGTCCCACGAGATAAATATCATCATTAAAGATGTTCCACATTGATGACCAGTGATCTCGCCCCATGGGTTGGTGCCGCATGTCAAATATTTTACTCCCTCACACTTTTCTTCACCCTCGTCAGTGCATATTGGTACACTGCCGCCTACCGAAGATGGGGTAGTACCCAAGTTCTGAGAGAAGTGAGATGGTTCGTTCTGACAGTGATGGGATTCTCATTATTGTCGGGATTCATAGCTTCAGTGAGTATCACAAACACGATTTAAACGGGGGACGTTGATATTGATGACAGTCACTCGGATTAGCCGTTTTATTCCCACCTTTACTCAACCCGACTATGAAAGGGTTGATCAACGTCCAAGTTGGTTCAGGAGAGATCATCTTGATGCTTGTTTTACTTGGGGTGGGATACTTGAGTTTCGGGTTTTATAACGTTTCGAAAGAAGCTTTGGATATTTTGAATTCGTTCGTCTTGCTTTCTTCTTTCCTCCACTTTCCTTCCACTACCAAGATGAGAAGGACGGGTCATCCTCTGGTTCCATGCTCCATGAATCATGAAGGGGAAAGGAGTAAAGAGAGAGAGAAAAAAAGTGCTGATGAATGTAGTGAAGGTCAAGTGAGATTAGAAGTAGATGATGAAGATACACCATTACTATCTTCGTACGAGAAAGAAGAAGTGTGATCTTCCGTGCGTAGTATAGATTCGAATTTGTAGCGATTCATGTAGTAAAGTGCCACATTGCCACATTCAACTTGCAACTTCCCTTTCAACCCTCTCTCCCTTGTATGTATGTACTTGACGTCCATCTTTCCTGCATAACTCGACTGGATCGAATTGTTTGAATGACATAGTAAAGCGAGTATGCAAGATGTTCAAGAAGCCATTGGCAAACCAGTCAAACTTCACACCCATTCGGTCTTCCGCCCGACGTCAACTTCTGAGCTCCATCTTTACCCAATACCCTTCTCTCCTTCGAGATATCCCGTCAGCCTCCGTGTTACCAGATGGAGGATCAGGAGATGTTAGACCACGGGATGACAGACCTACGGAGAAAGATATAGGCAGAATGATACTTCCAGAGGGTGTCAAGAGTGGGACGTTTGAGACTAGCGCAGGTGTCGAAGGTGTAAGCTTTTCCTCGCAGGCCCCTTCCCCTTATAAAGCTCCTTGTCCAGTCATGTTCACGCATACAACATCTTTTCTCCTGAAAATTACTTGGATTATACTGACATCCAGACTATGTACACCAGTGGAGATGGTGAACCACTTTGGATCTCCTTTGGCCGTAAAAGCTCTGAATTCGTACCGACATGTAAGCTGTCTCTCACCATTGAATTCCTCTTGACTGATCCTCAGTATCTCTTCTCGCACTTCCTTTAACCTCTCCGCCCTTACCTATCCTCCAACTCCCCCATCCTCTCCCACCACCTCTTTTTACCGGTGCCCCACTGTTCTTAGGAGCTGTACGAAACCTCCATCGCCCTCACCTTTTACCTGACGTAAAGGAGGGTGAAGTAGTTGCCCTCGTCAGCCCGCACAATGGAGAGGAAGGAGAAGTGGTCTATGTAGGAGTCAGCCGGGTTGTGGCTCCTGGAGGTCTTTCTGGGGCGTTAGAAAGACGGAAGAGGAATCTGGAACAAGGTGTGGAGAGGGAAGAAGGACGATTTGCGGAAATCCTTTGTATCGTGGATGATTAGTGAGTTACTCTACAATGAACATGGTTTTTGTTGCTGATGAGGTAGTCTCTGGAAACTCGGGTCCAAACCTTCACTTTCACCTTTTCATTTGCTTCCACCCCAGAATCCACTGGCGCCGAATCCTGAGCACACACCATCATCTTCCGCCCAACATCAGGTCCTGAATCCGGACGGAAGTGGGGATGTGGATGAAACGCTCGAGAAACTAGCCAAATTGTCCTTCACAGAAGAGGAACAATCAGCAAATAAGCCTGTGCAACCTCTCTCTCCGACAGAAATTTCAACTTTGCTCTCTGTATCTCTTCTACAAGCCTTGTCCACACTCGATCCCTCTCAACTTCCCATGCCGGCCTCACTCCTATACTCAGCTCATGTCCTTCCTTCCAGACCCGCCTACATTCCCAAGGAGCAGAGAGACGACGTGGTCATTGGGAAAAGCGAATGGAAGAGACTTGCAAAATGGATGAAAGAGGTCTCCAAAGACGGCTTGATCAAAACCAAAGAAAGTAAAGGAGAAGTGGTGATTGTATCTGTCGATCAGAGTCATCCGGCCTTAGACGGACATAAAGGGCATCTCACAGTGGCTGAAGAGGATAGGAAGGCTGCTAAACGTGCGATGAAAGAAGCGGAGGGAGATAATATGCGGGTAGCGGAAAAGGGAATGAAAGGGGAATTGAAGATTGAAGAACTTTGGAGACCTACCGGAGCAAATGTTGGATTCTGGGAGGAGTGCGGAGTCGAGTACGTCTTTCAACACCCCCATCGCTTTCGTGTCCTGCTCTCAATACAGTTCTCCCCAATCACTTTCCTGTTTCCTTCCTAGATCCAAGAGCAACGAATTCTCGGTGCTTGTTGTGTGCAATCAGTCTTCGAGTTTGAGATACCTATTCCGGATCGATGGGGATATGACATGACTGACGCCCAGTAAATCCGTTCTTCACCCTCCTGCTCTGCTCAAGACTGCGTTGGAAGACTACATCTCAAAACACAATCTCGTGAACCCTCACCAACGTCAATCCGTGCATCTTGACGAAACACTGGGTAGAGTATGCGGTATCAAGAAAATAGATCCTGGACAGATGCTCACACGAGAGGAAATCATAAAGCGGTTACGTGCTGGTGTCTCGTGGTCCGTCTCGATTGGTGGAGTGGTCAAGTACGTCTTGCCTTATTCATATCCTCCCTATGACTTGCCTACTCCCTTTGCGCGCCCTTCTATCCGATGATGTCCTCAACATACTCTTTCTCTGGAAAGGTGCGGCTTTGAACGTCCATAATGCTCTCCGTTATCTCATTGTCAAAGCAAGTTTCCGTCCGGAAGACTTACCTACTGTAACGAAAACAAGTGGTCATCTTTGATCACATGCCAGCACAAGGCAATAGACACTTTACTGACTTGACAGGAAAGGAAACCTTCAACCCATCACTCTGACTGTCAAGACTCGGCAAGGGCGTAAGACGGTCACCATCATTTCTGGCCTGGAGAGTTTCAACATTGTGGTGGAGGAATTTGCAGAAGAAATGCGTAAGCTCTGTGCAGGAAGTGCTTCCGGTGTGTTCAAAATTTCTTTTTCGCATTCCCCGATGGGTATTCCTAATGTTATCCCAATCTCGCCTCATTTGTCTGATGGAGATCCTTGTCATGCTCCATGAGCAAGATTCATATGCACATCCACGCAGTGCTGACCAATCAGTACAACCTCTGTCGGGCGCATCACCCAAGTTGAACCTCTCAGAGGTAGTCGTCCAAGGGACACAGGTGAGGATCATCACGGATGCCTTGATTGACAAAGGTGTGCCAAGACGATGGATCAAAGAGGGTGATGGAGATAAAAAGAAGTAGGAGCGGGATTGTGTCATTGACGTAGCCTAAGGAAGAGATGACTTTCAATCTCATCATCTTTTTCTGAGCGTCATCTGCTCCACATCATTTGTCATGATATCACCTGATCTCGGCCTTACAGATTGACGTGCTCTGAGGAAGATGACACATGTCCAACCAACCAACCCCATGTACGCTCTGACAATGCCAATCTCCTGTAGAAGCCGACAATCAACTCCGACAACATGACACGGGAAAGAAACCCCAAGTCAACTCCGCACTCAGTCAATTTTCTTCCTTCCTTTCAAATGTAACCCCTGCCGTTTGATTCACATTGATAAGACCGATACGACTCACCTTTGTTCATTGACGCACATGTCGTTTCTTCGTGCTTGTAAAGGAGACTCTTGGCAGATATATAACCAAGTCTATCCCCCAACAATTCACTATCACACCTGTTCAACATCTTTCCACACCATTACAACCCTTGACATGTCACAAAGCACCGGCACTCCCACTCTCATTTTGATCCATGATGGAAGTACCGTCCAAGTCTTTCCGGCTGTATCTACAGATGGTCGTCTCGTAGACCCAAACTCCGCCGAAGCGACATATAATGTCTATGACACCGCAATCGCTTTCTCGATAGAAGTCAACAGCATGATAGAACCCGACTATCAACAAGATCAGAATGATCCAACGTGGGATCCGTTGACCAGCGCTTGTAATCTCGCACGTAAATTACGCGATCAAGGTGATGCTTATACCGGAGCGGATATATTGGCTTTCAATGAGGTGGATGACTATAGTTTTTATCGGGAAACGACAAACAGCTATGATTGTTTATTGGAACCGACGGTCAACCTCAACTCACACGCCAGGTCTCAATTGATCGGTGAAGGCTACGAAGAAAAAGAAAATGATATGGAAGATTTAGAAGACAATTTTCAAAGCATGATGCGCGCACACGGGTCGATAAGAGACGAGAGAGTTTACGTACCCGATACCATGTATTTCCGGAAGCCAAAAAGGACACAAACGGACAGAACCGATTACACTGTCAACGCCCCAGAATCAGATCCTTCTTCCCCCTCCTCAACTCACGAGGATGACCACAAGAGTGAAATCAAGCAGGAAGAGGAGGAAGATTGAGCCGGAGTCAGGTTTATGATATAATCCTAGGGATGAGTCTGAGTTGGAGATCAGGAGATCAGGGGATTGTCCCACTGACTAAACTTCACTTCTTATATTACTTTTACTTACATGATGAAATACTCATGTCGTGTTTCTGACGTTGCCAGTCTGACTTCGGACTGACTTTAATGATCCTGACAACCATGCAAGATGTGTTAAGAGCTTCATATTCTCATTACAAATATCTCCAAAGTCTCAAAACCGTTAACCGCACACTACTAGTAACTAATGTGGTATGTATATGTGACTTTATAGCGTCCCTCCGATGGCCATTCACCTCCACGATCAGTACACGTTTCATATTGTCACTCCAATGTTCATACGATGTTTCTCCTAAAATGTCATGAAATCACGTCATCACACGGTTGTCTCCTTCCTTTTAACCACGCACCCCTGTCTCATGTTGACAGTCACAAACTCCGACCCTTCTACCTTTCACGAAAGCCACACCTGACTCCGCTTTGTCTCCCCTCTCGACTTCATGTGACAATATAAAGCCCTGCCTTCTTCCGACCTACCTCTAGTACCAACTCTTGAACAACCAAGCCCATTCGACCATACATAACTCTGCCATGTCACAAATGACCGTTCATCCCGCTCTCATCCTGATCCGTAATGGGGACACAGTCACTTCCTATCCCGCCGTATGGGACGGTAGCCGTCTCCTCTATCCTCTCCAAGACTATGATACTACCGCTGCGCATGATACAGCGGTAGCTCTGAAGATGGAAACGGACACCAAACTACAAGATTCTTCAATAGGGTATATTGGAGAGAGGTTACATGATCCTATAATGGGAGCATCAACATACCTCAGTCAATTTTGTGGAGAGAGTGATGCTTATAAGGATGCCCAGAGCTTTGGCTTTCATGATCAACAACAATATGAAAATTGGAAAAACAACAGCTTTAGTTATGATGCTATAGCTAGCAATGTTGACCAAGGTTGGGGAAGACATGGAAGTAATGATTGGCAATCTCAACTGGCATCACAATCGTCTAATGTGCCTTTGACCGCGCCAAGTTACAATTATGATGTTAATCTCCCTAACCGGTTTCTACATAAAAGAAGTAGGAGGACAGCAACAGGAGATACTACTTATACTGAGACGGCACCGGATGGTGAAATACCACCTGGTTATGAAGAAGAAGAGGATCAAGAGTGGACAGCAGGAAAAGTGGTGGATGGTTCCGTGACCGGGCCCGCGCCAAATTATCAAGGTTGAGTTCGTGTTTCAATCATCATGGTGAATGGATGAGTTGTGGTGATGATGGGTCTACGGGATGGCATAGATATTAGTGATGAATAGGAACAGGTCATTAACGCTTGTGTGAAGCAACCCCTGATGAAACAAGAGATGGGATTGTTGGCTGTCATGGCCAAAGCAATGGTGCAGTTGTCAGGGCTAGTGGTTGCCCACATACTCTGACATCATCTACACTTCTCAGTGCTGAGGTGTGAATGACGTGCATGATTGACAACACATTATACCTCACTATACGGAAAGATGTGCAACAGGGATAAAAACTTTCACAGAGGTAGGGCATTAATTGATGGAGAAGATTCTGCAACCTAGGGCACCTCAGTGGTCTGTAGATTCAGAGGCAGACATGGCCGAAAGCCTACTGCAGGGCCCCGGTGTTTCCATGACTCGGCCTTCCCAACCCGCTGATATAGCGGCCACAAGCTGGTTTATGCTTTGTTTCTTTCTGAGTGTATGATTTGCACCCCCTTCGACCTGCCCCCCAGAGGATTCACCGTCGTTTAGGAACGCGTGTTGTTGGTCGTTGTTGTTGACAAAAACCTCCACTGTACGAGTACTTGGCACAGGACTATTTTCTTCCGGAATTGGTGAGTTCCTGTAGTATGCACGCAGTTCCTTTGCCATTTCTGCCAAGGTGTTTCGTGCAGGCTTTCTGCTTGCATACTCTTCAGACCCCATCTCATCGGACCGTTCAAAAGAAGCAGCAATACTGGATGAATCGCTCCAAGGTCGTTCCTGGGTTGAGTCGTGAGAGGATGATGACGTGTGATTGTTCTGGATCCGTTGGTTGTGCTCACCTGCTACTTCTGCATAGATAGGCGTGGTCGACAGCGGTCCTGACACGGACAGCTGGTGGGCCATGTGTCATGACCGGGTAGCGAGCCCGCGATCATAAACTGTCCTAAAAGGCTCAATATCAACTCTGCTAGTGAGAGTTGATCTCGCTATAAGTACTGGTCGTGACACATTCCCCCCCTTCAGGGAAGCTGGCGTCTCGACAGCACTTCTGAACCCCAAACCCCGGCAGGCCTTCCCCTGAAGCCTGTGGGTTTGCAAGTCAGGTACCCTCGACAGGTATTCACGCTCTCGGAACTAGGAACTAGGAACGTCGAATCCTCCGATTCGACCATGGGATGGTCACATAGGACCCTCGGATGGTTGGCGACCCCAGACCAACCTCTCAGGACGAAACCTGAGCTCAGGGTGAAACCTGAGAAGGGGTGCTGACACCTGCAGCCAGCACGAACCAAACTTCGCGCACGACATCAAATCTCTTCACGCACGACAAAGTCACGTGACACCCACGTGAGTTGTTAGGCATGCATCTTTTTCCTGTTAGGCGTGTGTACCACGTGGCCTGCGAACACTCATTCAACTCTTCTCATACTTTCAACCAACATCAACTAACATCATTTATCATCATCCTTCTCTGCAGCACACAGGAGACAAGCCAGCGGTCCAAAACTCTGTCCATTGTACTCAGCACCCCTGATTACCCCCTTCTACTACCTATCCTGACTAACCTACATTGTGGTATTCGATTTTGGTACGTACCTCCTTCTACACCCCTCCTCAGAGATAAACTGACCTTTTCAGTCCTGTATCTCTCTGAATATCATGTCCGCCTCTCAACCTATCGATCTCTGCGACTCTACCAGTGATGATGAGGTCCTCTGGGCTCTCCCTCCTTCTCTCCCACCACTAATAAAGGAAGAAACCCCGTCCAACATCATTATACCGGAAACTCAGCAAAGTTTTTCTCCGTTGTCATCCCCCCAAGGTTCCCTAACACCTATACGTGATATACATTCAGTTTCCATGTCCCCTGGTACTGCAGACGATTTTTTTGCCCCTCCCACACCTCTCTCAGGGGAAAACAGTGAAGAAAATCCCGATTTTGAAGCCAATATTGAAGAAGACGAATTTGGTCCACATACCAGTGTCCCCAAACTTTTTCATGCTCCCCTAACCCTTCCACCCCAAACCTCCATCAATGCTGCTCGTGATAAACTCGATGTCATGGTCAGAAACAAGGGATTTGCTTTGGTGACGGATTCAAGTAATCAAAATCGACAGCACATGACAATGAACTGTGTATTTGGAGGACAATATCGATCTGGCCGCTCTGAAAATTTTGAAAAGGTACGAACCCGTCAGCCTCACACACAGCGATTAGGCTGTCCATTTCGACTTAAACTCTCAAGAGTTACAGAGAAGGACGCCCTGGCAGATGGATTTCGACCGATACTGCTTGAGACAGTGTGTAATGATCACAACCACCCTCCTGTCAAAAGTTTGCTTATCTCCCACCTTCGAAAAGGCTCGCGAACCCCCCAGATCACTTCCCTTCTACAGGAATACATTGATAAAGGGTTCAGTGTCCATCAAATCCTCAATCTTCTACAGGATCACCCCGATAAACCCCTCCTGACCCCTGTCGATGTATCAAATTTCAAGTGGAGGTACGAAAAGAACCGAATGAGTGGAAGATCAGCAACCGAAAGTTTGTTTTTACATCTTGAAAGAGAAAAACGTCTTTTCAAAGGCCTGGTTAATTCGAAAAATGAAGCTCTCGGTCTCATTTATACGACTCATAAAGCAAGAGCTCTGGTTCATCTTTATCCCACTGTTCTCATGATGGACTGCACTTATAATACCAACCGATATCGCCTTCCAATGCTCCACATCACTGGAATGACAGCAACCAACCTCACCTTTACTGCGGCCATTGCTTTTATCAATCGCGAGACTACGGATTGGTACGGGGTTGCGATAAAGAGTTTTCTCGACTTGATAGGTCCCTTAAAACATCGAATTCAAGTGGTAATAACCGATCGCGAGGTAGCCTTAGCTAATGCTCTTCAAAAATACCTACCAAATGTGAAACAGCAGTACTGCACCTGGCATCTGCGAGAAAACATCAAACACCTATGTGATAAGAAGAACTGCTTCGAGGGGGAGGATAACAAGATCTTAGAGAGACAGAGGTTTGGGGACATGTGGATGAGGGAAGTTGTTCAGGCCCATGACGATTTCAAGCTAGAGCAGGGGATGGATAAGATAAGAGAGAGGTTTTCGAAGCCAGAGCACTCTCCAGCAATTCGGTACATTGAAAACCTGCTATCTTCGAAGGAGAAGTGGGCCTGGGCCTATACCAACCAAAATCGTAATTTACATCAACATACGACATCGAGGAATGAGGGAGAACATCGTTCCTTCAAGGATTTCTTGAAAAGTCATACAGGGACGCTCTGGCAAGTGATCCCTCAGCTAGATCGTTTCCTGGACAGACAGTGGGACAGTATTACATTGAAAAACGGTCAGCAAACAATTCGATCGGCCTTAGTGGATCGAATACTCAGTGTCATAAACCGAGATGTGTCTAAATTTGCTACGAACTTCCTCCAGAATCAAATCCTCATTGCCAACAAACTTCTACATCAGCCTGATAGAATACACCATTGCTCAGGACGATTTTCAGCTTCAATGGGTCTCCCCTGCGCTCATATGATCTTGAATGTCATGAGAAATGATGGGGTACTCACTATCAATCAGATCCACCACCATTGGCGATTACTACCTGACGGCGGGTTCGATAAACTTCTTGAAGATACCAATAACAGAGTACAACCCACTGCTCTTCGGGCCATTGGGGTTCATCGACTTGAAGACGAATTCGAGGTAGTTAATGGTTCTCGCGATTTCATACTCGATCCCCCTGTTAATCTTGGTCTCCGTGCAAGGATGGCCATTCGAGCCTCTGCTACACAGGCTGCAGCTTCCCAATCTTCTCTTGCTTCTCAAGGAATAGCAGTGGTTCGACCTACACCAATGTATTCAAGAAATCCACCTCAGAGGCCTCCCTCTTCAGGTTTGAATATCTCGAAATCGTCAAGTAATCGCCCTCCCCAAGCAAGTACTGGTCGAATTCTCTCACAAAGCGAGCAATCTGCTCCTTCACGCCCTCTCCCTCCTAAATGTGACCTCTGTACCAAGCGACATGCGATTACCTACATGTGTGCAGCAAAAAAAGCAGTGGCCGCGAGGGAACAAGAGTTATTATCTCGATTTCAGGCTGAGAGGGAAAAGGATTCAGAAAGGATGGTGGAGAGGCCCCCTGTGATGATAACACAGCCTGTGATGACAAGGACACCCTCTTCGATGGCCAGGACGGCCTATGGGACAGTGGGGACAGGTTTACAGGTACGCACTTCATTGAAATCTGTCCTACCACTTCTGCTGGTCAATCTATGAGAGTTCCTGGCTGATTTATGCAGATATTACCTCAATATCCTTCTTATCCCTTCTACCCTTCTCCCCACTTGCCCCCAGGAGCCCCTGGGCCATCTAACTGGTACCAGAGGCCACCTACGTACCCTCCTGTACCGAATTATTCGAATTTCCCCCCTCCCTTTTATCCACCTGTGTATCAGCAACCGTATAGTCAAAATGGCCTCGGAAATGGCTCAAACTCAGGAGAAAGGAGTGTCCTAGACACCAGGCACGGTGGTATGAGACAGGAATCCCCCCCCGGCGAGTATAGGCCAGGACAACAGGATGGAACTGGTGGACAGAGGGGGTGAAGATGAGATCATGTATCTCAGTGAGTTTATCATTTCAGAGTTAGAAAAGTATATGAGGTGATAGAGGAGGAAGTGCTTCACATGTCTACAAAAGAGATGGCTTGATTCTATGCAGAGATCATTGAATTAAAAAAAAAAGGATTTGACATACTTTCATACGGGGACAGAGAGGTTGGAAGGGAGGTCCGTGCAGGCCACGTGGTACACACGCCTAACAGGAAAAAGATGCATGCCTAACAACTCACGTGGGTGTCACGTGACTTTGTCGTGCGTGAAGAGATTTGATGTCGTGCGCGAAGTTTGGTTCAGCCAGCACACCCCACACATAAGGTGAGAGCCGTGAATCGAACGTCTGACCCGTTAGAGTTGATATTCTGTCATGACCGGGTAGCGAGCCCGCGATCATAAACTGTCCTAAAAGGCTCAATATCAACTCTGCTAGTGAGAGTTGATCTCGCTATAAGTACTGGTCGTGACACCATGCCAGCCGTGGGAGGGAGCTCCAATCTGATAGGTTCAGGAATATCCCCTTGCCTAGGTGTGTTAACTTGAGAGTCCTTTGACGGGCAGCAACCACAGAGAAAGTTGCAGAGCCCAGATGGTGACGCGTTTCGAGAGTTCGGTTGTGAGGTAGGGGAAGACCATCTAGTACGAGGCTCGAAAGCTATCAGGCTATTGCTCCTATCGCTCCTATCGTCCCGAGTGGCCATTGCTTCTTGACTGCTAGATTTGAACTCGACGAATGTTCTTCTTGAGGATTGCCAAGGAGGAGAGTAGATGGAAGACTTTCACAGGAGGAATTCAGTGCAATTTATATGTTCAAGCCATTCTGGCTGGAGATCAAGAACAACTTCAAGCTTAACTTGCTTCTCCCGCGGTTAGCTAAGATAAACGTTCACTTTTAGCGAGGAAGTTAGTCACTCCTTTGAAACGGATCTAGAATCGACGGAGTCATGGTTGATAGTGTGAGATAGTCACCGGATCTTGGTCTGTGGTATCCTTTGAAGAAGCACTAGAAGCTTCGATATTTTACGCTACATTGAATCGAAACGTATGATCGATCAAATGGACGGCACTGAAGAGGGACGAGCTCGCAGTCCGGCAAGAACGTCTCCCCCCCCCCCCCCCCCCCCCCCGCCTTCCGTGGGCGACCCGAGCTCGACCTGGTCGCTTAGACACCATCCAAGTAGAGAAACGCACTGATATCTCTGCTCCGTCACATTCGGATCCGGTTCTGGCTTTCGGCCGGGGGACTACACTAACACGTCTGGTCACTCGGATACCGGAACTCAGGACGACGGATCAGATCAGGCAAGCGACGCTCGGATCTTGCACTCATTATTTAGGATATAAAGGTATGTTGACCGTCGGTCAGTAGAAGAGAAGAAACGACGATTGTGACACAGGTATAGAGACATATAGAGTTGATGTAAGCTCTTTTCCCCTCTGTATCATTATCCAAGCATTATTAAACAGATAGTACACCTTAGGCTGGGCAATATGACCTCATTGGTCTGGGTCCTTGTCAGCCAATCTCAGAAAAGCCCCAAAGTGGAAAGGACTTCATGGATTTGACCTATGTGCGGCACCAAGAATCCATGAACTTCGACTCCGGGTCCGAGTCTGCCTTTCGCTGACGTATTCTACGGTCCCTCACGCCTCTGCACGTCTCACTTTTCGGGCGACCCACTCTCCTTGTCAGAAAGAGAGATTTTCGTAGTCATAAAAGTCCCTGTTGACCGTCTCCATGGTTCCGCATACGATGCCCGGTGCCCTCAATGGTATGTGTTGAGGTGATTCTCACGATCGCACGGACCTGATCATCACACATCTTTGGACCTCGCTACCGTCTCCGAGATACCGGACTTCTAATTCATGATCTCTGAAACAATAATTGGGAAGGTGGAGAGGGTATTTCTGTTACTGTAAGCTAGGGTGACCTACGATACGGTGATGGACGTGAGGGAGAACCGCTTTCCGTATCACATCTCATCTCCAAGATACATAATCATCTCATGGGTGTTTTCCAAATCTGTTTCCGTACTACGCTACCTGCTCCTTGTGGCCCATCATAATATGGTCGTGAGACTGAAACGCCAACCATCAATGGTTTTACAACATGTTGGAAGCTAGATAGAAACAGTGCATCTTTCGAGATGAATGGCTTTCATGGAATGAGAGAGAAGCTCCGATTCTAGGATCGTCTTCCTGGCCCCACAACTTTCGAAAATTCAACCCCCGTAATGTACCACCTTTGTATCGGAAATCTCCGACGCCGAGATGTCCGTGTCACTCGACCTATATAAGATTCTCCAAATGCAGTATTCACTCTTTCATCAACTTCCACTTCATTATGTTTCCCACTACCCATCCTATGAAATATACGTTCCAGAAGGAAGGTGGAACTCACGAAGGATGCATCTTGGCAGTCGTCCTCAGTCTTGAATCACTATTCTTGAGGCCGATTATGTGCACGTTTCCAATGTCGGGGGAAAGTGGGATTTCTCTTGTTATGGGTCCTTACGATGATAAATCGGACTGGAACGGGAAGTTTGCCGGTCGATGGCAACCGAGGCCATCCGATCCCGTTTGGCCGTACTGGGAAGAGTCTACCGAGAAAGCTATAGCTACTTGTATTACCGACTGGCTTATTGAAAGGCGGGCAAAGTCTAAGCCGGATACACCCACTTCCAGAAAATCAGGCGGGCTGAGACATTTGTCCGTCTTACAAAGCCTGTTGTCAAGGAAACATAATCTACCCACATCTGGTCAGCACCCCTCTCAAGTTGGACTTCTTGATTCTTTCAATGCAGACCAGCATCAGGATCAGGAAGACCCAAACAACAATGACGGTGAATCACTCGAGTCCACCTCCATGGTTCATGAGCCAAACTCGCCCGCCAACAATAATGTTGAGGAGCCTAAGAGTGAGAATACTGAGGTGGAGAAAGAAAAAGAAACTCCGAAAAAAGAAGAACTCACGGCAAATGAATTAGAGGCAGTGACAAGGAGCTTCCAAAGGGCTCTTCAAAATTGTGACCCTCAAAGTGGATCCATCAGGGTCATGGTGTATCTCGCTTACAGTGAAAATTCAGTTGAAACTGTTAGGAAAGCATATCTGACTGCATTCAATGGAAGTGAGGCTCATGAAGAAGCTAGGAGTTCGTCCGGGCCATCTGGAGGTGATACGCAATAGTGACATATGAGGATGACCATCAACGGCAACTCCCTGAAGCTCTGCATTGGGTTAGAGAGCAAAATGACATGTTCCTAATCGAGAGATGCAGATGATTGTTTACTGGATTCGGACCGAAAGATACAGTCCAGATAAGAGATGCCGTCGTCTCTATGATCGATTTTGTTGATGTTGGCAAATAAGGACTTCCACGTCTTCACGATACTGATCATCCCCCTAGCTTCTCTTGGTGTTGACCTGTGATGGGCTTCTTCCCGTTTATCTCATATTGTGGGTTTCAAATAGTGTGGTATCAAGGAGAGTCAAAGTTTCATGACTGGGTGTCTATCCCGAACATCGAGATATCGTATTTCTCCCGGCATCCCCCTCGAGCGATAGCCTTGGCTCCCGAAGGATAGAGTGAGTTGATCTTATCCATTATCCTAACAATGAACTGAGCTATCCTTCCTGTCACGAACTACGATCGTGACACTTCCCAACATTGTGTATGGTGCGGTCATCCTGGCGGGTAAGCCATGAAGAAATAGTCATCAGATTGTTATTCCTTCGACCCATCGTAGTCCTGCATCTCCGTCTGTTATGACAGGTGAACATGCGAAAATCAGTAATGCAGTCAATATTTCGAAACAGGTGGTTTGGTATATTACAAGCTGACCAATGCAATGCACAGAAAGTATGAACCCGCTAACGTACCGAGGGCATCGGTGATGGAACCAGATGATGAGACAGCTTTACTCCTCTTCCTCCTCTGAATCATCATCACCGGCCACATCCATATTCTGAGCCTCGAATTTGTCCATGAGAGCTTTGAGTTCGGCATCTTCGGTCTCTGAGACAACTTTTGGCTATACACGTCAGCGGGGAGCATTGAGATGGTGACACTCGTGTCCACAGTTGTCTTCGTTCTGAAGTCGAGCCACCTGAGTTTGCGATTCAGAGGAAGTTTTGTCCCAATAATAAGATAGACGATGAAACGATGATGGACAAAGAGAAGAATGGTAGGTAGAGTGAAACCTGAACGCACCTTCATTTTCACGACCAAATCCCCCTTCTCCTGAGCAATGCTCTCTCCGATTCTCTCTACCGCCTGCTCCATCAAGTCTATCGCCGCCACCTTATCTGTACTCGTCGTCGTCATGACATACAATGGTGGAGCCACTAATCGTACTTTGATAGGCACCTCTTCTGTCGATACCGCCTCTCCAGCTTGCAGCGCTCGTCTGATCGCATCGATACCAGCGTAGGAAAAGCATTTCACTTCGATATCTGCTCGGACTTTGACGGGTTTCGGGGTGAGACGGCGGGCGATGGTGGAGCGGATTTCAGTGAGGAGGTCTGGGTCAAGTCCGAGGGGCGCAAACACATGATCAGGTTCACTGAAGGTCAGCCAAGAGCACACGGCAGAGTCCCAGAGGCCTCTAAAAGGGCATGACCGTAAGGTGCAAAGTCCACAAAACACAAAAGGGGCGCAGAAGATATTTGACATATAAACTCACGATATGGAAAGTTTGAAAGCATCGTACGTGTGTCCGTATTGCTTATGTAAAGGCCAAGCGATCTTTTCGTACAGGCTTTCTGCACTCATCCCCTCGTGTTTCCGAGCCACCTGTGTGAGGATGCTGTCCACCGTCTTGCCCTTTTCGTATTGTTCTGAACATCTGACCACCTCCTCGGCAGAGACACGACGTTTTGATAGGTCGATATAGCCTGAGTGAGTTAACTTCGGGCCTTGTTGTGACGACGGCCGGCACGGGTATGAGATCATAACTCACCCTTGTCTGGGTCCACACGCATGACGACCACGACCTCATTTCTGCCCACTCGGATCAACTTTTGTACTGACCGGATACGTCTTCGTGATAATTCCGAGAGTAGAATCATTCCCTCGATGTTATCATATTCCAACTAGGCCGTTCAGCTCTTATCCTCACTTTAACCATAAAGTTCGTCACCCACCAGCTTGACATACGCTCCCATGTCCTCTATTGACATAACCTGCACCATGACCAGCTCATCTACCTGCAGCGTAAGTCCCGAACCAATGTGTTTGAGAGGTCACGAACATCCGGATACTTTTTTTCATAGAATCGTGTCATCCTGCGTGATGAATAGCTGATACGAAGGGGAGTAAGAGGAGATAGCAAAGAGAGCTGATATCTGCGGCTGACAAGGAGATGCGCTTGTCGTCTTCGGGCTTGGGAGTCTGATTTGTTGCTCAAATCACGCCTCTTGCTGCAGTTGGGCCGACGAATCGACGTGGCTTTCGAGTCGTAATAGGACGAAAACAGACGGAACAAGTAAGTTAAAGAACAAAGAGTGGTCTCGAAATCTTGAGTTCTGAACGGAGTTATCCGGCGATAGAGCCACGTGTCTCTTTGTGGCACTGAATCACCACCGGCTATCCTCCTTCTGGTCTCCTCCTCACCGTATGAACCAACCAAAGTTGATCATGTTGCATTCCTTCCTACCCTACCCAAGAAATGTTCACTCGCACTCTGTCCATCTCTCGTACTCTATCTCTCATACCCAGGACATCCTTACGTGTCATGTCAACGTCGATCGAGCCCCTAGTCATAGCATCTAGGAGTCAGACGGGCAATGTCGCCATTTTGACTCTGAACAGACCCAAGGCACTCAACGCTCTCAGCAGCCCTCTCTTCACCCAGTTAAACGCAGCTCTGGAGAGCGCCGATAACGATGAAAGCGTCAGGGCTATCGTCATCACCGGAGGTGATAAAGTGTTCGCTGCTGGCGCAGACATAAAGGAGATGAAGGATATCACTTGTGCGTCAAACTAATAAAACCCGTACTTGATTGGTGATCTCAAGATCGTAATCAGTATCTCTTCATCACTGCTGCTGTGAACCCTATAAATGCTAACGGAAAGTCTCCGAGGCGTATAAAAACAACTTTCTGGGGACCTGGTCGAAGATATCAACCATCAGAAAACCCATCGTTGGGGCTGTTGCCGGTTATGCCGTAGGTTCATTCCATCACTTGGTCAAATCTCGCTCACACGAAATTTCCGATGTGATTCGACTCAATACACCTCTCTCCAAACTCCTTACTTGGCTATCTTCCATCCGCCACGTCATTGCTGCATGCTACATGCATGTCCCACAATAGCTCGGAGGCGGATGCGAACTAGCTCTCATGACCGACATTCTCCTCTGCACACCCACCGCCACTTTCTCTCAACCTGAGATTACCCTCGGTATCATTCCCGGAGGCGGCGGTACTCAGAGACTGGTATCCTTAATCGGCAAACATCGTGCAATGGACATGATTCTGACCAGTCGCAAAGTTCCGGGAAATTTGGCAGGCGAATGGGGACTGGTCAGTCGAGTGGTCGGAGAGGGGGAGAGTGTAGTAGCGGAAGCTGTCAAAGTGGCAGAAACGGTAGCTGGATATGGAGCGATAGCTGTTCAAGCAGGTAAAGAGGCCGTCAATGCTGGTGAGTTCTCAACATTTATCTTTGTTCTCTCCTTACTCTAAGCGGTCGGAATGAAGTTGACAAATAGCTCTTGATCTTCCCCTCGACCAGGGTCTACGGTTCGAGCGACGTCTTTTCCAAACCCTATTCGCCACTGCAGACCAGAAAGAAGGCATGGCGGCTTTTGCTGAAAAACGTAAACCCACTTGGGGAGATAAGTAGGTTCTGGAGGAACAAACAAACAGCGGACGTCGGAGAGAAACACAAGCAGTACGTTACTATGCATGGACAGCCGGAAGACGGCGCATCCCTCTATCCTCGTCCTTTCCGCTGCGACTTCCGGACTACAATCCAGACTGCTTCTCATCCTGAGCACGTACGCACGCCTCTGACAACTTTGACTGAGATCAGCTCTCCTCATGAAAACGTAAAGAATATGACGAAAACGCGGGGTCGTATGCATCATCGCCAGATACGGGCCTTCGTTTCCCACGCTGCCTCGTTTGGCGGAGAAACGACGCGAGTTGGAAATGCTCGAATGGCGTTTCGAAGGCGTAAACTCGACCGTATAGAGTTCAGTCGTCCTCGGTGGAAACGTATTCCAACCGATCGCTTATCCTTGCTCGTGTCTCGATTCAGTCAGACTAATCTATCCTCTGGAGCACCCAGGGAAATGCCCGACATCGATGAAGTTTCCCTAAGTGAAGTGCCTGCCAGTGCTGCCGGTGCTGCCACCGGTCACGCACAGCAGACTGCTCAGGCTTCAAACACCGAACCAATCAAACAAGAAGAGGTGACACGTGATTCACATGCTTGGCTGGGCAGCATCAAGTCCTTCTTTACCTGCTGTGGAAGTCGGACAGGTAGATTGTCGGAACGGACGGAGCAGGAACGACGAGCTGGTCAAGCGAGTAACGACCCGAACTTGTCAATTGGCCCTCCGGGGCAGTCTATTGCAGGGTCTACCGATGTGAGACGTTCTGTAGGGGATGAAGACTTGGGCCCCACTGGAATCTCGCCCCCAGCCTCAGCCGTGTTTTCCAGTGTTGTTGTCATCTCGCCTCGAGATAGTCCGGTCCAGATCCGGACTGATGGAGAGGGGAACTAGCATGAGATTTAGTCTCAAAATCGATGAGGAGCGTTTACGAGATGCAGGAATCATATGCAGAGCTTGTGTATGGAGATCCAATCACTATGAGAACATCTCCTACTTTACTAAAAGGGCGTGAAGTGTGAGCTTCACCTGTGGTCGTCTGATAAGTGTTCCCAACAAGAACGATGGTCTGAGAACACTACTCATATATGCGGAGACGCTTTTGTCATTGTCTGCTCTGTCACTTATTTGACCCGTCATAATCGATTCACAAATGCTGGGATTGTATAGTGCGAGTGTCTTCGGCAAGATGTCAGGACCAGGGGTAGGACGGGCTCCTCAGTGTTTACTGATAATTAGATGATAATACAGAGGGGAAAAAAAGCATGCATCGAATCTACATGTCTCTATACTTATCACATTCCATTTACACCCAGTAAACCAGAGACGATGGAATAAAGTTCAGAGGATAAGTTGAACGGATAAATATTCGACGGAAGGGGTAATTCTCTAATGTCGGTTCGATCCATCGGCCAATAATGCTGGATGTTATACTGGTTCATTCCTTCCTCTCCTGTGGACTGGCCTGCCGTCATCCCCTGTGACCACTGACCTTGATTTGATGTGCTTACGTTAGATAGTGAAAGACAAGAATGTCAGCGCTACACTAGTTGCAAGCAGACATTCATCATGGGTGCAGTAGCTCGGCAATATGAAGTCACATTCTGTGTCACAAGGGCCCCCTCTCCAGTCAGCATCACATCCCCTTACATCTTACCTCCCAATTGTTGTGTCTGGACGAGGAGATCGAGGACCCTCACCTTGTGGGGTGACTCTTGGTTCACGTGTTCCTTGTGTATTGTTATCAGCCATATGAGATGCCCCTAGTGTGTATGCTGATGCTGCAGAAGGGAACTGCATGTTGTACAGGATTTTGGTGATATTGTCAGTGATCCGTCCGAGCCATGTTTGATGTGGATGATCAATGGGCCCTGTATGACCATCAAGTGTGACATCAAAAGTCCTCCCGTCGGTGGGTAGTGTTGATACACGATGGGGAAAGCTTCGGTGGTCAGTGCGTACAGTTGACAAAGATTCAGTCGACCGGTGTCCTGAGGTGGCCACAAGAGTATTTCTACTGTCACTCTCAGTGCTGGTGGCGGACACATGATCTAGTCCTGGCGGTGTACTAGGGCCTTGGGCTGTTTGGGTATTTGAGCCTGACATATCCTCAACTCAAACCTCAGGAGAGAGATATTACTGATATTCTTGCTGTCTGCACTATGCCAATCAAGATGAGAGGAGAGAGTAGGTGGGCAGGAGGACAAGTCTAAGACATTTCATAGTGAAGAAATCCATTTGACTCTCCGGTCCTTCCAACTCCGTCGCTGATCAAGCAGGTCAAACGAACCCAACTTCCCGCACAACACAAAATCTCTTCCCGCACAACATTTTGGGCGCCTAATGAGCCAGATGCATAGAATTGACATGCCTAACTTCCAAAACAGCTTGGGCCTCCGCCATCAGGTGGAGGCCATGTTGATGGATTACCGTTAGGGGGTTAGGGGTTTAGGGGTTTAGGGGGTTAGTGTCACGGCCGTCGAGCAACTTCTTCCTTATAGACCGACGGTCGACGAACCTCGGCTAACTTCACACTTCTGAGTCGATGTCTCACCCAACCAGGAGGGCGCAGACGTCGAAAGGAGTGTAACTACGGCGTACTTCGGCGTAGTTACTCTAACTAAGGCTTTGTTCTATTGATGGCGATGTATCTCGATGTATAGCTATCTCTATTTGTCTTTTACTACTGACAACAATCAAGGATCGCTGAAGAACTTCAGCGATCTTCTCAGCTAATATTATCTACTCCTCCTAGACGTTCATCCAACCCTCTCGCGCTTTGACGTACTTCAACGCACTTCGTCCAACTTCCCCGAGCCCTCGGCCATCCTCTTCCTCCTTCGACTAACTCCGCCTAACATCGCCGCACTTCTGCTCCCATTGTCCCTACTTAGCCTAACATCGCCGCACTTCTGCTCCCATTGTCCCTACTCAGCCTAACTCCGTCTAACTTCGCCGTACTTCTGCTCCCATTGTCCCTACTTAGCCTAACTCCGTCTAACTTCGCCGTACTTGGTGTCAGAAGTCCTGAGTTACGTGTAGAGTAAAGAGGTTAAGGCGTGATGGGGTTTTGATGGCCAAAGGAGGGTCATTGTTGGTGGAGTAATCGAGGTGTCACGACGTAGTTCGTGACAGTTAGGGGGTTAGGGAGGTTAGGGGGTTAGGGTGGTTGGGAGGATATTTACTAATTGGACAAGGGTGATCAGGGAGTTAGGCGTGTCAAAAGACCTCTACCATGGGTTAGGCGCCCAAAATGTTGTGCGGGAAGAGATTTTGTGTTGTGCGGGAAGTTGGGTTCGGTCAAACCGCACGGATGACGTCATCGCACGTTCGAACGGCCGTACAACCCCTTTAGAAGGCCGATCTCGGCGTTTGGACGGGTTCTGGCATTCTATCGGGGGCGAAAAGTGCGGATCATCAAGTACAGCTTTCGGCGTCGGAGAAAGGGTTGACCCGATGCGCACGGAGCCGCTCGGGGTCAAATATGGTGGACTGAACTAACCACTAAGGGTTAGATTTGTGGGTCTTAAAGTCGACTCAAATACACAACCGTCATCTCCGATAGTCCTTTGCCCTACCTATTGTGGTCTGCGGATCAGAAAGATTGAGCGCCAATCAGAACAAGTCCCAACATCCCAATCACTTAATGAGTACTTTTTTGTACATATGTAATATTTGCTGTGGACCAACAGGAAGCCGTCAGCAGAGGAACCTGGCCAGCCAAAGAGGGAGGGGGGGAGACAAAAAGGGGGCGGATACTACTCGTATTCGTCGCACAATATCTGGATCACGTTTACAGGGTTTTTTCCTGCTTTGTGGGAGATAGAGAGGAAAGGAGAGTGAGTTCCCTACATTGTGACTAACGAGTTTGGAGAATAAAGAATTCGTATTGGTCAGGCGATAGGTGTAGACTCCTTCATGGCTTGATTTGGACACTGAGTATCTGATACCTGGATGATCATGACATTCAAGAGCCTACATGTATCTAATGGCTTCCAATCCTACAAAACTCTGTCCATCGTGTTATTACACGCAGATAAGAATTTTGGGACTAGCGAGTATGGCTCCCGCCCTCGCAGATCATACGCTGGTAAGGTTTCTATCCGACTATCTCGACCATCCCCTGCGACCAAGAGGGGGACACGACCCTGTGCGAATGGACCGGGGTCTGGAAGAAGCATTCTCAGGTACACTGGACATATCATTCAAGCCCGAGTTTTCTGCTGACAATGTCTGTGTACCCGCATCATCTTTCTTAGAGACAGAGCGCATATTGGAGATACAGATTCTCAGTCTGGCTATGAACGTACGGAAAGACTCGATTATAGAAGTCCGGTCATCCAAGTCATTGAAAAGTGGTGCAACCGTGTGTCCTAAAGGAGGAACCTTAGAGGCGTTGGCAACTTTTTCAAAATCGAAGGGACTCCATGAGGGTGGTGGCCGGATTGTTTGAGTATTGTTTTGCTGATGGTGATCCGGAGGGCTGGTCAGACCCGGGGGTCCAAGTTCAAGGCCGTGGGAACCACCACTTGACATGATTGACGGGGACAGAGCTAGAAGATTCAGTTGGTTGAGGGACGATTGTGTTTGAAACACTTCAAGGTGAGGTGTAGGAGTATGTAAGCTGTTGTGAAGAAGTCAATGGGTAACGAGGTCTAATAGGGAAGTGACTCTACAAGTATTCCCCTCCCTCTTTCCCACGCCGGTTTTACTCTTCTTTCGAGGTTGGAGGGTGAGCCCGCCGGGTTCGCCTGGATCTCTTCCTGTCTCTGTAGAAGAGGTGAAACTTAGCTTGAAGGAGGAAAACGTCGAGCTTAGACGTGGCGAGAACATCCGACTCCGCCCTCGACTTTCCCCGTCAATCTTTCCTTTCAATCCGTTCATCGCCTTCGATCTACGTCATACCCAATCGATCCTTTTTCCTTCCTTCCCCTTCTTGTAGCCCAATCCTCTTTTCTTACTCTATCACCCTCGCTTGTTCATTCGGTCTATCGGTCTATATGACCAGTGACGCCAAGCTGACCAACCTATCCTGATCGTGGGAAAACGACTCAAGAGACCGAGAACCGGATGGATAAGGGAAGGCAGATAAGTCAAGTAAAGGGTATTTCCTAGTCCGCGTCATTGGTAGACTGTTAGAAGAGGAGAGGGAAGAAATGAGAAAAGAAGTGATCAGTGTGGGATGTTGAGATGTGTCCTGGTATATCTGTATCGTCCGACGGGCTGCTTCTTGAAAGTAGAATCACCAGTCCGAACAATAACCCGACGGGAAGATCTGAAAACACTCGTCGAGATGTTTATGAGGATCGAGGAGTGGATGAATTCAAAGACTTTCAATTACCGAGGTGTAAGCTCGTCAATCCATTCATGTGCGTCCATCATACGTCAGTGATCAGGCCTGGATCACTCTGGTCGTCATTGGTCAAAAGTATGATCAGATCAGATAATTCTCACGCAGATCAGTCGAGTACGCTTCCGATGCTAGTCAAATCGAGGTCAGGTGTAGCATCAGAGATTCACGATCCGTCAGTACAGGAAGCTATGAGTCATGTACACAGGACATTAGGTCTGAGAACCAGGAGCATCATTCTACATCATGATTCGTTTGATGGCTGAGGATCAGAGGAAGCTGACAAAGCGCCTACAGAAGGTGAACCAGGAGCGGAAGTGATGCTCTCCGGGCTCCCTGTGGCCTGTTCTTGGGACTGTGTTGGTGGAAGTTGGGCCTCAAAACCTCCTCCCAAGCCGGACAAGGCCCTCACAGAGACATTTTGAGCTTTGAGAAGGACTTTCTTTTGCTTTTTGCTTGCCCATGGTATCACTTTCCCTGTCTTCTTGCGCCATCCAGAGTGGGGGCTTGCACCCTGCGCATTGGTGGGAGAGCCCGTATTTGAAGTTGTAAACGCTTCGCGGGAGTCATACACGTCCTCATGGTGGGAACGGGATCCGTTCAAGACGGAGATCGCTTCGGCGGTGTTGATGTCGTCCAGACTTGTCTTCGATCTTAAAGACACTTTCGACGGATCATGGGAGGTGTCACTAGCCGAAGGACACACATACGAGGTAGCGGCGGCGTTTTTTGTCGTCGTCAGACATGGTCAGGACGTGTAGGTAATTCGGTAGTCGCTTTGATAAGTCAAGACGACTTGAAGTTCTTCTTTTTCTTTGTGACTTCGTAGAGATTATAACCTAACAGTCAAAAATTATCCGTGAGAAGCTATCCCATCGAAAGTTTCCGCGCCCATACATTATCTTCCGTGTACTCATAATCCCTTCATCCCTCGATTGACAGATTTGTCACCTAAGCGAACTTGACAAGGCTGCGCGAGTCATTTTGGCTTTGTCCCTTTCAGTATTCAACCCTGATGTGCTAATTGTTCTCAGAGAAGCCACAATCTTTCTCATCTCATCATGAACTTGATTCGTCCCCATGAGGATCTCGCAAATGAAGTGAAAGGGAGAGTGGGATTTATTGGAAGATCGTATGTCATCGTGACCATGATTTGTCATTCAAGAATATTGTAGAAAGGGGAAAGGACGAGTGGGATGTTTGGAGGATGGTAGAGCTACCGAGGAAGGCGAGTGTGAGAAATATTGATCAGCCCTGTGAATAATTGAGTAGAGCGAGGAGTGACGTCCGCAGAAGTTAGGGATGTTGGGATGGATGAGGGAGTGATGCGATGATTGTGTGATGGTTCGAAGATAACTGACATGACGTGAGTATGATGAGTGATTACCAAATCGTCAGGAAAATATCTAAGAAGTAAGCAGATTAGAATACAGTACACCAACTGATAGAGCTTACTCATACAACAAACAGTAGGTAACGAGACTGGGAGACTACCGATAGATGATTGTGACGCCCTTCTTGCCCTTCCCCCCGATCATTCCGTCCAACCCTAAGATCTTCTCTAGTTGCACCCAGCCTACATTAAATCGTACCTATTCCAGTCAGCTCGAGCCTCCATGTCTCCAAGCCTGCTCTTGATACACGAAACAGGTTGGCGATGTGATGGGGTTCGCAAATGATGCAGGGGGAAGATGAGGTGGGGCAGGACGGGAATCTGCCTCACCTGAATATCATCCGTATGATGCCTACCATCTAAATATCCTAACATCTCATCATCTACTCTATCTTCTTTGACCCTCAAAGCCCCACTTCGTATCCCTCTTCGCCCCGTGCTATGTGTTTCTGCAGACACCATCGACCTTCCCAAGTTCCCCCCGGTACTGCTGGTCATTGCCATACCTCTTTTTGGAGATAAAGCGTTCGGTGGTGTCCGTCCATGTCCTGTTATTGACATAGGCATCAGACTTGCTGGACTGATTCCAAGTCCCAAGCTAGCATTCGACTCTGTTGACCGGAGCGTAAAGGTCGATTCCCCTTTTCCATCTCGTAGATTCGTACTTGAACTGGGTCGAGTGGTTTTATCAAACTCTACTCTACGTCTTGATTCGTTACCCACCAAAGGGGAGCCAGTGGCTTTTTCACGATCTACTAAAAGGGGCCAACGATGAACTCTTCGAAGAAAACCTTTAATGATACCAAACGAGACGAATCGCCGTGGATCAATACCGAGTTGTATGACCGAATTTTCCTCTGCCCATCGATGTACGCTGAGACCAGACTGGAGTTTGGAATATAAGGAAAGAAGGACGGGCCAAAATGGTGGTGTATACGAAGGAAGGGTAGAATAGGGACCACATTCTCGGATGATAGTTTCGTCCGCTGCGAGATGGGTGATGGAGGGCTTGAGGGTATATGAGTTGGAAAATTGGAAGATGTCGACCAACATAACCACTTGGTAGAATCTAAGTAATCAGCCTGGCATATATGGGTATACAGGGGCAAGGACTGACAGCATATGTCGAATGGTCTCACGCGTCAACGCCGGGTCAGCATTCGCCAACTGGGCAATCTTTCGAACGTGGTTGACCCCATCGATAAACTCAGACACGCGGGCAGCGGTGATATCCCAATTATCGTCTTTGAGGGCGTTAAGATCAACAAGCGCTATTGGAACATGCCAGTCTTCGCAGACTGGCGGATTGGCTACCAATTAGCTCTCCCTACCCATTTACTATATCACGCCTCGGTTCTCTGGTAAAGAGAGAAATTCAGTACCGGTCAAGTGGGGTGTGCGGGACAGAGTGGACAGGTGATACTTACGATAGAAGGGGAAAAGTTTGAGCTCCAGGGAATTGAACCCGTCCAGTGGAATGGAAGTTTCAGAATACGAGTTGAGATCCTCAAACAATTGTTCCAGGACCGCGTGGAGGTTGGTATGATCCGCCGCAGGGGACGACAGATAAGCCGAGTCGATCTGTGTGTTAGATCGGCGTCATTCCTCTTGTGCATCCTCAATTCAAGAGAAAGACTCAAACCGTCTTCTCCCATGGGAATTTCAGAGTACGAGATCGGCCAAAATGGTGTCCACGAAAGGAGAACACTAGAAACTAACCTCTGCACTTCTCAAAATCCGAGCACACTTCCTCACCACTGGCTCATATGCATCCAGACTAGCCATGGCTTTGAAGACAAAGCACAGATTCCATATGTACTCATTCCTAGTATATCTCCCTTCGGTGTCGGTCAAAGCCGTTGGGAAGCCTAACACTCTAAACTCGGTTTTCTCTCCATCCTCCCATCCGACCGTGAGAAGGGAGACGAGTTTTCCGTGTAATGATTTTTTCGGAATGACATATTCGGAGATCGGACCGAAGTCCAGCATAGTACCTTCGGATGTACGTGAAGAAGAGACGGAACGGTCGCGGGGTTTATGAGAGGACGGGAGCGATTGGACGATTGATGGGGAACGATGTCGAGAGCGAGAGTGAGAGTGGGAATGTGATTCGGAAGTTGAAGTTGTACGAGACTGTGAGCGAGATTGAGACCTGTCATCTTTGGCTGAAGAAGTGATGAGGTTCTCTGGAACTTGATGAAGTATTACAGGACCGAGACGAGGATCGAATGTGGCGTAGAAGAGCTATCAACGTGAGTGACGAATGACAGACAGACAGAGGGGTGGCGTTGGGAGATATGAGGGTGGTATGAACTCACTCCTATGATCTGTGGGAGGAATGATCTGGGGGTCATGGTCAGTCACTGTACATTATCGGAGAGGAGTAAAGAGTAGAGAATAGCATCTCAACGTCATTGGAGAAAAGGGCAATAGCTTGGAAATTGAAGAGGAACGAGGGGGGGTCCTTTGATGGTTTGATCATTTGACTCACTCGTCCGAGGCGCCCATAGCGACATGACAACAACCCCGTTCAGTTCGGAAGTTGATAAGACCCGTCCGACCTCATACGAAGCGGGGAACAGCAAGGCAAAGCCAGCTTGTGAGGGATGCGCAGCAACGTAGCTTAGTCGCTTAAGAGGAATTGAGTATCAATACACTCGAAACATCCGAAGCAAGATGTCTATGTGACAGGAAAGAACTCGAAGCAGACTGACATCGACGATCGACGAGTGTATGAATCGGATCAAACAGGGAGAACCTCCAGGATTTATGATTTTTTGGGGAAATAGTATAATGGCTAGTACACGGACTTCGCAGTTGCCTACATTCACTTGTCTGTAATCGGCGTTCGATTCGCCGTTTCTCCAATTATGGTCGATCCGTTTTTGGGGCGGCTGATTGCCGACCTGAAACCCCGGAATTATCCACTCTTTCGCCTTGGTGCTACAATCTCCAACGAAGTGGCCGATGGGGTAGGCTAACAGAGAGTAGGTCAGCATCTACGGCGAAGAACTTGGTGGCAGAATGACCCGAAGCTACCTCGGCAGAGTGACCGGAAGAAGGCGACGATCAGTCTGGCAGGCCTAGCAACCTCGAGTGTTATGGTCCTAGACCTAGGCCCTTGACTCACAAATCAGGTCGATGGGTCCATGAAGCCGCGTATGCGTCGATCTCTCCTTAGGTCGAAGCGGTCGTCTCACACTGGTCGAAGCTTCCAGAGGTTTACGCTAAGGGTATTTAAGTTGACCTGACCTAATCATCTTCCTTACTCAAGGTTCATTAGGTCTTCCTCGCATTTCAACCTTGACACGCAAGTCACGTAGGGATCAGTGAGTTCTTGTCAGATTTCCATAACTATCACCTATCACCTTAACACTCATACTTAATCACCTTCTATTCAAAACTCTCCACTACGTTCCCTGTTACCTCTACAGCCCAAATCTCACTTCCTACTTTCATTCAATGTCAACAACATACAGTAATCCAACATGGATCATCCACTAACTGCAGTCCATCAACTTTCAAAATGACCGACCGTATTCATCGCGAAGCAGAAAAGCAAGCTGTTTTATGGCGTAAAGCAGCTGATATAGCAAAATATCAAGCTACACAAGAATCTCATCATCGGACTCGTAAACAAATACAAGATGCTTCTGAAAAATTAAAAGAAGTTTGTCGTCAATCTCTCACCGATGCAAAGATCGCTCAAAGACGTTTGGAAGAAGCTGAGAGAAGAGTTGAAGAAGCTAGATTGGAATTACAGAGAAGGAAACAAGAGGCAAAGTTATGTCAACAAGAAGCAATGTTACGTGCTCAGGAATATGGAAGGTTGGTCAAGCTTGGGAAAGAGACGAAGATTATACGATGAGGAAGTGAAATGTGTGTGAAGGAATCATGGTGGACGATTGATGAGGGAGAGGGAAGGGTAAGGGCGTCATATGATTTTGGATGAGAGATGGAATATAGGTTGATAATGAGTTGATCATTCGCTCGATATTATGCATATATGGAACATGCCATGGATGATACATACATAAGTGAACTATTGAGACTTTAACGTCCTCGAGAACTGTGGTATGTATGGTATTGTATAAATTACGATGATATCCCGGTGAGTTTCACATAGGATCATATTCTGACCATTTGAAACTACAGTACACCCACCCAATCTCTTCCAATCCACATTCTTCTCGCTTAAAGATTCTCATAGCTCATAGCTCGTCTTGATATACAGTATGTAATAACCACACCCAAGGATCAAGCTCTCATACCCGAACTCGGAGGGTCTGAATTATGACCCACCCAAAAATTCTTGTCTCCCTCTTCATCCTCTTCCATACCAAGTCTCCTCATTAATATCTCAGAATATCCACTATCCCCCAAACTCATTTCATCCGACATGAAATCTTCTTCTTTCCCGTCTTTTCGTTCTTTCTCCTCCTTTTTTCCCTCCAAACCCATGTCATACTGAATCCTTCGAGCTTGCTCAGCTTCTTTCTCTCTTTTAAGCTTAGCGGCCTCTACCAAAGTCCTTCCTTCTTCCGAATCGTACGATCTGGAGATAGTGGGTCGAGTTTTGACTTCCTCTATACTTTTCACAGGATTCGAAGGTCTATACGAGATGGAGTTGTCGAATGAGGATGGCTCGGAGAAGGTAGGATGAGACGATGTCTGAGAGGGTCGACGAAGAATACTTTTCAAACTTCCTTGATTGACTTTGGATCGTTGGGCAGTAAGAGAGATGGGTGAGGAGGACAAGACAGTCTTGAGACTAATAGTCTCTTGAGTATGTTGGATTTGTCTTGATAATTCCTCCGCAGCGCGAGTCCAATAGTTGGCTTCTTGTTGAGCCATATCATGTGTTTTTCGAAGTTGTTCAAGGAGATCGGATTCGGACATTTTGAAGTTGATAATTACTTTTGAAAGTCAATCAAAGTCTTTCTGATACATGTCGGGAAAGGGTGTGAGAATTGTGGGAGGATCAGATGATTCGAGAAGTTTGAGAAGAGAGACAACCTCACTTACCCAAGATGACCAAAGGCCAAGTTGATCAAGTGGTTGATCGATCTTGTTTCCTGGACAGTCTGGTCGACGGTAAACAGGGTGAGTGGTAAGATTATCAGTGATGGTGGATGCAGTGATGCAGATGGAGAGCGGGAAGAAGTAGGAAAGGAGGAACGAGGGTGATGAGGCTTACACGTTTTTCCCTACCCATTCAAAGGGAATGCGACATTCCATTCTCTTCTTCTCCGCATGGCGAACACGAGAGACTCACGCAGTTGGACTCCACGCCAATGACCGACTTTCACCCTGACTCGGTCAATAATGCTCCTCTTCTCAATCGTCCTCTGAACAATTCATGTCAGTAAGGACAAGAAGAAACAAATGGAGAGTTCGGCCTATCATCAATTCCCTTATCTCGCAAAATGCTTGGATATCATATTCATTCACCTCGCTCAACAACTTCTTTCGTTTCTCCGCCCTTCCAACGGGTGTGAATTTAAACGATTGTTGTCCAACCTCCACCCTTGCTTCTACTGATTCTGAGCCCACTTATGCCCTTGCGCCCACTGATGCAGTTTGGTCGACGGATCGGGATTCTGACTCTGCTGCGCCGCCCGCATTTGTTGTTCCGCCTGCATTCTAGCTTGTTGAGCCATCGCCTGTTGTTGTTGTGCGACCTGTTGCATAATTCTTGCTTGTTGTTCAGCTTGAGCAGCTGACATTCTCGCCATTTCAGCTTGTTCAGCTGCCGTTTGTTGTTGTTGCGCTCGAATTTGAGCGACATGTTGAATAGCACCTTGTTGTCGAAGTTCTTGTTCGGTTTGAATGGCTCTTTCAGGATGAAGGGGATAACCTTGTTGAGTTTGTTGGCTTTGAAGATACCATTGTTGATAAGCGGAGTTGAGTCGTTGTTGATCTGAAGACATGATCGTGTGGCGAGATGATGGGAGATGGGTTGAAGGGTGATGATTTGAGGGTGAACTTTGAGGCCGACCGGATTCTGGTAGTCAGACACACAAGGTTTTGAATTTATAAAAGGAGAATCATTGACTTACAAGTTATCACGATCTTATCCTATGAAACGGTGGAAGAACTGGTAGAGGTTTGAATAGGTAATTTATATACTTTCACCCATGGGGCGCTACTTTCGCCCGAGACAGATAAGATTTCCAATAAATGAATGCGGCGTTTCAATTACAGTCGAGACGATACCGAGTAGGAAGCGTAGCGAAAGGAGACCATACGTACAGCATCACGTTCGTGACACTCCAGCGAGACTTCTACCTTGAACAAGTTAGTGGTGCCACTTGGGTCACGGATGGATCCCCTATCTTGATGATCATCACCATATCCGAATCTCCTCTTCGTAGACCTCGTGAGGGATGATTACCAGACGAAGCGTTCGATTGAAAGAAAGGGTAGGTCAAGTTGACGCAAGTTGATGAACACTACGATGTCCTCGCGTATGGCCATGATTGATTGCGGACAGTCAAGCGAACTTCCGGGCATCAACAGATTGCATACCCGGCAATTCTGTACCTGAGCGGACTCCACTTCAGTGAGCAGATCAGAAGCGGAGTTGGGACTGTCTGTCAGAATATTCTATGCACCGGGATCATCAGACTGTCAATTCCAGTACGACCCGTCAGAGAGAATATGAAGGGTATTTGGAAGAAGACTGACAGATTTTATGCTGATTCGAGGTCCGGCGGCGTGAGGTCAACCCACCAAATTTGATCGAAGCTGATCTCGACCTGTTGGGAACTCTGTATTATTGACATCTATATCTTTCCGAAAAAAAGTAATAGATATCAGTAGTTCAATTTTTCTGTCAATCAAATATCTCCATAATGTGCATCCGGTCTCTTCTAGTATTTTCTTAAGTGCCTTCGGTCTGTTATTGGGAATCAAAGCCAAAGCCGTTGGAATGTTTTCCCTGCTCATCAATACCAGAATCGTCCATTTCTCCGCCATTCTTCAGGTACTTAGTGAGGGATAACATGAGAGGAACGTACGGTTGCTCTATCCACATATGATAAGGTATCTTCGGACTGAGAGAGTCCAACTTGCTGACTAAAGATCGAAGAGAGTCTTCATCTACGGTCTAGACGTCAGCTTCTCCACCCCGTGGTGGCAGCTATTCACCTCCATCACCACCTTTCTCATACCCAAAAACCCGTTTCCATCTTCGCCTTCTAGATACGTCTTGACATTGGGGTGATCCCGATAGACGTGTAATACGGCGGTGGCTGCATGAGCACTTTGAGCCATCATGGGACCTAAAGGCCAACCGTGAGTCTGATCTTGTCAACGTCGCTCTTTCTGGGGTAGGGATACTCACAGTCATCAAGTCGCGTCGAAGAATGATCTGCATGACCAGATTAGACGATGTTTTGGGAGTTGTCATGATGTTCAAGTCGACACTGTCATTGGGATGATGCCCATAAGTAGGTCAGATTCATAGAATCATAGCAAAGTGATCCAACGTTGAGCGGAGATAAGACTGAACTCCGTGACTTCCCTCCCTCCTTCTCACTCGCAACGTCATCAGAAATTGCATGAAACATCTTGAACATCATGTCAGGCGACAAGCAACAACTGCTCGATATGGGCTTTGAGCAAGCTCGTGTAGAGTGTGAGTGAAAGGTTTCCTTGCTCCTTCAACAACATTCCTCCTTTCAGATGGCGATGGGTCTTTTGCATAGTCCCTTCGTGGGGTGAGTGGTGATGGTAAGGTGACTAAGGAATGAGGATCATGGGGGTTGAGAGGCTAATCTAGCATCTACTGCTCCATTCACTGTATATGCGAGTAGAATGTTTTAGGAATGCTGGACACCTGTCGATCATATCTCTTGCCTAATTGCCAGGAGTAATTCTGAAAAATGGAAACCTGGCTGACGAGTAGGGGCCTTGAAAGTGACAAAGAACGCCGGCTTACAGGTACGTACATTCCATCTCATCATTTTTACTATTTGAATGACAATCTAGCCTGCGATGGACCATCTTTTGGGCAATGCTGAGAAGCCAATACCCGAAGCTCAATCCGAGATCCCCGAAGACGAAGACGAAGAGGGGTTGAAAGCTCATATCGCCAAAGTAGGGGGAGGTGAAGAACTGGTCGCTAGGGTATGTCCAACCTCCTCCATCTCCATCTTATTATCACTAACGTCAAGTCTATCAAATGTTCGGAATGTGGGAAAGTATTCAGATCAGAAGCATCAGCTTCATTCCACGCTGAGAAATCCGGACATCAACAATTCGAAGAATCTACCGAAGAAGTGAGTCAATTGCATATATCGCGAGTATCACGGAGGCTGATGAAAGTAGATAAAGCCGTTAACGGAAGAAGAAAAGAAAGCCAAATTGACGGAGTTAAGAGAAAAGTTGGCTATCAAACGTGCTGCACAGGAGAAAGAAGATCAAAAGTCTAATAAAGCCAACGAAGTGAGTCGTTAAGACTTTCTAATTTATTCCTAAGCTCGGAATGTTATGCCCCAGTTGGATGAGGAATGATGCTTCTCTGCGAGGGATGATCATGTATACAGAGAGAGTGTTGCTGATAATGTAGGCTCTACGACGGAAAGCTGGACAGGTGAGCTTAAGCGTAACAGAAGCGAAACACTAGCTGACTACTAGGACGTTAATCGGATTCGGGAAGATTTAGAGTTGAAAGAAGCTCAAAAGCTTGCGGCACGGAAAAAGAGAGAGAAGGTTGAAGAAGCTAAAGCACGTGCGGCGATAAAGGCACAAATTGAAGTATGTTGTTTCTTTCATGTCACGTCGTTTTCAATAACTCCTGGCTGTGTGAATTCGTTGACATGTAGCTGGATAAAAAAGCGAGAGAAGAAAAGGCAGCGAGGGAGAAGGCTTTGAGGGAAGGGAACGCACCTAAAGAAGCGGAACCAGTGGTAGCTGTAAAACCTAGTGCGGCTATCAAGAGTAGTGATAATCCAGAGACTAGACTTCAAGTACGTCAATTTATCTACTTTACAATTCCTTCTCACTCCTCCCCCACTGTCTTCATGTTCCTTCGCGTAAATGACCTAAATCGTAAAAATCGCTTATGATCAGGTACGATTATCAGTTGGAGGACCTCCATTGACCAAAACGTTTCCCTCGGACAATAGTACGTATCTGGTTTCTTGTTCTCACCAGACTTCCACTGCCCATCACCGTCATGTCACCTTTGCCGCATCCTAGCCTGCTCTCATTTGACCCCTACCTTCGTCTATACTTGTATGTAAGCACCGGAAATCCGGAGCGGCTTCCCAAGTAAAAATGATCCCTTGCCGTTCAGTTCTCTTTGTTGTTTGCCAGTATTCAGTATCTCGAACGAAGAGATAGCCTCTCCAAGCGGATATACGTAAGAAAGTGCTGACATCCAGCCCTCATAGACGTAGCCGAATGGGTCGCCTCGGAGAATCTGGCATACAACGTCGATACCGTCACCTTCGCTACGACCTTTCCCCGGTGTGTCTGTCCTCTTACTCAAAAGCTATAGCTGATCCGGGCAGAAAGACGTACTCAAGAGAAGAGATGAAGAAGACGTTGAAGGAGAATGGTTTGACACCTTCTGCAGTTTTACTGGCTACCTAGGGTGGCCGTACCATGAGCAAGACATGTATGAGTTGCAATAATATTAGTTGTGCTGCAGCATTGTGGCACTTGTAAGTTTGTGGCACTTTTGACAATCCCGATGTGGCATATTCCGTGCGTCTAAGGACCGATGCCCTCAGAGAGGGGTCCAGTACCGTTCGATCGTCAAAACATGAACGGGTTGTCTCATTGGGTGAGGCTTTAAATGATTCATGTCCTTCATGCACCTACTTTGTTGTGAGCCTCTAAACGTCGGGGTGGCCTTTCTGAGTGTGTGAACACAATGTCGGAGTACTGCCGGCAGAATTGGGGCAGTACGATCGAACGTACGGTGAACGCATTAACCCTTCCTGCCATTTGGTCCAGCCACACATTGTCGGTAGTTTGACATCTTACACAGTTTAGGGATTTGTGAAGAGTAGAGAATGTGTACAAGGTTGTCGGGTTTTTTTTCTCCTTTTCCCTTCATTGTCAGCTCTCTGCCATGTAGCCGCGGTGTTTCCTTCCTTGACGATTTTCTCTGGGATCCTAGGAGCTAAGGCCGCTCTCACACTTGGAGCACCATGCTGGGTGTGTTGAACGGATGTAGATAAAGAGAGATCAGTCAATCAATTACTCACCTCATTCCGGCTCGCACTACTCCGCACTCCCCCCCTCTTTGAGGGCTGCATCGCGCTCTCTTTGTGCTAGTCTCTCCAAGTAACGCCGATTCGCAATTTCCGACCATTCCTCTTCCCTCTCTCTGTACACCTTGTCCAGCTCAATCATATCCTGTAAATAAGGATCATCCTTGAATCTCTCCAAAGCATCTGTAAACCAGTCCTCTCTAGTCGCCGGCAAATCCTTCAAGTCCACGCCTAGAGCTAGATTTGTCAAGAGATTCGCCAGCAGGTGATCGTGCCCTTCCCCGATCATCCTGTTGAGCAAAGGATATAGATGACCCTTCCGGACACAGTCAGCCAGGTCTGGCCTCTCATGCCTCTCGTACGCTTGAATGAGAAGTTCATCCTCCAGACTCAACTTCTCAAGCTCGCAGCCCGGCATCTCTGGTTCCCAGCAGAATCGCGGAGACGCGAAAGCCTCGGCTTTGGTGGTGACATAAGCCCTGTGATATCAGCTTCTTGTGACCACTGAATTGGAGCACTCACCATTCCCAATCAAGTACCGCCTCGATATGTCCGTCGATCATAAGAAGTTGTTTCCCGTGAGTGTCAGGATGTTTGATGAAGAAGTCCAGCTCTTCCCTCCCCAGCTCCTCGCATTGTTCTACAACACTTCTGGCGTGGAGATGCTTGAGATATTGGTCGAGAGGACCATAGCAAAACAGGTATCCGGCTCGCGTCAACTTCAAAATCAGGTCAATTTCTGCAAGATATCGATCGCGATTGGTCTTGAAGGGTCCGAAGAGGAATGGAGCTTCTGGACCTGAGAAAGTCAGGAGAGGACCGGTGGAGAGAAGGTCATTCGAAGACGTTGACTGGGAAGGGAGTGAAAGCGGGTGGTCTTTGGGAAGAAGTGAGCCGATACCGGAATGGAACGTCGCCTTGCTCAAATTGATTTGAAGTTGAGCGTATTCATCGATCACTATCTGTATCTCCTCTTTTGAGACTCTTCCCTCGGTGAGGGGAACAGGAACACCGGTCCATGTCCGGCCTTTCATCTTTTCGATGAAAAAGTAGTGAAGCGGGTAGTCTATGAGTGTCAGCTCATTTCGTTGTCACCACAAAGATTGACAGAACATGTGAAGGCCCACCATTGATACCAGCTTTAAGAACTGGAGAACCTTTCCAAGCTTCAGGTACCTTGACTCCAAAATTCTTCAATACTTTCATTGTTTCCACTTCGCTTGCCACAATAGCCTCCTGAATAGCTCGCGAAGGAGCTCCGGGATATCCCATTCTGAATCTAACAAGCCATTCCACACCGTCATCAAAGGTGATAGGGAGATGACCATTAAATTCTCCCAAGTAGTCAGTTTCCCGAGCTTCATTCCAATCCTTTGGTATCTTGATGGTAGCCGTATGTCCAGGACGATGTCGAGAGGCAATCGAGGCTAAAGTCGCTGAACCAAGTGCTTCCAGCAATGGCGGCCACTGGCTTCATCAGTGTCAGATGCTTCGGTACAGTATGAACTCACCCGGCGACCATTCATTTGAGCCCAGATGCGGCGACACTCTGGTAACTGTAGTCAAGCGTATCAGCAGCTGCAGGGACTTGACGGTGGAAGGTCAATACTCACATCAGGCCCAACCATTTTACACTCGTGCTCCACACCCCGTATGTGCTCATGACAGCGTATAGTCATGCACTGTCGACACCGATTGTTTGCGTGAGTCACGATGGGCTTATCACAGCCGTCCAGCTCACATGTCGAATAGCTGAGATACATTGTCGATACTAGTGAAAGAAGTGACGAGAAGGAATGAAAGACAAGGAGACGAGACGAAAATTTGATCGCGCCCTTTCGCTAGTCTCACCGTGACAAGGTGGCACGTGGCAGTTGCATCTTTCTTTACATACCACCTACTACGTGCATAACGTCTGCAAATACTCCACTGTACCGTACATAAACCACTACTCGTACTTTTGGATCCTTGACGTATAATGAACGTGGAGTTCCCATACTTGAACTCTGATCAGCATGACCAGGAAATGTGAGGTGATGGGCGCTACATACCTTGGAAGCCAAAGTCATCACTGGTTTTGCTGCTTCTTGGCGGCCTCCGCTGCTGCTTGTTCGGCCTTCTCCTGGGCGTTCTGAATTTCGAGACCTTCCCGTCAGTCTAATTGTATCGTTCATGTCAATGGTTATAGAAATTCATTTTTCGTTCAAAGTATGAAGGGGTGCAATGACTTACAAACACCACAGTATTCATGGCTTTCCTGTGTGTAGCGGAGACGGCAATGTTGACACAATTTCTGTTTGTCTGAGTTTCAGTATCTGATAGTTCCAACATGTTTGAATGATCTGTGATAGCTCAAAGAAAGGTAGAGAAGCCTTCATGAGTGGCGACCCAATGGGCTCGAAAGGGGGAGAAACTCACGAGCCGTACAGTATTGGTCTACCGGCTTGACCATCGTAGAGCAGTAATCTTTTCGACATTGGATCATTTTGACGCGGTACTACGAAAGAACTAGGAAGTTGGCAGGTATGATAAGAGAATGAGTTTAAGCTGATTGGTGAGTGGTGGAGACCTCATAGCAAACGATGATGGCTTTTACGCCTTTCATATCGGCAGAAGCTGAACAACCCTTCTTCGAGGAAGCTTCTTGACCATCCAAGTGAGAAGACATGGAGGTCTGCCTGGCGTCGCCTCTATCTGTCACAAGAAGATTCTATGACCTGCTTATCACTGATGATGATTGATAAAAGGTACGTACATACGTCGTACCCCGACTACCTTTCAGGGTTTCAATTTCCGACAATGAGGTGGGGCTCTCGGATCTCGCATCGGAGCTAGAGTTTATCTCCTTCACTAATTTCCGTCGTCTGCAGTGGTCCGTCATAGTTTAGACAAGATGGAAGATCATATCTGTCGGTTTGGATGAGAAGAATCACCATAGTTCGCCGTCAGATATACTCTACTCTTCCACGATGTTATAGCCAAGAGCTCATCAGCCGCGACTCGGTTTCTTGGAGACGCGAGCGAGACCGACGCACGGATCATCGTGTCGGAACCTTCAAACCGGATCATACTCGGGTTGCTTTCAGGGCTTCGGTCAATTCGGCTCGCTTACCTATTCAGGCCATTGCATGGTCCCGCATACGACCCAACAGAAACTTCTCCCACCAAAGTTGGGAACGTACATACTCATTCATCTCCACGACTCTACGTATCGGCCTCCACAATTCAAATGACCATCTAAATAGACCGCCTCATCTCCGCCTATGACGGTCCGTTCATTCCCGAGTATGTTCCCCTCGTTCCCCGTCGTAATGGCCCCCTCATCAGAAACCCTGCCACTCTCAATAACCATCAATCAGTCTCGACTTCGGTAATTCATCCCTCCTCCCCATATAGGTGAGAACAGCATGTCTGAAGTCCAGTCATGTAACCTTTGTGGTGATGAACTAGACGAGGATGAGAAATTCGTATGTGGTCCATGTAAGTCAAGTGTCTACAGAAGCATGCTAAAAGCAGGCGGTTGCGTTCAATGTGGTGGACAGGTCACTAAGCGGGGTCATTCGCTGTGCACTTCTTGTGGGAGAAGACAAAAGACCGAAGGAGATTTGGGTGCTAAGTGACAGGTGGAGGATGTCCTGCATGTGGGCTTTTGAAACAATGTCTATGGAAGGAATTCTGTAATGGGTGTGAGTGGTCCCTTGTCTGCTTATTCTGATGAAATCGCTGAGAAAAACAGGCGCTTGTGGGGTCTGTGGAGGAGAGCTTCAGATGAAACATTCAGATTACCATGAGAAATGTAAGTTTCTTCTTTTCTTCCATCAATCAGATCCAACCATAAATCTCCACTCGATCCGGCTTCTTTCAAGACTTACGACGGCTCTTTTTCGTATGTAAGCAGAGATGAATCTTGAATTACTTTCTTCGTCACGTTCAGCTGATTCTCAGGTAGATGCCACGCTCGAAATTGTATGTCTCCAATCGCCGATGAAGGCGATCTGTACTGCGAGAGTTGTAAGTGTATCTTCTTTTCATACGATCCTATAACACTGACGTCAAGGTGCGTGTCTCAAATGCGGCGCTCAAATAGAAAAGTATTCCGGCTTTTGTGATAATTGTGAGTTTTCTCTACTGTCTCCCATCATGACAGAAAAGCTAAACTCAAGGTCGGTGCCAACGAGAAGGTTGCGGACTTCCACTGTTACCGATAAACCTCGGGAAGTATTGTGAGGAATGTGAGTGAAAGACCGAGTCGAAGAATCAGACTGATCATCAGGCCAATGTCAGAATTGTCCAGAATATAAATCAAACCATGAGGATTATTTTTGTCCTGCATGTGAGTTGTTTTTTTCCGTGATCAGATGTGACGGATGACTGATAAGTAGGCCAGAAAGATCCTTGTCCGGAATGCAACAAGAGAGTATGCTTGGATTTGGGGAACAATCAATGCAAGCATTGTGAGTTTGATGGTTGATATATGTACCAGTGCCCAGCTCATATATACAGAGATCAAAACGCAACATAGAGCTGTCGGACCGCAACGTAAGAAAGGAAGGAGTTCAGTCGACGACCTTCGAACATAGTGAGTGTGACGGATGGGTAAGTATACATGTGCGAGTACGCAGTTGTAGTGGTACGGTTACCCCTGTTTGTATTGAAGATGAAAATTCAACATGCATCATTGTTGTCAGTCATGGTCAGTAGGGGAGTGATTCCTGATCCCGAACTGAAGCAGCCAAAAATCATCACATTCGCCATTTTGGGGGATTTGTCCAGATCTCACTCTAACGCTTCCTCAATATCCTCCCTATCCTCCCAGATCGCCCATGTTCTACATGATAGGCCAGCAAAGGGGCGTCAAGTGAAGATTCTTTCTGTGTACGCACTCTTCCTGACAATAGACATCATGACGACGATCAACACGTTATACGCCCTTCACCCACCTCGGTTTCTTAGAGACATGTCATCCTCATTTCCTCACGACCACTGACTCATTATCTGATATACTCGTGACTACCAGATGTTTCTTCAATGGACTACATGCGGGTATCCCGACTGTCATCGCAGGTTCCTAGGAGGTTACCACAACACTTGCTACTCCTGCAATATATTTCTCTGTCCTACGCATTTCACACCGCCATTTCACGATTGTGATGAGAATTCCCCAGTAAGTATCCCCCCCCTTACCACTTGAAGCTTCTGTATTCATTGTGTAGGAAGGACAGGCTGAACTTGGAGTTCGACACATGGAAGTCAATAAGCGTCGAGTGAGTCCTTCAACCATCCAAAACATCAATGACTTACGTATTAGTGGCTTCCTATTTTGTCTGATCTCGCCACCGTTGATTTATACCAGCAAATCCGTTCACTCCGTCCAGGACACGAACCTACGTTCACTCTTCCCACAGAATGGGGTGATTTGAAGCGATTACGACTGGTCAGCTCTTGGAACGCTCATTTCGCTATTGATTTTGAAGACGGGGTGAAATGGTTGTTGCGTATCCGTCAAGGAGCATCAGGTAGTCCCCCGGCAGAAATACAACCTTTTGTTCTGGAGAGTGAAGTTGAAACCCTTCGAGTTCTGCATAGGGTGAGTGCAAAGGTCCCAAACGCTTGGAGTCATGGAGTAGATCCAAACACAGATTTCACGAGTAAGTGTTCTCAGTTTCATCACTCTCCCTTTTTTTCGAGTCCTTGAGCGGGGCGAAGCTGATCAGAAACAGAATCTCCTTTACGTTATTTTTTCCTCGAGATGATGCCTGGTAGAAAGTGGTACGGTCGTCCAGCACCAATCAGTGTGGGAGCGATAAAGGGACTAGAAGCTCAAGAGAGATATAAGAAGATCATCGACGAATTCGTTCGCTTTCAACTCATTCTCGCCGACGTTCCCTTTCATGGAGGTATCGGAAGTCTCTATCCACTTTCTTTAGTCTCTAGTCCACTCTTCTCAAGCGACATAGGTATAAGACCAACTAGTAAACAACATACCGATTATGCGCTCACAGGCCCATTAGTCGACTTCTGCGGACCCGATCGTCCTCGTCTGTATGGACCATTCTGGTCAAACAGAGATCGTTACTTGGCTCAAATCGACCTGATTTTAGACAAATTGTGGGAGCAAGAGCTTTTGGTAGATGAACCTTTACACATGTTTCTTGGTCATCTCCACGCAAGAAAGATGGTGGAAACCTGTGAGGAAATGGCTAGAGAAGAGACAGAATTCTTCATCAAACACCCGGACAGTAAACCCGACCAGATGTTGGTTTTAGATGATTCACTATCTGCTGTGTTAGATTGGGAATGGTAAGTTCACATTGAATAATCATTCTACATTACAAAATTATCCCTCGAGTAGTCTTTCCTGAAAATCTGGCTGACTGCTCAGGGCTTATGTCACTACCAAAGCAGAAGCCTTCTCTTCCCCTCGGTTCTGCTTCGGAAGCGATAGGCACATGGCTGGCTTTAACGACCTGGGCGTTGAAGAAAAGTACATGATTGAGTGTTACAAGAAATATGGACGTCCCGACTTAGCGGAATGTATAGAAAAGGGGGCGATATATTATCGACTTTTCAATATAATCGGATGGTGTCCGGACGTAGATGATCTCAATGGACTCAGTCGAGCGGTGCTGGGAGAGGAGAAAGCAGGGACTCTACCTGAGACGAAAGATGCTTGGATCGAAGATGCTCTTGTACGACTCAAAGATGATGCTAGGGTGTCTGGTATCCAAAAGTTACAACAAACTCAAGATGAAGAAAGGGAAGTGGCGATAGAGGAGCGGAGTGCCAAGCTAGAAAAAGGGTCTGCTCTAACGGAAACATGGGGGTGGACTTAGAGCACAAGATCGTTCCGTCAATGTAGTACGAAGTGTCTTCCAATGAAACATCATGACGAAGCTGGACATATTTTCGGATCATTTCAAATTGTCGATGCCGAGTGGAAGATCGATCCACGATTATCGTCGGGATGGGGGTCAAAAATAATCCTGTCAACCATTTAGATATTGACATACCGAGAAACAGGGCGGGAATTGATTACGCAGTCTTGAGAAGCTCCAATGAGCTCAGATTGATGTAAACCCCCTCTTTCTCGCCTGAAATATGCGGATCCTGCCTTGGACCCTCAACGCAGACGACGGAAACAATGATTATCCGAGCTTTTGACGTGGTCATGACTTCCCGGCTTACTTCCTCCTCGACCCCATTCCTCAACACATTGAGATGACCTACTCACGTCTTTCTTCCAACAAACATGTTGCAATCGAGAATAGGAGTACGTCCACCAGAATGTACTGTGACCATTTTCCCTTTCGGTAACTACAGTCCCAACGTCGTATTTGTGTCTCGCACCCACAGGATCTGACCCCGCCCCGATAAATTAGACTTACGAATATCGTCCTCATGTCATAGCCCTCTTTTCTTGCAGCATTCCGGGGTGATACAACCTATGCTTCTGACCTCGAGGTGCTTGCTTGAGCATGTCAGTCCATCCGATTGTATCGCATATCTTAAATAATCACTACTGACACATTTCTTCACAAAGTAAGCGTACAATTCTTTATCGACACAGAATACGATATGGCCAAGACGGGGAACTCTAAATCGGCCAAACCGAAGATGCAATGTTACATTTGCGGCGTGCAGAGGACCACGAGAGGATTCTGTGATGATTGTGAGTCTATTGTTGAACGAGTGAAGCTGATTGTTAGGCATTTGCGATGTATGTTCAAAACCTGTGGAGAAGATGGGAGACTCTACATGTGGACAATCCACCTGTACATATATTTACCCTTCGGTCAACCCTCTTGAGCTGATCATCAGGTATGTGTCAGTGTGGAAACGTATTGCCTTGGATGTACGCTGAGATGTGTAAGAGATGTGAGTTCAATTGATCATCAGTGCTCCTTGAAATCTCAAATGATCTAACATCCCCTTGTCCCTCTTCTCCCGCGCCTTCAAATAACGTAGATGAGGATGAACCGAGCTGATCTGTGTAGGTGCTGACGAGGCCGAAAAGAAAAAACAGCGTGAACAAGCCGCTGCTCAGCTGTCCGCCAACAGCTGTCAAGTGACGGCAGGATCATCCACGAATCAGGTCAAGGTATGTCCAGAGGGAAAAGGAACAACAGTGTTTTCTAACTGATTGCGCAGGAAAAGACTTCGCCTGAGATTGACGCGGAGGGCTACAAATTGGTTTCCAGAGGTCGTCCTGGGGTGAAGCAGTGGTACCAGACTGATTGAGTAAATCATTTTGACAGAGACAGAATAAGAATGTAAATCATGCTGTGTTTGATTTTTCTCAGTCTATGTGTCAGCAATGTTAGTAATTAGATAGAGGTGCAAGGGTGTGGAAGAGTCAAGAAGGATGTAGAAAGAATAGTTGATGATTGTTCAATACAAATTGGTCCGTAAACGTCCAGCGCCGATAAGCGAACTCTTCTTTCCATAGCCTTGACATATATTCTGAAGCTCTACTCAGGAGACATGGTCATCGATAAACAGTAAAAATGCGGCTGAAAGAGAGCGAATTATTTCAACGGTAGATCAAGGGTTGGTCGAGTGTATATTCTTCAGATCAGCGGAAGACTTCGCGATGAAAGGTCGAGATGGAGATTTGGAAATGGACGGGAGAACTCGTGAGAGACTTACCAATCATTGAGCCATAGCCTCATCTTGACTATCATGTCCTACTTCACTTTCCAGATACTTTTCCAACTCCCACTTTTCCTCCGTTTCCGCCGTAGCTGCTGACCCTTTGCTCTTGGCGCTCTGATTACTCTTATTGCTCTGAGCACTAGTGGGCCTCTCGTGTCTTTTGACATCGACCCCGAGCAGACCGGGCACCTTCGACGTCCTTGTTCTCGCCGATGGAGGTAAACCAGGTGTGACGGGAGAGTATAGTCCAGGAGAGGGAGAAGCGGTAAAGTCGATATTGTCCTTCTGTCTTACTTTGATAGAGAGAGGTGGGGTACTATATGATTCTGGGACGAAGTTTGCGAAGAACTCGTCCTGTGTGTTTAAGGGGTGAGGTGTGTTCCATCCATCTATCTTTCCCGACCTATATGGCATTTCTTGATCCCCTTTATATTCGTACCTCGGCAGACCGCGAAGATTCAGAGAAGACAGACGAGGCCGCTCTAGAAGAGAAGGAGGAATCGGTTGTGCCATAGGACTATCGAAAGAAGTGTTGTAAGACAAGGGACCGTCCGATTTCTTCGATACTATGGATGGAGTACCAGTCCTGCTGGGTAGATTACTTAAGTTAGGTCGACGTGGAAGGAGTCCGATCATTCTTCTCGTCTTGGCCAAAGCTGGGGACATAGACCGAGGAGTGGGAAGAGTAGGAGCAGGTAAGAAAGCAGGAGTGACGACGTAACTTGAAGCGACCGATAAATCCGCGTCGGTAGTCATGGACAGATCCGGGGTGGTCATCTCTTTAGGAGTGGGCATGGAAGGTGCTTCAGATGATTGCGACATCCCTGTAGGCTGTTGAACGGAAGACATGCCGTATCGCTTTGGAGTGATCGGGGCGGGACGTGGAAGATAATCTAAGAATTTACTAGGACTAACGGAAGGGACGGCTTTCGGAGGTCCGATGGATGATTTGGCTGGACGAACTGGTTGATGAGTTCTAGCCGGTGTTGTTGGAAGAGCGAAGGGATGAGTAGAAGGTAAAGGAGGAGCGACAGTACGAATGGAACGAAGGGTCGTTGTCGAACCTTTTTTCGCTAACGAGCGCAAGGTAATGAGTGACGATTTCCGAGGAATTGGTAAATTTGGATCTTGGACTGTCCGGGGTGGAGGAAGAGGTAGGTTGAGAGGATGACTGGGGACAGGTGGAGGACTAAGGATCAGTTCTTCCATGTTATATCTCGGCAGCCCACAACCTACACCGCATCTCGTTGAAAATGTGTCACGCCGTTTCGTCATACTGATTACAACGGAATGAGAAAACATAGATACCAGTTGATTGTGACGTTATGCTGAATGGTAATAAAATGACTCACACCTGCCTCTTTTTGGGTGTCAATCCCAAACGCCGGGCCAAATCACCAACCATACTTCTTCTGGGAGTGATCGGGACAGGTACAGGTGGTACTTCTGGAATATCCAAATCCATTCTATCAGTCTCACCACTTTTCCTTGTTTTCTTCTTACTCTTGGTGCTCCTGGCACTCTCAAAGCTTTTTCTCGGTCTGATACTATCTAAACTTTTCTTGGGTCGACTGGACTCTGCGCTCTTCCTCGGTCTTACCGACTCTCCAGATTTTCGAGAACGCCAAAAACTCTCCGCTGTTGAAGTGTGGGAATCTGGACTACCGGATGAGGAAGACCATCGAGATTCTTCCATGATCCTTCTCGGGTTGGTATGTGGAGTACGAGGAGACATGGCCAGTTTGAGAGCCCTCATAACGTCTGTGAGAGCCCGCTCGGCGGAAGTCTCTTGAGTGTAGGCTTTGTAGGGTGAAGTGTTGGAAGGGGTGATGGAAACTCGACGTCGTTGACGTGTGGGTGTTGTAAGACGTGATTGTTTACTAGGTGAAAGGGATTGTCTTATCATGCCGGATGTAAACTGATCGTCAGCCCTGTGCTGATGATGAGAGCTTGAGAGGTGCGGGTGCCATGAGTGGGGACGAGAAGGAGGAATGTGCTCACCAAACCAGAATAGCCATCGGATGGAGCGAGACTTTCACCGGACCATCGATCATCTGGGTTTTGACCTCTGCTTGAAGTGGGGAATGGTACTGGCATCGCCACCGCCGGAGAACGTCTATGATTTGGCGCCATGTCGACGGGACAAGCTGCCAAGCTGATGTTGCGATGACCGATTATCGGTTATGATTCGTCACTCGTGAGCTGTGAAAGAAGATACCACCCCGTCTCTCGTCAGTAGGGTGAACAATGTCAGATTGAGAGAAAGAGGTGTAAGAATGATGGAGTGAGTGAGAAGATGTTTGATCCAAAACATGGTGATAGAAGCTCATTCAACGTGTGAGCCAATGTATCATGTCTCAACTGGACATGACTCAACCTCCCCGGGGACAACCAACATGAGTGAGACCGGCACACATCCAGACCCTGATGTTTAATTCAACACGAGTGTCCTTACATTGCTGATTCTGACTATGGCCTGTGATTCCTGAGGAGCCGAGCCGCGAGCCGAGAGTGGAAAGGGAAGTGTTTGCTGGCACATGGCACTTTGAAGAATCAAATAAATCTGAAACACGGAACCACATCCTCTAACACACCTTGACCAAACATCCCCAACCCCACGGTTACAATTTGTGGGGCTCCACGAAACATCACCGTTCACGATCGAACCCATCTGCGACCGAATTTCGACTTCACCACGTCACTGTTCACCTCCATTCCCACTGCAACTCCCGATCGATCTCCATCTTCAGACTGACTACGAAGTGATCGTCATGACGTCTTACGCTACCGATGACGATATATACAGTACGAGTACAGTACGAGTACACCTCGTCATGAAATCCAATCATTCCCATGCCATCCAAAGTCCTTCTTCAACCTCGGGTACTCTCTTCACCTCTCACTCTCAGACCTAGACCCGTTCTGACACTTCCGAAATTTATCTACCGCGCAATGTCTCAAGCTCAAGTGCCTACTTTTGGTTTCTCCGAACGTAAACCATCTGGAGAGGAAGCAGCTCTCATCCAAGATGTCCTCAAGTTGTGTATGTCTCTCGAGTTGAAAAAAGAGCTTTGAACTGATGAGGTAGACCAACTTCAACCTGTCAGCGCGGCGTATGCAAGGTACGACCAGAAAGCCACTTTTCATGATCCTATCGGACTAGCTGAAGGGCTTGAGTCTGTGGTGAGTCACTCTACTGGTTGATTTTAGGGTACGAAGGAAGCTGATTCGGAAGAAAGCCCAGTTCAATTCGATGCCAAAGATTTTCTCCAAGTCTGAAACGTTGGATCTGAAAGTGTTGGACAACCCTCAGGTTGTGAGTTTCTTATTGTAGGACTTCTTTCTGACCATCCGCTTCTCCTCGCTCCTCCCCGTTTGCTGCGCATGATTCAGCTGAAGTATGAGCAATTGACAAGGTCGTTGCGAGTCAAGCGTGACTGGGAAGTTGAGCATCTTACTAATCGCCAGAAACCCCCCTCGGTGCAATTTGCTCTCGCTCAGAACTACCACGTCAAGACTCCGCAAACTACCAAGCTCGTCAATTCTTTGATCACCTTGACTGTGGATCCATCTACAAAGCTCATCACCCAGTAAGTCTGGTCGGTCTCTTTTCGCCTGCACTTGCTTCGTTTGCTTCTCCCATAGCCCTTACGAACTCCAGGGCGTCCGGTTGAAGCTGAAAATGGTCGTTCACCACTCGACCGTATATACTGTAATATGTGACGTCCCACATTCGAAGAATATGCTGAACCTAAAAACGGGGCAGAGCTGACTTTCAGCCACGAAGAAGAATGGGATGGAAAGGAAAACACAACTTCTTCCGATGGTTTCTTTGGTAAATTAAACGAATGGAGGAAGAAAGCGACTGCGGAACTTGTCAAAGCTGGTGCTGATACACGTCCTGTGGATCAACAGTGATGGGTTTGTCACGGGTCCATGTAGCATACAGCATATACCAAGATACGACGTCCTGTAGTAAGATACGATGTAGACCGCATACTCTCTTTCAGCATATGTATGTGTTACAAGAAGTGTCGTTATCCAATTGCCAGCTGCTGATAAGGACAAGATCTCCCGACAGCACATTGACGCCCCAGTATTTGCCCCCCTGAGAAAGTCAAATATCGCCCATTCATCCCCTGAGTTAGCGACCGTGGAGTAGAGTATTCGTACTTTTAAGTGGAGACGAACATTGAGACCAACACATAGAGGGCCAGATATAAATGCATGTGCAAGTGTTTGGTGAACTCGTGAATTCGTGAAACGATGATATCATGAGATACTCGATGCTAAAACGGTGTTTCCCTCAACATGGCAGAACAACACCATAAAGGTATCCAAACCATATAAACTCCGACCCAAGTGATATTCCCATATCTTTCCCATTCATCCTTCAAATCTATCCCATGACGCAAAAACATTCTCACCCAAGCTGGGTTGAAACCTAATAACATCAATCTGACCCAACCGCGTGGGACAAGATTGATGTATACAAGTAATGTCAATAATACAGATTGAGGGAAATTGACCATACCTAACGTAGGGATTAAAGCACCGTATAAGAGTAAAGACATATTTTCCATACTTTTTCTTTCTTCATTCAACACTTCCATCCTCCTCATTCTTCCCTCTTCATCCTCTCCCCTTTTCTCAATCTTGGAATCTAGATTTCGTTTCGTAATCCCCTTCTTCCCTTTGAATTCCTCACTTTTGAGTTTATCATCAACGTCTTTCTCCACTTCAAGTGTATGCGTAGAGGTTCGAATATGTATAAGAGAAACCGGAAGAGAGAAAATTGTCGTAATTCCCGGTCTAGGAATGAACAATGCTATTAAACTGAATTCCGGTAATTCTATCATCCATGATATCAACCCAATTAAATGAGGTATGATCAACCATAAAAACCCTTCTAATGGTCTAGGACAAGATAAACCACCGATAGTGAGTGAAGCACCGAGTAAAACGATGGAAGGAAGGTAATTCCCTACTGGAATAAAATATGATGGACGTGGGATTAAGTAAAAGAAATAAGATGCGTGTGGTCTTTCGAGTAGGTTTGATAATGATCGTAGTGTGCTTTCGATTATTTTACCAAGAGTGTGGAATCCATGTGGTGATGATGATGGGGGACAATATAGTGTTAGAGCGTCTATACGATGTCTGATTTATTAATTATTCTTCAATATTGATCATATCCCACACTTTTTTGAAAACATGTTCTCATCCTCGATATTCTCATCCTCGTGCGGGGTCGACATGGTGGATAAATTTTTGTGTGTGGAAACATGTCACTTTCACCCTAGTATCTCATCCTCGACGGAGTGCTCAAAATTCGACCGACGGTGATACTCTTGTCATAGATGTGAGAAGAGTCGAATTTGTGTTTTGACCACAGAAAAGACTTTTAAACGCGAAGATCTTTAAAAGAAGAGGAAAGTTTGATAATTCCAGATTGTCATATGAGGTCATGTGAGGAAAGGGCGTTCGGGGGGAGAGAGGAGGAGGGGAAGGGGACAACGACTTACCTGGCCAAAACTCCATGTGCACCACTAGCTCTACCCAAAGCGGTGAATTTTCCATGTTCCCATAACCCCTTAAATCCTATTTTCCATCTCTCCCACATTCCATCAGCCTCATCAACAACATCATGAACCCTCATAGGAACACCTCCAGTCCATCTAGCAATATGTTGAACAGTATTGATCAAATCTTGATTAGGTAATCTCCCATTGATACCTTCGTAAAATATCCCCAAATGACTGAAACTATGACCAGGATAATCGATATTCAGCGATGTCCAAATCCGACCGGGGAAAAGAAGATCGTATGATTTCATGAAATCTTCTAAACCTTCCATATGACCAGAAGGGAAGATGAAGAGGAAATCGAACGCCCACTGAGGTTGTCCTCGTAAGAAATGAGCGAGAGATAGAAGGATGGAGATTCCTCGAAGGTTTGGGGTTTGAAGATGGGAGATGAGAGGGGCAGAAAGGAGGATCGTTTCTAATCCTGAGGAACGGGGAGGGGAGAGGAGAGAGTAGGTTGATGTGGAGAGTGAGGATGTGTGAAGGCCAGAGGAGGAGAGTGTTGACATGAAATATTCGGAATATCTGAGATGAGCATCTCCTTTTTGTCCTGCTTTTCATATAAACGTCTCAATTCCCGACGTCACTCGTGGCAGAGTCAGACCCCCGCGACCGGGTCTAGTGAGACGGAGATATTGTTCAGCCAGAGGAGGATGCACAGAAGTAAAAAGTAAGGACCGTGGAGGTGATTTTGCATGTTGGACCATCAGTAAAATGTCAAATATGACAAGGACGTAAGTAGGGGTGAGAAAAATGGGAAGAATACATCAGAAGAACTCACTGGGCAAATGAAGCATTCTTATCCCTCAACTTTTCCAGCTCTCCCAGGTATATATCAGCTCGATGTACATCTCCCCAATCCCAATACGTATTGACCTCATCATCAGCTTCCGAGCTCTTCATTCAGAGCAAAAGCCCACTTGACCGGGTTGTAAAGCATTTTCATCAACATATGTCCTCTTCCATAATCCTTCATAAGGTAACGCGAGGATCCATAGTACACCCACAGTAGCAAGTATGAGTCTATTATAAGTTCTGTCGTCGCGGTAAAGGACATGAACGTACCTTATGAGTGATACTCGAGATGAAAGAGCTCGAAATATCTTTCGTCGACGTACGATGGTCTTTGCCAGAGCGGCATGTTCGGGAGTGTAGTTGATTGCTGTTAGATTTGGAGTACCTCTTCTCAGTCGTATCAACCTCTGGAATAGACTCATGGATACGTGGAATGAGAGGTGAAATAATGAGGGAAAGGGATGGGGTCAATGTGGGGAGTGCAAAGTGGAGGTGTCCACTTTGAAGAAGGTTAAGTAGTTTGAAGTTGTCCATCAACCACCCTTCTCTTATTGTCTTATCATCATCATCTACCGACCTTCTTAAAATGCCAAAAGCGAGATATGGGACCAGTTCCAAGCCTACCAAAACTCCTAAAGACAAGTCTGACTGGTCTTGGGTAGGTACGGAAGTTCTCAAGGTCGAGGATATCACTCCTCTTCATCGACGACGGGCCGCGGGGTTAGAAGGGGCCACCCAATGTCCTATACGATGGCAACATGACACATCCGAGATTGTCAAGCCTATCGAGATAACGAACGGAGAGAAGTGCACTCCGGCTAGATGTAGAGGTAAAGTCAAATGCTACAACCATCTCGGTGCTGAAGAAGTGAGTGGAGTGCACATCAGATTCCACCTCATTCCTCTTCGAGCGAGAGCTGATGGACCAGGTTTTTGAAGAGAAAACGAAAGATAGATTACTACGAGAGTCTTTGCCGGACAATATGGAGATCAGAGATGGCCCTGCTGGTCTACGAAACCTAGGAGCGACTTGTTACGTGAGTACTTATCCTTATCTAGGGTGAATTAACAAGGACAGGCCAACGCCTTTTTACAGGTGTGGTACTACGACATACCTTTTAGACGTGCCGTTTATGCCAGCGTCACTGAAGAGGTAAAACCCTAATATAATTCGCGAATCAGCTGAGAGAAGGATACAACCACACCCTTATATCACTTAGCCCAAGTTTTCGCTTCGTTACAACTCTCTAAACGACCCTACATTGATCCTTCTCCATTGGTAGAGGTACTTCAGCTGGACAAAGCCGATCAACAAGATGCGGCAGAGTAAGTCTGCTCATCTTTGCTACATCTCTGAGAATTGTTTCGTTAATCCCAGGTTTGCTAAATTATTCATGGAACTCATCACCCCGGATGTCCAAATACATCCTCAAAGCAAACTGAGATCACTCATCTCAGATCAGGTATGTCTTTTTAGCTTCTTGTAGGTTGTGCGAGTGTTGAGAGTAGTACGAAGGTATAATGGAATATGTGACAACTTGCGAATGCGGTTACCAATCTCGCAGACCGAGTAAGTTGTCTCGTCCTCCTATCATGTGATGCTCATTCGGTCAAAGGTACATTCCGTGAACTTGAACTTTCCTTGAAGGTGAGCTTCAATGTTCGGACTGGACTGATTTTTAGAGTAAAAGTACCTTGGACGAACATATCAAAACATTCCTACGTCCTGAATTATTAAATGGTCAAAATCAATATTCATGTCCTATTTGTAAACGACTCAGAGACGCAACTCGGAAAACGGAGTTGGTCAAACTTCCCCCGGTGTTACAGATCACTCTGATGAGATTCATATTTGATTACAAGACTGAATCGCGGAAGAAAAGCAATGTGCCTATCGAGTATTCAACTTCATTGAAGATAGAAGATCAAGAATACGAACTTCAGGCTGTCATAAGTCATCAGGGAAGTAGTGTGAGTCAACTTCCGCACGACCCATATTCTCTCTCGGCCTGTCTTTCGAGTCAGGTCGTCTAAACTATCTCGAATATGATGGATGTAGAAAGCTGATAGGAAGGCACATCATGGTCATTTTACTTGTGAAGTTTACAGTTCAGAAGACGATGACTGGCTTTTTTGCAATGATGAAGAGGTCACTCTTCGATCGAGTCGACCTAATAAACGTATGCGTCAAGGCTCGAACGAGGTCATAATCCAAGCGGAAAAGACTACGAAATCCAGTAAAGATGCGTATATGTTAGTGTACAAGCGTAAGCGATCCAGAAGCGATTTGATAAACGGACACCAGGCCATCGCTTCGTCTCACGTTCAACCGCTACCGGTGACATCCGTAAAGGATGAGATGGCGGCAATGGCCAAAGAGGCGTCGAATGGAGACGTGCAGTGTCACAATGGAGACAAGGGTCTAAGCGATCTCGCTACAGCGATTTTGCCGCCCGTGACCCTGACTAAGGTCGTGGAAGCGGACAACGTGGTTTTTGAAGCTGAGATCGAAGAGAATCAAAATAAGTAAGTCATATTCACGAAGTATCTTCTTCAGCTGAGGTTCAGGCGTTCGAAAGTCGCTGCTAACGTGGAACAGTTGTTCAAGTGCAAGCAAGACGCTCTGGCTTGTCTAAGTGGGGTGAGCAACATATATGCATCTGTGTTGGCTCCCACTATCACAGCTGATCACCAGGATGAGGTCATCGTACCCCGAGACGCCCTCAGCAAGTGGTTCAAGACCACCCAGTTAGATGAGCTCTCAACTCCACTCGACTTTGAACCTGTCAAATGCTCTCATGGCGCTATCGACCCTATCAAAACGCCAGATTGTCGACTGATTTCGCGGCAAGCTTGGGATAGAATCTCATCCCATCCAACTCTAGATATCTGCGAGACATGTGTAAAGGAGGGTTTCAACCGACGTCTGGCCGAGATGGAACATAGGAACCAAGTCGTTGTATTTAATGAACTTATCGGAGAAGAAGGAGAGTACCTCTTACCTTCTCGGTGGCTCCAGGATTGGGACAACAGTATATGTACACCTCCCGATCTTCCGAACCATCCTAATTACGAACTCTTGTGCGATCACGGCGAATTATTTCCCACACTCCCGAACACCTTGTCAATATCAGTGGAAGCGTTACAATATCTACGATCTCTCTTCGAAAATCTTGATCTTCCCAGAATAGACACTCCGATTTGTCTTGTTTGCGAAGAGAACCGGCCAAGCTCCAAAGTGGTCAAAGTACATAATGACGACGTGACGTATGACCGGAAACTCAAAAGAGAGGTGGACGCGGCACCGATGATCTTTGATGAGGAGTTTTATGTCCTTCCAGAGGAGTTCTACACTAATTGGTCGAATTACATCAAAGGACAAGCAGGAAAGCCAGTGATGGAAAGAATGACATGCAAACATGGAGGATTAGATATCGATCCTACCACTGAAAGCCTGGAGTATATTTCGAGCTCGGGTTGGCAGTTTCTAAGTGAGAAGTGAGTCGACGCGCAACTATCGATGTCTCTTGTGAGGCCGTCATCGTCAAGCGAAATATCAATCCCACTGATGAAGACAAAGAATGCTGATGTAAAGATATGGCACGCAGTCACCTGTCATTGTCAAATTTGGAGCCAACAGACTTGAAGGTGCATCGACTAGTGTCATTCAGTTCAGTCCACCCATATGCGATCCATGTCGCTTGAGAAGGTTCGTCCTTACTCTCTTCATCCTAAATTTAGCATCACTGACTTGCAGATCATTAGACTTTACGGAAACCACAATCACCATTGAGCTCATCTCTACCTCGAGCCCTCAATCTTCGGATTTTGTTTCGAGATCCCGTATGAACACACGAAGAGGGATGAAAAGGGAGACATTGACAGTAACGAAAAGCACCACCATCAAAGATATCAAACTCATGGTCAGCTTCTCCCTTCATATATGCAACGTAGAGTCAAGCTGATGTTTAGTTGATGAATCGTTTGGACATTTCACCAATCAGTCAAATGTTAATGTATGATGATAGAAACTTAGAATCAGAGGAGACCATGGAAAATATAGGGGTATTAAAGGGGTCAACGATGAAATGTATGTTGTTGGAGGAGAAAGAGGAACTGTTCGAGAGTGACAAGAGAAAGGAAGGGTTTGGGGGTACAGCTTTGACAGGGAAGAAATGTGAGTGATATCTTCCGATACTCAACTTCGATCCCCATCTTGACAAGGCATCGGCAATTTAATCGTTCACAATCGTGGAAGCGATCTCAAATATAGTCTCTCGATACCAATAAGGGCTGATCGATACATAGTTTGTTCAGCATGTACATATGCGAACATACCTTCCGCCAATAAATGTAGCATGTGTGATACAGTGAGTTGTTCCACAAGTGTTGGTGAGTGTAATGTACTGATGATGGAGCGCTTTGCATGAGGAAATCATCGCATACGAGCTATGTAAATTATAGGCACCTGCATCATATAAGATCAAGAGCATCATCAAGATTATTTGCATTTGTAGGTACCAAACATCATGTACTGTATGTACAAAATAACGATTCACATCAAAAGACACGACATGCATGAATATCGCTCAGGCTGTGCCAGGGGAGGGGTGCACAGGAGTGACAGGTGTGATGGGCAGTTTCTCCTTGTCTATATGAAGAATTTGGTTATGAAGCTGGAATTACCCCGGCTACTCTTCTTCCTTATGCATGCTGATCATTGCACCCACCATGCAGTTCCTTACAAGAAAGGAAAACGTGAGGTTTGCTGATGAGTATGATATGAATTATTAGGACTGTTAACTGGGATCACACACAACAGCAGGGGATGTCGTATAATGGCTAGTACACGGACTTAGCATGTCTGAAATCGGCGTTCAATTCGCCGCATCTCCAAAGAATTCAAATCTTTTGAATTTTTTCCTTCTTACTTTTGCTCAGATGTTTACTTGTTGCATATGATGTCTCCTCTCTCCATGTCACCGTTTTAGGCATGTCTCCAATCTAAATGAATCGACCCAAAGGGGTCTATAAACTCATAGAGTGGCCAAACCTCGATGATATGCTTCCTTCCTTCCGACTTTTCACCATGGCTCGCTCGAAGACGTATTCGGACGCTATAGCTCTGTTGAACACTTGTCAATCTAATGCTGCTGCGTGAGTCATCCTCCCTTGATCATAGGGACTTCTTGCTCTTTTCTTCTGATACATGGGGAATGGAGGACTCTCTACTTCTGATACGTGGGGAGTGGAGGGACAGAATTGTTTCCTTCGTCTCCTCCGCTCTGAGCGAGAAATTGGTGGTTAAGGGAAGGATTAAGGATGAAGTAGAATGTCGTGGGCTAACAAAAAGGATTGAAGCTCTGCGCAAGTCTGGGGGAAGATTGAGTGATTGGGCTGTACCGGAGATGCATCATTATTTAAGAAGAATAGGTTATGTGGTGAGTTTTATCTCATTTTCCCTAATGCCCAATCACACCCATATTCTTTCAAAACACAAGATGGGTTATTCGTATCGTGAGGACGACATGCAGCTTAAATGGAGTGAAACGGGAATAGATCATTTACGACTGCTTTGGAAGGGAAGAGGTGTGGTTGAAGCTAATCATGTAGCCAGATGATCTGAACAAACTTAATGTATTGCACATAACTGGGACTAAAGGGAAAGGATCAACTTCAGCTTTTACAGAAAGAATTCTCAGAACTCATCTACCGGGAAAGATAGGTACGTCTCAATTTTCAACTCTATCCACTTCTTCCCATCAATTTACTCCTTCTGTATACTCTCTAAAACTTCTCTGCACGCATCGTCTTGCCTACGGTCCAAAGTCAGGGATATAAGAGTATCATCCCTTCGTACACTGTGGGGAAGAATCAAATTGAAGCAAAGCATGTTTCAGCTTGGAAAAGGAGTTTTGAGTGAGGTCAAGTAAGGACTGACGATAAAAAGGGTTATATACCAGTCCTCATCTTTGTGCTGTTAGGGAAAGAATACGGATTAACGGTGAACCACTTAGCGAACCTGATTTTGCTAAATATTTCTTTGATGTTTGGGAGAGGTTGGAAGCGGATCCTCAGGTATGTTCTCGTATCCCTTCTTTCTCCCCGTCCCCCCTCTCCCCCACCACGACCCCCCGCTAGATTTACTTCAGATTTCCATCGGATATCGGATGACGTTCTCTGAGACTACTTCGATCCTTGTCTATCCTCCCGATCTATCTTCTGCTTCCATTTTCTCTGGAGATATCACGAAGAATATATATCAACAGTGATGGGTTGGAAGAAAAACATGATGACAGAAAGAATGAACTAAATTGACCTTAAGCAACTTTCAGAACATACACCTATCTATCCTCTCTACTTCCGTCTACTCACTCTTGTAGCATTCCACGCCTTTCTCTCCTTACAAGTTTCAGCCACAGTATTAGAAGTCGGTATAGGTGGGACATACGATAGTACCAACATCATTCCTCGTCCTATAGTGACCGGTATCACTTCTTTAGGTCTCGATCACACAGCAGTACTCGGTAACACAATCGAAGAAATCGCACGTAATAAAGCTGGGATCTACAAACTTAATGTCCCCGCTTTGACAGTACCTCAAGAATCAGAATCAGCTTTGGAATTATTACGAGAAATAGCGAATAAAAACGGTTCTAGTGAATTTAAAGTAATACCTATGATACCAGAAATGGAATTAGGTTTGAAAGGTTCGCATCAACTTATAAACGCAAGTTTAGCAGTTTCGATGTCTAAAGTTTTCCTCGAAACTATTGGAGATAAATTAGGAGCTAAATATCTGAATGAAATGAAAGAAGAAAGGGGAATACCTGAAAGTTTTAAAATCGCTTTAAAAGAAACTAAATGGCCTGGAAGATGTCAAACGGTAAGATATAAAGGGGTGAATTGGATGTTAGATGGTGCTCATACTATTGAATCTTTGACGAGTTGTGGTGAATGGGCTTGGAGTGTGAGTGAAGGGAAACCAAATATTTTGATATTCAATTGTTCAGGTGGAAGATCGGGGGAAAGTTTATTAAAGGCTTTGTTGGAAGCTGGAGCCAGAGTGTTGGGAAAGACGGTGGAAGAAGTGGGAAAAGGAATGAAGATGGTTATATTTTGTACCAATGTTACTTATTCTTCGGGAGAATTTAAAGGTGGTGAGTTCTAATTTCTCATCGGCAAAACTTCACTCCAATTCTGATTTCACCAATTTTGTCGGTGGGTTATATCATGTTGATCAAATCACACATCCCCGAGAGAATTTTCTTCTTTCAAGTCACACCTAATCGATGTGTTGAAAGTGAAAGGAGAGTGAGGAGAGTGAGGAGAGCGATCAAAATGGTGATAAATGAGAAAATGTTGGTAAAAAATGTAACATGGTGAGAGGATAATAATGGGGATATCATGATAACCAATCTAGATCTAGCTTCCAAAGCTATCGACCCTGATGATCTCTCTCATTTATCCACTCAAAACGCTTTAAAAGAAGCTTACCTCTCTTTGATACCTACATACGATCCCACACTTGTTCACGTAGTATCAAGTATAGAACATGCCGTTCATCTCATCCGAACCTCCAAAGCCACCCCAGTACATCACCTCTCTACCCCCTCCGATACAAACCACGATAGCCTTCATGGCGTTAATGGCCACAACTCTAGCAGGAATGGGAATGGAATACACAACACCAGCGCGGATGAAGAAGGGAGCAAGTCTGAGGAACCGAATGTATTGGTTACGGGAAGTTTACACCTCGTTGGAGGGGTTATGGAAGTAGCTGAACTCCAAGAGTTTTTAAGTATGAATTGATCCCCTCACTCTCAAATCTGAAAACATTGCTAGGGGCAGTAAGATTGGAAGACATGGAGCGTGGAAAATAGGAAGAAGGGGTCAACATATAGAATTCGTCATATCAATAATCTTTTGCATGTAGTCATTGCATCGTTGCATTTTATACACTGATCGAGCGTTTTGATCAACTAACAACCGTAATTCCCAATGATATTCCCGATTTTCTTCTATTTACTCACAAGGTTCGGTGGGACCATTGCAGATGGACAGATAGATAGATCACTGATCGGTTGACACGTCGACTGGAAAAGATGCCGTGTATAAATTGTTATTCGGGTTCACCGTGTGGTGTTGATAGTACTCTATAGAGGGAAGGAAAAGACTAAACTTCTATAGACCCTACAACAGCACCAAACATCAAGAGATCTATACTTCCCGAGAACGCATTTTGAGCCCAACTATCAATCTCAGTCAATAGTTTGCTAGCGGGCATATTGGGTCCTAGACGGGGAGCAGTGTTAGGGACCATTTGGTTCATATCTGACGTAAGCATCACATATTCGCTACCCCGTCTCTCGCTGGAAGAAAATCGTTAGTATGTGTTGGAGAAGATTGGTCACTAGAGTCAGGTGGGGGATGGGAGGTAAGGGCACCGACACGGAGGAGGAGGAATAACTCACCGATAGCACTCCAATCCATTATCACCTTCTCTAATGGAATTCCCAATTCGAGCTCCACGATCGCATCGTCTAATGATGTGGCAATTTTGAAATGATGTCTCTTGATTCCTTTTGGAGGAGGGAATTCAAAGTTCCAATCTAGTATCTCGGCCTCGAACGCTATTGTAGGCCATAGGAGGCCAGTCTAGAATGTCAACAAATCTTTCTGATATACTCAGCTGGATGACGAGTATCTATGTGACGAGCATGACGAGAACTCAGGGCTCAACCTTCTCAAAAGGTGGCTGCAGTGTTGGAGAAAGAAGAGACCAAGTCATAGAACATATTGTTTAATAGCATCCGCAGCATTGATCGTGGTGGAGGAGAAAAGGATCACGAGTTGATGGAAAGTACATGAAAAGAAGGGGACAAGATCGATACACAAAAGGTGAAGAAAATACTGCCTTTATACTCACAAAATCAAAAGTCAATCGTACCCTCCTTTCATCCCCAGTTCTTGAAACCTCTTTCATACTCCAACGCAAATCAGGCCATGAAAACTCTTGACCGGGAATTTCAAATCGATACGTATCCAGAAAAGTCGAGACGGGATATAAAACGTCCCAATCTGGATCGTAGGGAGTTAAAGAGGTATGTGTCATATTTGATTCAGGAGCAAATTGGTCGTGTAGAGCTATGTGGAAATGACTGTAACCTCTGTCCATGTATGCTAGATGGAGAGTGTCGGTGTGATCCGTATGCTATGATCAGTCCCTTTACTCAATGTTTTACCACCTCCCTCTTGCTCCCTTGATGACCATGCTCAGCTGCCATCTGGCCTCCATATCCAGAACGATATGTCTGGCTCCTTGACGTACAAGGAGAGTATAAGGAGGTGAATGGCCTGTTCACGATAAGGAGAGTAACAGGGGACAATAGAGGAAAGATAGCTTCCCTTTTCGCTACCGTCTCGTACGTTGTCCCTTCCCCTCTACAGGACGAAGAAGATAGAGTAGAAAAAGGGGTTGCATACAAGAGAAAAGCAAAGGAGAATTGTGGGGGGAGGCGGAAGGGAAGGAGATGTTAAGAGAACAACTCACATTATGTGTATACTGAACAGCCCCTCTCTTCGGATGCATCTTATCGTATGGACCCCACATAGGACTAGTCATGAAACCTATCACACCCAAAGTCAATACCGTCAACCCCATTATAGTCCTTCTTTGTTGTTTCCGCGGAAGACGATGAAACAATGGGACGACAGGTGGGAAAAACACCAATCCGCAACTAGCTGAAATAGTAGCTATTATAATTTCCGCAGGGGCGTCTTTACCCATTCTACCACTTAACGGAGTGAAAATGTCCAATGTCTTCTCATCAGTCTCTGTTGGTATCCTAACAAATATGGGGAGGACTTACAGAAGTGATAGCTTCCACACATAAGAACATCAACACAGCCAGAGGTAAAACGTATCCACCTATGGCACCTAATTCACGGGCTCCCTTCGGGTTGATCAATTGACGAAACATTTTCCAACTGGTCGCTAATAATTGAGGAGTGACGAGGAATGTGAAGATGTATGCTGATCGGATTCCCAAATTATGAATTAATAACATGAGAGTCGTATACCATACTAATTGAGCATGATAAGTTGCTGATTCCATTCGATGTCGTTGAGAAGGTGGTAGGAAAGTGGACAGAAAATATTGACATAGTAGACTTCCTAAATATGCGATAGGACAATAAAGCACTAGAGATAAATGTTCATGTCTGAACCAAAGTTGTCCTTTCCCGATACTTGATAATGATAAAGCTAGTAATATGGCGGGGATAAGACCGGCGATGAGACCGACGGGAGTACCGATAAGAGCGATGAGGAATGGTCTTATAGCGGACTGTCGGAGATCTACAATAATGACGGCTAGAACCATTGTGGCCATGGTGAAATACACTATACCGGCTGTTGGCATAGTGCAATGAAAGAAAAATCGATCGTAGAGTGATAAATACACTGTATGGGGAGGAGATAAAGTATGAGGTAATGGTGAATTTGGAGATAGAAGGTAATCGACAATGGCTATGATATTATCTGCGAAATGCTGAGCAGCACCTGTTTCGATGTTTACTATGGAATCGCTGTTGTCAGCCTGAGTACCAAGAAGGGAGACGTACTGTCGGGTATGATAGAAATAACTGTGTCCCACGGTAGCCATCTTTGTCATCAGTCTTTTTCTACCGTTTGGAAGGGTCGACTGACGTCTAAACCGGGTACGTTGAGATATTGTTCAAATTGACCAAAATCCGTACTATATGTCAGACCTGATGGACGACCTCTTTCTGGAGAGATTGACTGACTCGGAAAGGATGATACCTGAAGCGAAAACGTCCGCTGCAATGACCGTACCCCGAGGACTGTATTTAGCTTCTACACGTTTATCTCGGAGTAGATCACGTACTGAGGCGCACGGGAATAAGCCTCTATCAATTCCGCACTGGTGGCTTGGAATAATAAAGCTCCTCCGGTGGTACCAGCAGCTTCGAGGTTGATCATGGCTTTCACGCTATCATCAGTTCCTTACTCAGAATTTTGAGTCGTTCAAAAATCACTCACCTATGTCTCGTTTCATGTTGTGTAGAGTAAAGATGTGAGCCGTCTTGTAACGTTTCTTCACCTCCATTCCATACTGCATCTCAGCGTATGTCCTTCCAGTGTCTCCACGGAATATTCCCCCTCCTCTATAGTACCTTGAAGGGCACGAGGATGAAGGTCCGTCGATATGTTAAAGTTGGGCTTGTTTGTTTTTGTCTTTTCCTTTTCTCTATGTTCTTCATAAGGGTGGTGGTGGTGGTGGTGGGGGGGGGGTCCCAGAGTATAGAAAAGGAGGCTGACTCACGGAAAATGATAGAATTGTCAAAAGGAGCATTACGTTCGACCAAAACTCTCGCTACGTCCAACATGACCCCCACCCCCATTCCATCGCTATCATCAGCTATATCTTGTACGTTGACAAATGACCAACTCTGCAGCACCTGGACTTGGTAAAGTGGAATCGATATGCGATCCTAAGAGAATAGCATCTTTCGCTTCTGGATCCCTAGGACCTGAAGGTGGAAAAAGTGAGGTGATACGAAGGATGATATTCGTTATACCTTTGTAGACTTTGAGTATTTCATGATCGAGGAGTTCGAATCTGTCATCAGCTCGTCCATCATGTCAGACAGTCCTGTTCATATCTTCACACTATTCAGCACAATCCAAGTAATGAGCCAGATGAAGGAGACACATGAGCAGATTCACGTCTTAGCATTTCATGACATGATAAGACAGATGTGTAAGGGACAAGTCTGCAAGGAGATTCCCAGCTCTGAGGAGATGGTAAGGATTTGAAGATGGTGACGACGATGATAGTGAAAGAATTGGCCAATACTGACTCATGAAATCCAGAACCTTTTTGTACCCAAACCTCACATTTCAAAACCCCACCATCATTACAATTTCCCTCTAATATCTTGACTTGATCAAGAACGTATTTCTCCCCATCTAGAGCTTCTTGTGTCCCTACTATCCGATAACCTATTTGTTCCAAAGCGGCAATATGTCCCATCACCAGATCTTCCGATACCTGTGGCAGACCAGACGGATCACTCTCATTCAGCTCCAGGTAGATCCCGCGGAATTATACTGGTGAGATGACTTACTATGGTGAAACAGGATCAGGGAGGTTGTAATGAGCTTTGGAGAAAAGATAAGGGAGGATGGTAACTACAGGTAAGATGATCCACCATTTCCAAGCTCCTGTTGATTCCTCTGATGATGTACTTCCATAGGGTGTTCTTTTTGTAGTTTTCCGAGTCCTAGACTTGGATTTATGACTGGGAGACGACATGAGAGTCGTCTATGGTGTTGGAATGTCAGTTTGTGGGATGATGTGGGAGGGGGGGGGGAGTAAAGATAGAAAGTGTGACGTCTATCGTCGATCGCAATTTGATTCCGTTCTGACTTTGGAAAAAGTTGAAAATCAAGAACATGGATGAATCTCCTCGACACCTTATCTTGTCAATTTATGTCGAGGATATTGAGGATCATGTCATCTTACGCGAACATGAGTAGAAAAGATCTCATAGCTAGGATAACAACACTTGAATCCTCTTTTACTTCTTCTTCCTCTCTAACCAAAATCAACCCCGATCATTCCACTTTGTCTTCCATCACTTCCATTCCCCAACCTGCTGGTCCTTCTCATCACTCATCTTCTCCTTCACCCCATATGGTGGACAATCATGTCCAACCAGATCTCAATGATGATACGAAGAAACCGAAAGTGGTAAAATCATACGATCATTCATCCCATCCCACTCGGCATATAGCACTTTTGTTCGCATACAACGGTTGGCCTTATTCCGGTGTCGCATACCAACTCCCTCCTGCTCAACAAGCCAAAGATCCTCTTCCGACCGTCGAAGGTGAATTATTGAAAGCTTTGGAAAAGACCAGATTGGTAAGGCCTAATGTGGGTTTGGAAGGGTGTGGATATGGTCGATGTGGACGAACAGATAGAGGGGTCAGTTCAGCTGGACAGGTGGCTAGTCTATGGGTTCGTAGTGTCAGAAAAGACGGAGTGAAGTTAGGTGCTTGGAAGGAATCTAGTAATCATTCTTCCTCTACTCTCGAATCAAATTTGACACGATTGAACGAAGAGACAGAGAAAGTTCGGAATGTTAATGTCTCGATATCCTCGATGGAAGGTGAAGGTGATGTGATAAGGGAGACGCCCTCCGGTGGGACAGAAGAGAGAGAGGAGTCAAGTAAGAGAATCAAGAGCAAGACTACAAAAGAAGAAGAATTGTCTTATCCTAGATTATTGAATTCAGTTTTACCACCCTCCATCAGAGTATTGGCTTGGGCACCGGTGGAAGAAGATTTCGATTCTAGATTCTCATGCGAGTATAGACATTACAAATATATCTTTCATCGAAAGATCCCTGGCTTTCATTCCACTCCTAACAAACATCCCCCCTCGAGTATCCCACCGACGACCATATCCTCCACGCTCACTTCTTCACCTAATGATGAGCACTGTTCGCCAAAAATTTCCAAAACTTATGATACTCCCCCCAGCCTCAGTCCTTCCAACAATGGGTCCGTAAACATTGATCCTAATGACAAACGATATGTGAAAACGCAATCAAGACAAGAAGGAGAACTCGACATACCCCTAATGACTCTCGCCGCTCAAAGTTTGATAGGTACGCACGATTTCCGAAACTTTTGTAAACTTGACGGGTCAAAACAACTCCTTTCACACGTTCGTCGAATCCTCCAGGCGTACTTTGAACCTTCTTCTCCAGACACGATAGTCTTCAACTTGATTGGTACGGCCTTTCTATGGCATCAAGTTCGTCATATCGTCGCCATTCTATTTCTCATTGGATCTCATTTGGAGTCACCTACACTCGTCTCGAATCTTCTGGACGTCGAAAAATTCCCCGCGAGACCTAATTACGCAATGGCGCATCCTTTGCCTCTGACGTTGTGGGAATGCAAATATGATCCGGAGCCTGATTGGAGGTATGGACCATATGACGGACCTTGGCGAGGATTATCAAGGGAGGAGAAGGAAAAAGTGCGCGAAGGAGCAGAGGGAAAAAGAAGAGGTTTGGAAAGAGAATTGGAGAGTATGAAACAGGAGGCCGAAACGAAGGCTTGGCAGATTGGGAATATGCAAAGATCTTTGAGAAGGGTTTTGGCAGATGTGGATGATGAACAGGACATGGGGACGACGGATTCAGGATCAAGGAGGGAAGATATGGAGAAAGAACAAGAGAGCAGGGCCGAAGGAGCAATACACAGGACGACAATCTATCCCACGGGGGCAGGAGAGGTAATGATGCATTCGGCGGGAAAGTATAAAAAGGTGGAGAAGAGAGAAATGGGACCTACACCGGAAGAAGTCAATAGAAGGTGGTTAGAGGGGAGAGGGGCGGCAAAACTTTCACCGAGCCAAGACGACGAGTGATGTAGAGGTGTGAAACCATTCTGTCTCTGTCTGGATAGATTCTCTGATCAGATCGTATTGCTGATTGATGTCATGGAGTGGGAAAGACAGTAACGATAGATACACCTGCAAATGCATACTCACATACCCATCATCCTTAAACGATCTGGATGTATACCCACGTTCCCTGGCGGTGGAGGTCCTTGTGCTGGAGTAAACCCTTGAGGCGGAGCACCTTGACCTGGTGGAGGAGGTCGGATGTTCATCGGTTGAAAAGAAGGTGCACCGTTGGGTAGAGGAGAGTTCATCATTGGGGCATTCGGGCCGTTCTGTTGAGGAGGAAAAGGGGGCATACCGCCTGGAGGAGGGAAAGGAGGCATAGGAGCGCCCATACCGGGTGGAGGGAAGGGAGGACGGATACCTGGAGGACCGGACATACCGGGTGGGCCGGGAGGAGAGACGAAGCCGGGAGGTGGAAAGGGTGCCATAGGTGGTGGTGGGCCGAAGTCTGTGTGTCAGTCAATGGTCTGAAGAGCGTTCTTACTCTCACATCGATGAGTTACACGGCAATGCTGAAGAGCGCAAGTGACTAGTGACTGAAGATGACACGAGACAGAACCGCACATAGACTACTGGAAGAAGTGGAGTGGTGGTAAATTCAGTGTTTGACGAGGTGACAAACGGCTATAATCGGAGGTAAGAGACGTCGTAACTCACTCATCGCTCCAGTCGGATTAGGATTCAGAAATCCAGCTCCGAGTCTCATGCTAGGTGCTGCATACATAGCGGCCCTTCCACCAGTTTCGTGCTGTTGCACAATCTGGTCGATGATACTTTGAGCTGTATCATGACCTAAAGAAGCGAAATAATCCCGTACGTTGGAAACATGATTTCTTCCCGTGTTATGAGCCTTTCGAGCGTTCATGGAATCGTGAGTTCTACGAGTATAATTCATATACACAAGACGAGGCGTTTGGGGTGATGAGACGAGATCGTCATGTTGAGAAATAACGATTGAAGATGTGTGAAAGAGGAGGGAGGCGGTTAGCGAATACTTTACTTTCAGGAGATGGTATAGCCTACAGGTAGCTAAGAGTCAGCTGAGAGGAGGAAGAATTTGGCAGATGACTTACATATCACAATAATCACAGTAGTACTTGCCCATTGTGGTAGATGTTGACTGGTGTGGACGTTGGAAAGTGATGGGGAAAGACTTGATATTGAAGAGAGGAGGAAGGGGGAAGAAGGAGAAATTTGATTCCGTTATTCGTGGCGGTTTCTGAGGACGAGAGACCCCGCTAAGTCCGTGGTCCAGTCAACCTCGCCATATAAGCATCCCCCATCGTGTCTTTCTTCAACATGATGCATCTCTCTTCCTTTTCACTCCATCCTCATTCCGTATCTCACGACTGACATCCTGAGCACATGATTCAAGAACCATCCAAAGGAGGAAGAAACCCATTCCTCCCCTTCCCTCCCACGTCACTCCCTTCTTTCCCAGACTTTTCGACCTCGCAATGCCCAAACGAATTCGACGTGGTCAAGCAAATTCGAGACCTACTTCTGTCCGCAGATCAGTCGGAGAACGTGCCGATGTTTCAAGTTCTTCTCCTACCATCACCATCCCTTTCCTTTGCACCCCTGAACCTCCCCTCGTGGATGACAGCGGTCAGTCCATCCTATAACCCTTCACTTTGCCACTGAGTCAACAGGTCCATCTGATCACTTAGAGCCCAAGAATAAAATGCGTAGATTAGATACTCCTCAAAGTGTCACGGATGAGGATTGGCAGAGAGATTTCGAAGAGTGTCGAGTATCATGGGAAGTGGAAGGGGATGTGGAAGGGTTTGTTGGGATGATAGCTACCGTCAGCCGTAAGTTTCTCTTCGTATCATTTGCTCCATAGCTGATATAAGGCTTTCGATCTGGTAAAAGTCCGCATAGCGTCCAATTCGATTTGGAATACGGGGATGTGGAGGGTGATGAACGTACTACTTCCTTGACTTTAGTCTTCAAAGGTCAGCTCTCCGTGAAGCTCAATACTGAAATTGACACTCGGCTAACCTATGAGATATCGAGGATTATCCTGAAACCTACTATTTGGATATTTCCGGACTCACCGGTCGATTACAAAAACGTCTTTCTCGTTTCGTCAGGATATACAACCTCGACATTCAAGCATTGATCGTCAAATTGTTATCGGCCCTTCAAGGAGACGACGAGGCGAACGGAGGTAGACCTTCAAGTCTCGTACCGGACAATGGTGACCCTACCGAGTCAATGGAAGATCTTGACGCTCTCAGAGCATCCCAGATTCTGTCAGAACAGGAACCTCCCGATATGGTAATTCTCAATCGGTAGGTCTTCTCGACCCCCCCCCCCTTTCTTCCGCTACTTGTCCAAGGCTAAAGCTGTGGCTGATGACAAGTCACTTTACGCAAGCGAAAAGTATGGGATATCGACCTGGTTGGACAAAAGTTTCAGATTTCTGGGTTTACTCTTTGTCAATACCTTTGAAGAATCTCCCCATAGATCCAAATACCTTAGCCATGTGGGACGACGATCTGGTCGAAGCTTGGAAACAAGATAAACGAATAGTCCTCCTGGTAGGAGTTACATCATATCCTCCCAAACTTGACGGAATGCGTTATTGGTTAGGTCTCAATGACAAATGTATATCTTTTATCACAACAACTCTTCATGAGCTGAACACGTAGATAAGCCTTCTGAGAAGGTTTGTACACTTACCACTCGAAAGTCCGAAGGTGGGATGCCTCCCTTTTTCACCTCCATACCGCTTTTAGGTCAGCTCAAATTTTTTCCTCGGTGTCACAAGCTTCGCACGGATTTTGGACAATGTTGGGCCGAAGCGGATGCCATCGGTTTAGACGAAGAACGATCTCGGACAGTGTTTCAATCTCATGAACGTCCTCTCAAATCACTCAGATATGATTCCGATGATCCCGTGACGAAAGGTTATGAACTCAATTATCCTTTGTGCGCCTTTTGGTGGGTCATCAGACGATTTGTTAATGCGCCGAAATGTTGTTTAGTAAGTACTCCTCGTCTGACCCCGCTCGATGAGGAATGTGGCTGATGATAGAATTGTGGATTGCCAGTCACCGTACCATCTTTGAGACCTTATGTGTGTAACTCTCCATTATGCGTATATGGGTATATGAGTCTAGGGTCAGTTACCAGTTCATCTTGCTTGGAATCTAGCTGATAGTAGTCTTGGTCCTTCAATCGAACATGTCATCAAGACGGAACCTGAAGTCGTCGATTTACTTTTGTCCTTCGCATATGCGGCTGCTCAGTCTAAAGCACGAATGGATCTACCTCTTCAATTGAAGTGAGTTCTGCTTCTTTCTTCAATTTTCTCGCACAAACTTGAGTAACTTCATTATGTGCTCGCTGACATCAGTATCGATGTACCGAAAGCGTGTACAGGTTCTCACGACATCTTGTTCGATCTCTACGAAAAACAACGAAGTGCTTTAGCTTGGCTAATCGAACAACTACCCCCAGTCAGTCAGATCAAAGAACATCTAAACAACGGTGGACTTTTGAAAGATATCGATGCTCCTGCAGGTTCCATCGGGGTCTTACGATGGGTTGTCGGATCTTGTCGAGCTTATCTCAAAGCTGCAAAACCTCATGAGGGTGTGCAGAATGCACCCACTGTCAGGCCTGGGGAGGATTCGGGATGTTTTCGACAATTCCTATTTGTTGTAGGTTCACCACAACAAGAATCTAGGTTTAAGGAAGAAGTGGAAAAAGCTCAGAAAAACGATAAGAATTGTTTACAGTATCCTACATTGTTGGCTTATCATGGTTCTGGAGTGGAGAATTGGCATAATATCCTGAGAACAGGGTTAGATTTTCAGGATACGGCGAATGGACGAGCGTCAGTTCATTTCCCATTTCCCTTTCTTTCCGATATTATGACCAAGCTGGTCAGGATAACCGGTCTCTGCACACAGAGGGACTGTGCTTATGTAATAGATATGGTCATGGAGTTTACTTCGCGGCTGAATCAAGTATATCTATGAATACGTACGCTAGAGCGAACACGGTTCAGAGAGAAAATGCGGATTTTGTAATTTCAAAAGCCACTGCCCTTGTAGAGCTAGGTAAGTTTTCACCCACTGTTCGATGGACGTTTTTTCAAACGAAAATTCCCTCTGCATGAATAAAATAACGTTCAGTAAACGTCCCGAAGACTTTTATTTCTCGTAATCCATACTACGTCGTCGGCAATATTAGACAAATTCGACCGTTCATGTTATTGGTACAAGGTAAAGGGGAGATTTCACCTGCGCCTCAGTATAAGGGGGCGTTATTTCAACATGATCCAAAATTAGCCATGAAAACTACATTCTCGAATTCTCCTCTGTTGGTTGTAAGTCATATTCACTAAATCTGTTCATCTCCTTTCATGCTGCTCATCATTGTACCCTCTACATATCTACATCAAGTAACCCTCTATCAACGTTAGCCAATTGAAGACGCCCGACGTCTTCCTTCTTATGCTTGTTCACCTGCTGACCTGACCCTCACTCGAGCGCGTATATTCATTTAGATTACCTATGCTAACTCCCAGGCAATGCCCGAAAAGCTCACACCCGCAACATTTGTCGATAACGACCCTTACGATTCCACCGACGAGGCAATCCTCTCTCCGCTTCCTCTCCAACCCACTTTCACACGCTCCGATCAAGCTCGGTACGATCGTCTGGGTAGGATGGCCCCTCCGGAGGATACTAGTTTAGTGGCTACTCGTGCACTGAGTAAGGAGTTCAAAACCCTTGTGAGACAGCAAGAAAGTGGGGAGAACCTTCCGTTCTACCTGGATAGAGAAGGAGATAGTTTGTATTGCTGGACTTTGGAATTGTGGGATTTTCCTAAGGATAGTAGGTTGATGCAGGATATGAAGAAATTTGATTTGAGATCTATAATGTGGGTCGTCAACTTTTTCCTCTCATTCTATCTTCATCGTCCTCCTGTATTTTCATTACTCGCTCGTCATACTCAATATCATATGAAATTCACCATCACTTTCCAATCCATAGCAGATGATATCGTCATTATCTCGACTCCCTTCTGATCTACCGATAGAATTGGTCCTTTGTGTAAATGTTGAGATGATTTGATGGGAAGCTCGAGTGGAATGACACTCATTGACAGAGCCGAAATCAGATTTCCTTCCTCTTTCCCTCATAGTCCCCCATTCATGAGAATACTTCATCCTCGATTCCTTCCCTTTGCTCAAGGTGGTGGAGGAAATATCACCGCGTACGTTCTTTCCCCACATTTTCGCCCTCCGGTTTGCAAATTACATTGAATTCCCTATCATGCTGGGAGCTAAGGGGCTTGATAAAAGATCTGCCGCTGATGAGCAGAGGAGGATCAGTCTGCAATGAGATCCTGACTTCTACCGGTTGGAATCCCGCTTTTTGCATAGAGGCTATAGTGAGGGATATTATGACGAATATGACCGAAGCGAGTGAGTTGTTCTACCACTTCTCCCTCCTTCTCCTCTGTCCACACCCCTCATTCTCTGTCTACCTTCAGGAATTATCCCCTCTCTCATTGTGGCAGTACAAATTCGGTGTCGGATAATCGGTCAAGTCCTCTTTCTGGGTCCAATGGATGCGTAGGGATGAGACTGATCACAGTACCTCCTGCTCGACTCGACCCACATGGTTGGGATAGACCATACTCCATGTCCGAAGCTTTAGAAGCGTTTAAACGAGTGGCCGCGGCTCATGTAAGTTGTAACATTTCAACTTCATCTCTAGGTTCTTTGACCTGTTTTACATGATTCCAATCATCGTTCACATCTCTGTGATGCTGCCTTTTGTTCTACCTCCATATCAGATGGGATGGCTGACGAGAAGGGTTGGGGTATACCTAAAGATCTGGACAAGATGACAACCAAGCAAGGGGACGATTAACTAGTATTATGATCTTTCCCGGGTTCATGCTTTTCATGTTGTGCAGGATCATAGATCATGCATCTATAACGCATCGTTCACTCATTTTCTCTCACAGTCCTTGAGAGGGGAATAATGTCAAATTCTGCACGCCTCTCACGATTCCTGCATACTTCATGTTATTCTCAAAGCTGTGCCTACTATGAACTCCCTAGAACCTGTACTTATGACAGAGTTGCCAAGATACCATCATACTGCAGAACACTTATCGGGCATCATTATTGACCCGGGGTGCATCAGGTAAGGAGGATCGGACTGTTGCAGCTGGACTGGGCCATGTCACCTCAGAGGAAGAAAGAGGAGTGTAAAAACCCAAAACTGAATCCGCTAGGTCTCTCTGCTCTACTGTGGAATGACGTATGTTATTCAATTCTTCAAACGTAGCAGGGGTGAGAGTTGTTGGTTCATCCCCAAACTCATGATCATCCCCAAAATCATGAATGATGACTGAGCTGAGTGCGGGACTAACGGAGCGCTGTCGTGGTGCCCGGTAAAAGGGCCATCTAATAGTAAGATGTGTGTCGGTCTGATGTTCGTCGTCGACGGTTTGGTCAGGTTGACTTTCTGCGTCATGAGGAAATATGCCTGTCTCGGGAGTAAGGCTGTTTGCGTCTTCAGGATGGGGAAAACAAATGACGCCAGATAGACTGTTATATACCCGGGACACATTGTCAAGAGCTCCAGACGCCCAAAGACTGGCTGTCTCAACCACACTGTTTGAACGATTGTGCACGAGGTCATTCAATCGTCTCTCCACATGGGAACGAGGAACCGTAACAAATTCGATCTGAAAACGGAGATGTTCAGTTACCCTCATATTATTACCTGCTTGCATTTGATTCCTAGTCATACTGACATCAGATTGTGCTTTTACAACCGGCGACGGAACGATTTCTGTCCAGCCCGTCACTCTGCCCCATGGATTTCTGACCACCTCATGAATGGAAGTTGTGGAGTCTAGGGTTGGATCGATTCGCAGTGCAGGAATACTTCTGGCTGGAGGATTCAGTCTCATATCAGCAATATCCATTCCTACTTCATCGGATGGGCTGGCCATCTTGTCCTAGTTTTTTTCGTTGTTGAAAGAGTAGTTGTTGTGCTTTCATCGCCCTTCCCCCTCACTATTTATACTTATCCGAGCCATCTATCTGTCGGAGTATTCGCACGTCATTCGGAGTACGAGTGAAAGGCGATGATAGGGAAAAGGGTAGATGAAGGATTGATAGTCCGTATTCGGAGGAAACGAGACTATCGACGTCATCGTTGCCGTTTTCGTTAACTTCGGCCGGCGTCGGCGTCGGCGTCGGTGTTGAGATCGACGAGGCGATGTTTCTAACCGGATGAGGTAATTCATATCTTGGACCCTTCCCACCTACCCGCATGTCCCAATTGGGAAGGATGGTCGGAGTAGGTCTTTTAGTAGTAAGAGCTAGGTGAGAGGATTCATCTCTCCATAAGCAGCGTTTGTGAGAAGGATGGGTCAGTCTGCATTGGACACTTGACGTCTTTGTATACGTATATTTGACTAAAGTTCTTTCCGTTGCCATGTTACGATGTTACACATTTCGGCAGGGCCGTTGATGGCCGTCATACTGTAATGAGTATGAACAGTTGACGGGCGCCTACTCGTCCAAGAGCATCTATTGACGCGCCTAGTACAGTCGGGTCCAAAAAGTCATGCGTCCGCTTTTCATAGTAATTTGGCAGGTGAATCGTGATAGTCAACTTTGATGTGCTTTACCGCACTCAGCTTAGGATATGCATGGCTAAAGTCATAAGACACTTTGTACATCTATCCAATCCATATCTGTCAAGCTACTTTCGAGCTGGATGTATGACTGAAAGTGACTTGTGACCATCATATAAAGAAGAAGCACTTTTGACCAAACTGGATGATCTTCTAGGTGATTCCCAGACAAACTTCTACAATGTTAATTGTCACAGACGTCGTTTCTTCTTCTCTACTGACCGACGGTCGACAAACCTCGGCTAACTACGTCGTAGTGGGGCGTCGTTGTCTCACTAAGACAGGGTACTCGTCGAGGAACTACGGCTAACTTCGCCGTAGTGATTCGTCGAGTGGTAAACTGATAAGATGATCGTCGATGAACTGCGGCTAACTTCGCCGTAGTACGTTGAACTGCTCGGTGGTAGCTCTCCTTAATTCGAAGGTTGTAGCTACTGAATATATCTCTCGCTACTGACAACAATCAAGGATCGCTGAAGAAGTTCAGCGATCTGTAAACTATCTATACTACTCCTCTCTTCTCGTAGAATGTCCCTCAACTCCTGCACTGCCTCACGCTCAGTCCTCTTCGTTCAACTTCGCCGTACCTTCCCCTGTTCTGCTCTCCCTCGGTTCCCTTCCCCTAACTTCGCCGTAGTTCCCCGCTAGGCGGGGTTATCGTGACAAATCCCCTCTTGGTTCTCGTAACTTAGCCGTAGTTGGCCTCAGTGGTTCGAGTGGAGGTTGGTAGTGGTGAAAAGGAAGGTCGGTGATGGTGAAAGGAGGGTCGGTGATGGCGGTTGTCAGGGATGTTACGACGTAGTTCGTGACAGTCGCCCCCTCCTTAGGCGCGAACGTCCTCGTGAGCTTCGTATGCATGTAATGAAGAAAAAGACACTCAGCAGGTTGCAGGAAACACAATTTGTCATATAACGGTTGTTGGTAGATGATACCATGGTTTGTTGTTAATCGGACAGTAAACTTCGTCGAAGTTCATCGTGGTTGCTTGTTGTTACCCTGTGGTAGTTACATTGTAAGTGAGACAGAGGATTTGGGGTACATGTGAGACACGTAGCGTGGGAATTCTGATCGTCGCCATGGTGTTTGTTGTCGCTGAGACAACTTGTTATGCGAAGTTACCAGCGCCCTGACGACGAGTAGTCGTATCAGTCATACTAAATACTCAGTACTTCGGCCCACTTCTTCTTCTTTCCCAGTACCAATCCTAAATCGTACTATCATCGTCTATCGATTCTCAGCCTTTACCATACCAAACATATCAATTTGATATATTTCAACAAAATGTCTTCTCGTCCGGAGCTCAACGCCCATAAATTTTTCGCAGATCGCTTTGCCGCTGTTCGTAAGTCTCTTCGTACTGTCTATAAGCTACTCTGTCGCTGATTGTTCTAGTCGCTCAGCAGGGGAACTCTCCCCGCCATGTGTCGTCCATGGGCTTTGGAGCCCTAGCCATCACCGATGGCTCGCCTTCTGCTGCTGCAGCCTCCGCTGCAGTTCCTTCTGCCACCGCGTCCCCTGTTGCGGTTACGACCCCTCTCTCCTCTGGCCAACAGGAGGTCAGACCTGCTCCTGTTGGCCTTCCGCACCCGTCAGGCCGTACTGCCACTGTGGTAGAAATCGATGATGATGACGATGAGGAGATGGATGGTGCTCGTCGTGGTGAAGAGACGGGTGTGTTGGTTGATGATGGTGAGAAGGGTGGTGCAGATGAGGATGATGAGATGGGTGAGGTCGATGAAGATGAGGAAATCCTCAGTGTTGATCTCGGTGATCCAGCGCTGTTTGAGGATAGAGAAACGTGGGTGTCAGAGTTGGAAAAGTTAAGCCGTATGTCCTCTTGTCATATACCCTGTTCGTAAGTGCTGACATGTAGCTGTTCGCGATAATGAAGGTTCTCCCGAATTCCGCGTACGACTCCAGACTTCTTTCGGGAAGAAACGGGTTGCGTATCAGGAGAAGATGGATGCTCTGGCTGAAATTAAAGCCGAGAAACGTCGCCGCTCCCCTTCCGCCCACGACGAAGTTACCCCTCCTTCGGCGAAACGGGTCAAAGAGACCCCTCGGTCCTCTACAGGACAGGCTGAATTGTTTCCCTCCCCTTCCCACGAGCCAGGGAGTGCCCGCAAGGCGTCGTTGCGGGAGCAGGATAGGCTATGGAAGTTGTTCATCGATGAAAGGGAGCGATGGGAGGTCGCCAGTATCGAAGAGTCGTGTGATAGATGCCGGTAAGTTCCTTCCCTAGAAGTTTATACGTCTGCTGATCAGTAGCCGTGAAATTATCACGTATGTGAGAGCGAAGTGGCCGTGTCTACGACCGGTCAAACCTCATAATCGCGGGTCCCGTTGTGCTTCTTGCACTTCTGGTCCCTGCTCGTTCTGCCCCCCCAACACCGCTCGGGACATTCCTCCAAGACCTTCTGCTCCCCTCGGTCCCCCCTACACTCCGTCCGCCGCTGTTCGCCGCCGTCTCCCCACAGCCCAAGATGGGGAATATCCTTCGCGCTCTCCTTCGGCGAACTTCTCCTCTCCTGGCCCCACCTCGCCGTCACCCGCCGCCCGTCGCCTGCCCAACTCTCCCGTGGCCGGACCGTCACGTCTCCCTGCCACTCCTTCGGCTGGTCCGTCCCGTCGCACTCCTCGTCGTGCTTCTTCCGCCGCTCTTCGGCCTTCTACTCCTGTGGCTGGCCCATCTCGTCTCCCGGCTACTCCTTCTGCCGTTCCGTCTCGTCCCAGCAGGAGCCGTCCCACTCCTGTCTCAACTCAAGAGGACTTCTCTTCAAGTTTCCCTCCTGCCCTTGGGACCCGAAGCCGTCAACCATCTGTCCCTCCTGCTTCTGGGCTCTCAACTCCTGCCCCTCCTGTGAAAACTCCTCCGAAATCTTCGAAAGGGAAAGGCAAGAATAAGAAAGCTGTCCAGTTCGAATCGGCTGTGGTGGAAGACGAAGGTACTCAGCTACCAGGGGAAATCCTTCCTTCCCTCGACCACCCCATTATCGGTCTCGATCCCCGGATACCAGAGGAGGACAAACAATTAGCCACCTTCCGTTCCGTCATTATTGGCTTAACCACGCAATTACAAGCCAATAGACGAGATACGGCGAAGCTTGTCGAATATTGTGTGAAGCTGGTCTCTGCGATGAATACTCTCTCTCGGACAATGGCAACTCTTGTGAACTCCTCCGACATAGGGCCATTAGGGCGAACTGAGTTAGCTAGAGTCTCCCGAGAGCTCACAACGGACATGAGCGACTTCTACCGCAATCTCTTCGACTCTCCTTACCTCCTGAACCCCACTGAGTATATGCTCCCCCCTACACTAGACTGGTTAAGACCATCTCAACCAGCTCGACTCAGTTCTCAGGATGGTGCTTTCCTCGATATCCTAACTCTTCCCGCAGACTGTCTTAGAACACTTCGTCAGTTGTGGAAATCACCTAGTCTGAGTGTCGCTCGTGATCCTGCTCTCCACTCCGCTCACATTCTCGCCTTTAATACAGCATGGAAGGAGACTCGGGCCCTCCGACGGGCGGTGGGACCGAAGGTTACTGAGAGTAGTTCTGGGAGTGGTCCTGCACCGGGAAACGAAGAACAGGGAGGAAGTTCGCAGCAGTGAGTTGTACTTAGCTAATGTTGTACCAGTTGTATGAATTACTTCCTCGTTCGTGATCTCACCACTCGTCCTTTCGTCGGCTTATCCGGGTGAAGTTCGTGGAACTTCGCCAATATGTCATTAGCTCCGTCCACATTTTCTACTGGTTCCCATGATACTGCGTCATCCGAGCCTTCGTAACCTAACCATTCCACTAGATATTCTAACTTCCCTGACCTCTTATTTACTCTCGAGTCCACAATATCCTTTACTTCCCACGATTCTCCTACGTTATCTACCTCTACTGGGCCAGGTGGTTCAGCTTGCTGACCAGGAAATACCGGAGGGTGATAGGGACGGAGTAAAGAAACATGGAATACATCATGGATACCTGCCATCGTTCCTGGTAATTCCAGTTTACAAGCATGAGAACCTACTTGCCGTACTACCTTGTACGGCCCACTTTGCTTAACGTCCAACTTCTTCGTTGGTCTCTTAGTCTTGATATTTTCTAATGACAGCATCACTAGGTCACCTTCCACGAAGTTCGGCGTAGTTCGGTGTTTCCTATTGTATCCTTCGGCGTACTTCTCATTAGCTCTCTCAATCCCCTCAATACATTCCTTATGTATTTCAGTTAGGTCTTTTACTGCTATTGTAGCAGCAGGTACCTCGACTTCACTAGCCTTAATCTCTTCAGCCCATCGAGGGTGGTACCCATAGTTCGCATAGAATGGGGTCTTGTTTATCGCGGAATGATGGGTGTTGTTATAAGCAAAGCTAGCTCGGGCAAGTAGCTTCGACCAGTCGTTCTGCTGGTAGGAAGTGAAGATTCGAAGGTATAATTCCAGGGACTGGTTCGTTCGTTCGGTCTGTCCATCAGTCTGTGGATGATACGCGGTAGAAAGATGTAGTCTTATCCCGAGACTATCGGTCAAGTTCTTCCAAAACTCCCACAAGGCCGTTAGTTCAACTCCGTCGACATACACATTAGATTTGGGTTGGTTGTTACAGGTGGAAGGGATTAGGGTATGACAGTCGTTTATACATTTCGGAGTGGTGTTTACGGATTTATATACACATTTACCTGGTCTCATCAGCTCTTTCCTTTCACTGGGGGTAGGGATAGTGGCCGAGAGAATATGAGTGCGGACCCGCCAAGTCTCGCCTACGGCGACGGGTCCCCATCTTTTTCCTCCTCGTCCATCCCCCGCTCTTCAACACATGCTTCCTCCCTTCCGACACCATTGATCTTCTTCCTGTCCCCAAGAGGGACGGCGTTCCCCCCCGTGCTAAATCTCCCTTCTCCTCCAGCATTTTGTCCAAAAGATCGCAAGGGGATGATCCCTGCTTTGACCTTCGCCGCTATTACAGGACAATCCCGGTTATAATGCCCTCTCTCTCCACATCCAGTACACTTCCCTTCCTCTCGACTCTTTAAAACCTCATCAGCACTGGGTCTCGGCCAACGACGATTTAGTTCGTCTACATCCGTTGGTATCGCCCTTCCCCCGTTCGTGCCCTTAGGCTGCACGCCCTCTATCTTCGCCGTAGATTGCCATTTCTCCTGGCTCCCCCGTTCCCCTCCTCGATTTACTTCCTCTCTCCTCTCCCCCTGTTCCTTCACTTCCTTCCTCTTCTTCTCATTCTCCTTCTCCACCTTTCGTTGATGCAAGCGATTGTCCATGGGGACCACGAACTCGATTAATTCTCGGACGGTCTTGAAAACTTTTCCATGGCGGGCGATTTCATCCAGCAAATGGCTTTTCAGTCCGTTCTTCGCTCGGTCCACGAGGTTTCCATCATCGCTCCATCCTAACACCGCTACATATCGCTGAAAGGCGGCGAAGTACGCCGAAGCCGACCCATTCTGCCGAAGCTCGTTTATTCCCCTTGCGGTGGTTCCTTCTTCGTCAGGATCTCCAAAATTGGTTTTGAGATATTGGATGAACTTCTTATAGTCTAGAAAGTGTTCGGGGGGGTCGTCCTTAGGTAAGTCCGGTTGGACAGCAAGAAGAGGAGTTTCACGTAGATGGGAGATCATGAAAAAGATTTTTACTCGTCGGTGGGGAACTTCCGGCGTTGATTTCGAAATGGACTTCACATTCTGAGATGAATGCTGTGAGCTTT